GGTTCTATATAATACTGGCACGTCTGCCATTAGATAGGAGCTTCGTGCTCAACTTAGTTATCAATCTTATCATATTAGTTTGACATCTTTGATACAAGTAACGAGTTCACTTCCAAGTGAACAACCCGATAGTCTTCTTCTTATCATAGCATACCAACCAGCGAACACCCAGCCAAGTTTAGTTAGCCAGTTTGAGTATTCGTTACAGTAAAGTTCAAATTTGCACCTAATATATACGCCTAACTTATAGGAGCTAAACAGGCCCTTAGGTCTCATAACTTTTATATCTTTATTTTAGTAGTATATATCTAAAAAGAAGTACAAATAGATATACATCTAATTTATAATAAATTTATAATTTAGATATACGGCTAACGTGCATGTATAGCGAACCGGCCAAACAAGCGAACCGGCCAAAACCCGGCGACCCCACCACACCTCCACGAAATATTAAATTTCTCTACAACGAAGGATGCCTCTGAAAAATGACGAAAGCCGGTTAGTCTTAGCTATCCAAGCTATGCAAAAAGACCCAAATTTACGTGCTCGAGTTGCTGCCAGGACCTATTCTGTAGACCACCGGAAGCTAGGTCGACGTTTGCTTGGTATACCTTCACGACGCGATAATTTAGCCAATTCACGGAAAATGACCGAGCTAGAGGAATCAGTACTTGTTCAACATATCCTCGACCTAGCTACGAAAGGACTTCCTCCGCTGATATCTGTAGTGGAAGATATAGCAAATCGACTTCTTGAAGCACGCGACGCGCCACGCGTCGGGACGCGTTGGGACGCGTTGGGACGCGTTGGGCTTATAACTTTGTTAAGCGCCGCCCAGAACTCCAGACACGCTTCCAACGAAAATACGGCTATCCGAGAGCTAAGTGCGAAGATCCAGAAGTCATTCGTGGCTGGTTTGAGCGAATGAGGCTGGTTTGAGCTTGTACGAAACACAATAGCGAAGTACGGAATCTACGATGCAGATATCTACAACTTTGACGAGACTGGGTTTATGATGGGCGTTATCTCAACTGCAATGGTTATTACAAGCTCAGAAGGACGTGTAAAAGCAAAAAGAGTACAGCCTGGTAATCGGGAATGGGTTACAGTAATCCAGGGGGTTAATGCCCAAGGCTGGTGTGTTCCACCGTTTGTGATTGTTGCCGCAAAAAATCACCTCGCTTCTTGGTACCAAAACAGTGGATTTCCACCTAACTGGGTGATTGCTATTCCTGAAAATGGTTGGACAACAAATGAGAAAGGCATGGATTGGATTCGACATTTTGAGAAGCATACAAAGTCCCAATCTATTGGTGGTTATCGTCTATTAGTCCTCGACGGCCATGAAAGCCACCACTCCGACGAATTTGAGGAATATTGCAAGGAAAACAACATTATCACTCTTTGTATGCCTGCTCATTCTTCTCATATACTCCAGCCACTCGACGTTGGCTGTTTTAGCCCTTTGAAAAGGGCATATGGTCAGCAAATTGAAGATATGATGCGGGCTCAGATCATCCATATTACTAAGGATGATTTCTTTCCTGCCTTCCACGCCGCATTTAATATTGCAATGACAGAAAGCAATATCCGAGGAGGGTTCCGAGGGGCTGGGCTTCTTCCATTTGACCCAGAAAGTGTAATTTCTACACTTGATCTTAAGCTAAAGACGCCAACGCCTCCAAACTCCCCCCCGTATTCCGCTCAGCCTTGGGTTTCCCAGACACCAAATAACCCTACTGAAGCCTTATCACAGACTGCATTTATTAAAGATCGAATTTTACGCCACCAAAGTAGCTCTCCAACCCCTATTTACGAGGCCATTGACCAGTTTACGAAGGGTGCATCAAAAGTAATGCACCAGATAGTACTATTGAAAGCTGAGAACCAGAGACTTCGACAAGCAAATGAAGTACTAAGTAAGCGCCGTAGAGCTAAAAAAACACGCCTACAGCAAGGAGGATCACTTAGTCAAACAGGAAGCGCAGGACCTACAGGATGATAGAGACGTTGGTGAGCAGGTAATGCAGGAAATAAAGAGAAGTAGTGGTCGGAAGCCGAGGGAAGAATCACGTGCACGGCGCTGTGGCAACTGCGGAGAGACTGGTCATAATACGCGCACCTGTAATATTATAGAGGAAGTATCTGAGGAAGAAATTTCTGAATAGTGTTTTTTAATTAGAGGCGTTGTGGTAGAGTTCTTACAATTTCAATCGCAAGTGTAGAAAATTTTGGCCGGTTCGCTTGTTTGGCAGGTTCGCTATACATGCACGTTAACCAAACACCCTCGCATATACTGATACACATGCATATTAGTATATGTATGCAAATCTTTTTATATGACGCATAGTTAAAAAATGTGCGAGCCAAACAGGCTCTAACTCAAAATAGAAATAGAAAATACAGCTACCCAGTTTCCTCAGACAAAAAAAAGACATATGTTATAATGATTACAGAATCCCAACTGTTATAATTCCAAAGAATGGTTAGAAACCAGAGCCTAGCCTAGTTGCATGAAATCTCGGGTAACCTTTTTAATAACTAGGTTCTTGGTAGATGTTGTACAGAGAATCTATACAGAGGTAGAGACATGGAGGGTAGAAGTGAATATGATCTCCCCTAAAACTTAGCGTCGTCAGCCGTTTGCCAACCAGCTGGACTCTGATGTAAATTAAAGATCGACTTTTAGAGAAGATGGTAACAATGAACAGTCAAAACATAGCTCGAAGAAAAACTCACCATAATCACCATTCCACTCGAAAAAGCAGCAACACTTTTCATCGCAGAATTTATTGGCCTACTCATCCTCTCCTTGTTCCAATGCGTAGTCCTGTCTCTGGATCCTCATGAACCACCTCTCGCCCCATATACCATCCCCTACCTCGCCCACGTTCTAGGACTCTACAAGAGAAGCTACAACTACTATGTCGATCTCAAGTAGGTCTTTCAACCTATTCACAAAAAGGGAAGAAGAATCAACTCATCAGATCTAGTGAGAAAGCGCCTCTCCCAATCTCAACTTTGCACATTCCAGGCAAAAAAGTCTATGTGGTGAATTCCCCACACCTCATCCAAGCTGTTCAAAAGCAACCAAAGGCCCTATCTTTTAGACCTATCGAAGCCAAGCTCTCAGGTGCAGTCTGTGGCCTCAGCCAGAAAGCCCGCGATCTGATAATGAAGAACGTCAATGGGACTGATGGCAATTGGGGAATATCGGCCGAACTGTATCCCCTCTTCAAGGAATCATTGAAGCCAGGCAAGGGATTAAATGCTCTGAATAATGTTATGATCCGGGTTGTGGGCGATGCTTTGGATTCGTTAGCTGAAAGTGTGACGGTAAATAGCGAGAAGAAGACTATGAATTTGAATGCTTGGTGTAGAGAGGTGACCTTTTCGCGCTTTCGGAGGGGGTACAACTTTGTGCCCAGGAAGACATTTCGCAACGAATGAGGTCTTAGCTTTGGTATCGATGTTCTTTTCGAGGTTCGAGATCGAGCCTACGAAGGGAACTTGGAAGATTCCCAAGACCGACAACACGAGAGTGCAAACTGTGATTATGGAACCTGATGATGATATTGAGGTAAGCATCTTTACGAGAGGAATTCCGGAGGGTGTGAAGTGGAAGTTTGGTTTGCGGGATTCCACCTCCTTTTTGGCTATGGCGAACGAGGACAAGTTGTAGTCACTAGTGAGTGAATTTGAATTGCGGTGCAGTATAGCAAGCTTGTACTTATGAGGCTATGATACTTTGCATGGTTAGGAGCTGCGGTAGGTTCAACATGGTTTGTCGGTGGATTTGTTGACAGTAGTGGAGGTTAATAAGATAGGATTGGCGTGGGGATTTAACATGTGCAGCGCCTGGGAGGCGAAAGCACTTAACACGCTAGAACTGTTGCATGTTTTCAATTGATTTCCAACTGGTACGACCCGTTACCACAACCCAATTCAAGTTCATTGTGCGAAGAACCATGCAAGATTGTCATGATTGGAATTATTGGGTCGGATCATTATAGTATTTCAATCATGAACATTTGTTTTCCGTGATCGCATTCTGGGCATCCGGAGCCTGCAGGGTTGAAATGACGCTTGTCGGACTCGGTACCTCAGAAGTGTAAGTGAATACCATCACCAAGAAGTGAGGTAATAGGTGCGCATATTGAGCAGTATGTTTGTGGAATCTCCAATTAGAGTGCTGTAGGGCTGATGATGTATTCCGATACTAATGTCAGGGGGGCTGCTTGTAAAAGTGCTAGAGGTTTTACTCGTATTTCGTATGTCACCTGCACCAGCCTGAGCTTCATTTCAGCAAGTCATGTGTGCACTTTCCAAAAAAGAAAGTATGTTTTGTTTTGTATCATAGGCCAACAAGCGAAATTACATAACTGTAAGCTTATGTCTTCCCCATAATCATTATCTAATTCGGTTTTCCAGAAATAGATATAAATTGTAGCTCATCAAATCCCAACTTAATCGAAAACATGCTGGGGCCCCTGGCTGGTCCATGTCTTCCAGTTGCACTCGCTAAGTCACGTGTCTCAATTAATACTGACTTTGGAGGTTAGTTTGTTGAGCCTTGAGACTCGTTCTCTCACCAAATGGTTGATAGCATGTGGCCAAAATCTTTTTCCCTATATTTAAAAAAAATACACCTACAACGGAATCATCCAAAGCATACAGTAGGGCTATGTTCACGAAAGGCTCGATAGTTTCTGCACAGCGGCACGGTGGCATCTGCCTGTGCTTTCAGGTTTTGTCTAGGATGACATCTGGAGAAAACCTCGATATATTATTGAGTTTCTTTTAAACCGTTGATATCCTGGCTGCTAATCTTCACCCCTCAATCAATCGATATTGGGCATCGCGTTGTTCCCAAGGACTGGGGAGTTTGCGGCCAGCGCAATTTACGCGGGCTAGTGCAACACGCATAAAAAGGACATAATATTCTTTTAATCTATTTTGATTGTGAAAAGAACTTTCCGGGTTGGGTGACAATATGTCTAAAATTAATTCCAGTCGAATCCTTTAACTCAATGAAAAGGTGAGCGTCTGTGGGATCTTTCTCCCAAGGCCTCTCCTGAATCGCTCCCAGCAAGTTCGCGATGATGGCTAATTCCTTTTTGCTTGCAGCTTTTTGGCTGTTTACTCTCGTTCAAACACAGTGTATGTATAGCCCCTCAAGCTCGCCAGCTGATGTTGGAAAGCTTCTAATTTATAAACAGACACAACAGTATCTACGTCACTTTCAACTTCGTCTTTGTCGCGTCCAAAGGTTGTACAAACAGCGGTATTAACTACGGGAATTACCGAGGTGACGGTGGTGCAAACTTTCTATGAGACAACATATACGCAATTCGCATCTTTATCAGGTACTATTCAAACATTTATTAAAATTCCAATTACCGGCGGTACAGCGACGAGTATTCAGACATTCAGTTTTGATATTGGGCCAGGCGGAGTGGGATGGGCTATACCAACAGCTGCGCCTTCACCGGTCATTGACGAGCCTACGCATTTACCTACACCGAGAGGCATTGTATTTCAAGCTGGGGCTCTTGGTAAACGTGCCGAAACGTCTAAGTCTCAGCCAACACAATCTAGAACGAGCTCTACGCCAGCTAGACCAGGTACTTTTTCTCCTAGGAGAAATTCCACTGTTTCCTCCAGAAATCCAACCTTCAAAACCAGCACTGGTAATCCAACAATGTCCAGATCTAGGGGTGTATCATCCAGCAGTCGTCGATCCAATTCAACATCTGCATCATCAGGAACAAGATCTACAAGCACAAACGGACCCGAGAAGATACCAGTGCCCTTGGGAACTGGTTCTTTGAACACCTCGAGAGTTCCAACAAGATCAGCATCGCGAACCCGTGGGAATTCCACAGTGCCAGCATCCGGGTCTCTGCCAACCAGTCTACCAACCTTAAGAAGTACCTCTTCCAGCTCTGCGGCGTCAGGGAGACCATCATCGCGCCCTCTTGGAAATTCTACCTCTAGTTCATCATCAAGATCATCTGGGACATCCGGTGGAGGAGCGCTCCCATTTTTCCCTGGAGGGCCTCCTAAAACTGAGAGTAGAACAAGGAGTAGAACGGGGAGCAGAACAGCAAGGAGAACAGCAAGGAGAACTCCCTTATTTCCAACTACTACAGCTGTAAGCGAAAACATCCATGATATAACCCGTTTTAGATTTGCTAAGTGCTAACTAATTTCTTTAGACTTACTCGTCGATCCCTCCTGATTTCACTGGATATACTCTCCCTGGAACTACATACACAGCAAGTCAAATGTATACTACTACAAGAAATGGGATGGTTGTAGTGGTCCCAATTATTCTTGGAGTAGGTGGCATTGGAATGATACCAGCCGTCCTGCCCTTTGGAGGAGCTTTCGGCCCAGGGGTTGGTAGTGGTGGAGGTAACCCGGACGATCCAAACAATAGCGACGACGACGACGACGATGACGATGACGACGACGACGACGACGATGATGATATAGAACTTCCAAGCTCAAGTACCAGGCCACCCTTGTCTACATCGCGTTCCACCGACCTCCGCACTTCATCTAGTTCTGTGGAATCATTTAGCAGTACAAGCAGCACCTCAAGAACTCTTGCAAGTCCAACAAGCAGTTCATCAAGTAGAAGGAGTACTGCGACGGGTTGTTATACTACTAAAACCAAGTGTTCAATACGCTGTGCTCAGACGACCTCCTTTCTTCCTTGCGAGGCTTTCACGACAGAGTGTTCGCCAGCGACTGTAACTGTCCCATGTTCGACAACAAGAAGAATGGTCACCACTACTAGCGAGGCATGCATACGTGTTCCCGCACCTACGTTCTCGCTAGCGACCCAGACCTTCTGTAATGGTAAATGTGGACGCTATGAGACGCCAATTGGGACTGATCTACCAGCATTTGCCACTGGCCCTCCGAATCCAGATCTGGAGGAGGAGTGGGAGGATTTGGATGATATCTTTGTCCCACCTCAACCAACTCCCATTGAGCTTGGTCGAATCAAACGTGGTCATATTACTGCAGCCCCAACAACAGATGCACCGCATGGTCCTATCACTCCTGCCCCACTTCTGAAACGGGGTAAAAAAATAGAAGTAACGAAGATCGGAGGTTGTGACCCAAGAACACCTGGCAACGCCCCCTTGACTGTACCAGAATACCCGTTTCCATTTTCGGATATCATGGAACCCGAGTTGGAGGATAGATTAGAGGAACAATATAGCCAGATACCACGATATGATCGAGCTACTAACGTGGATTGCGTGTTCACTACTACACGCCTTAATGCCCAACAATTTGCTGCCGCCCCAGAATATCTTCCTTGGGGTAAAAATCAACCTGATAATTCCATGCCTAATAGAGAAGTCAGTATTGACCACGCTTGTAAGTTGGATTTTCCTATAACTTGAGCTTTAGCTAATTAATGCACAGTTGAAAAGGGTTGGGTCAAGAACTTCTTTAGGTCAATCATCAGCAATAAGGGAGAGCCAGGAAAACTGACTTGTGATGAGATGAACCAATATTTCTTTCCGATGGACTCGCATGGCGCTACTTTCAACTTCATGCAGGCCATTTTGAACGCACTTGGTAGTCGCGAACACTTGGATGCATTCATCATAATGAGCAGGTACCTCAACACCGTTGGAAAAGGAGGCATCAGTTACGGTGTCATGAGAAAATACGTAAGAGACCCACGGTGGGAATTTGCGGACAATCTCGTAGGGTGGAGATGGGGACCAGGACACTACAGAATCTGGTCAATACCGAGCGCACTAGCCTCACTGATTGGGCAAATAGAAAAGACTCTACTTGGTGTTCTGGTATGGAATGCTCGTTCTTTGAATGGCAAAATGACTAACAAGCTCCAGGTTCTTCAAAACCCGGAGATGCTGGAAAAGATGGATAAAACCAACGACCGCATCTATCAAGAATTGCAAGTCAAATTTCACAAGTTGAAGAACTAATACTAACCATAAGTAGCTTGAACTTTGATATTATCATAAATGATGAAAAAAATCAAATCATAAATGAAATGTTTGGTAACAAGGATGTCTACAAACAAAAGTTTCCCAATGGTTTTGCTGGTTAGTCAAAAGTAAAAGATGAGTATTCAACATGCTGACGTTGCCACAGGGGCTTATAGAGACTACATCAACAAGGTAGTCCTCGAGAACATAAACTTGGCTCCTACCTATTTAAATGATCTATGGCTTCTAACAATGAACAACCTTCAAAAATCGTATAACTCACCCGACGTTGCGGGCCGCAGCGACGTCGCTGGCCGCAGACAGCCAGGTTTTTTCTACCCAACGTGGGAACGTTTCTATAACCAGATGGCAGTGCTGAATTATCACTATTGGAAAGATGGTATCTGGACTTGGGATTACAAGCATGAATTTACCTGGTTGGGACAGAATCCTCATGAACCGGAGATCCCAAGAAGATTTCCAGTGTATGACGCCAGGGTCACACCACCGGCGAAGCCTCCTTTAAAGTTTGGACAAAGGCCACCATCAGAAACAGGGTCCGGAATGTAGAAAAACGTCAGAGCGTCCGTTGAAGTTCGGGCAAAGATTTACTCTTTGGGAACACGACATTGCTATAGAGATGAAGGTGATGACTAACAACGACTTTCCGAGCGGCCCCAACCAAAGGGGCAGCAATCTTGACCCAAGAAAAGCAAAGGGTCGGGGCTGCCTCTACGAAAGTTTGGAGGAGACAGACCTGACAATTTGGACAGTGAAATTCCAACGCTTGTACGCGAGCCTCCACGATGATATGGTTCGTTAAGCAATCTTGGGAATGGAAAGATCGACCTATAGGTGCTTTTGTGGTGGCCCAAGCTGGTTGTCTTTTATTAACCGATAAACAGCAGGAGGAAAACACTTTTTCTAACAGGCTCGGCAACGGTTATGACACAAATGACATACCTTTTTCAACGTCATCTGACAGGACTAGTAAGCCCCTCGGTCGATACTTTAGATGGTTTGTGATGGAAGTGGTTACATATACCAACACTGAATATCCAATTCCTGTAAATAAATTTTGTACGAGTATCTTGAAATACCACCTGGCATTTCTATGGCATCGTCTACTATTCGATGTTCATGATTTGTGGTCTCACCTCGTATTTACGGTCCTCGTCAGCCAATCAAAACCAATTTACATATTTACTTTTTACTCCTCTATTATAGGGCAGACCGAGAGTACTTTTTAGGTAGGGCTACGAGTAACAGGTTTTACTGTTCATAGTATCAACCTCATATTTCAGGAAAGGTAAAAATCCCATACACGACTCAATCTATCAGTGTGGCGACATCAGTGCAAAATGGTCCCGTCAAAAAACTAAGCGAGATACCAGGATCTTCAACAGTGAATTGTCACGATTGTATGGTTGTCCCGGTCAGATCGAACTCGACGTTGAAGATGATGAACTTTATATAGTAAAGCAGTGATAATTATATTGTCAATATAATGTTAGACAGGCTGTAAGGATCTTAGGAGGGCTTGAAATCTAACTAAATGATACGCCTTTAATCCAACTACAGTGACAGTTTTAAACTTGTCCTCTTATTTTCATTGATTGGTCATACATGTAAGTGAGCTTTTCTTCTTAATAACACTGCTCTAAAAGAAAAACAAGAAAACCTAGATATATTTGTTTAAGTACAATCTAGCTTACGATGGCAGTCTTTTGGATGATTATCCTATCAGAAGTTGTACAAAGAAGATTTCGTCTATGTGAAAAGGATACGAAGAAAAGTAACGGATTTTTTCATATTATCCCTTGAGAGTCCATAGACTAGATTCAAATACTATTATACTCCCTGCAGACAAAAATAGGGTATTATTCCTCTAGGTCTTCCAATATCCCTCGACCAGGTAGTTAGTATGCATTGTCCCCCAGTTGAGTTGGAAGTGTTATAGTAGACTCGGAATCGAGATAGATCATAATAGTCAGTTCGTCTTTCCTTTGCGCTGTCGTTCAAGATCCCTTACTGTCCACTTTCTCCAAGGATTACGCCCGCATCATTTCCTGGCCAGTCGGAGGGAGGAAGTGCGGGATATTAGGCCACTATAGCTCATATAGAAAGAACTTGGACTTAACTGATGATTTGATTGCTATTGTACCAAATGTCCCAAAGGACGTCCGCAAACTGCTTACTCCTAGTACAAATATACCCTTGAGGTCCAGGTTCCATGCACCCACCCATACTAGCTGCGGAAACTCTGATGCGCCAAGTTAAATAGTCGCGCCCAATATCAAAGGTGCATCTTGAAGGCCGAAGGGCATGGTCACTAAATCTTCAGCTCAATCCTTGAAGAATGTTCTCCGGTGGCGGAGGCACAATGTCAGCATAGCGCTCAGGGATTCCAATTTCCGGTTGTTTTGATAATAAACATGGCGATTAGAAGCCAAGGCCACAAGTCACACAAACATATTAATCCATTGGAAAGACAGGCCCACCCCTTTGAAACGTTCATTTTTTACAAACGACAAATAATACGCCGGTACAAAAACGAATATTTCTCTTAGCCCAATAAAATGCCAGGAATGGGGGAACTTTATCATTCCCACCGTTCCCAACATCCACAGACGAACGCCTGTTATATATCAACGGAAAAGTTCTCATAATCACCGGGAGTCGAATATGAGCCCACAAAGATCCTCTGCCTTGCAAGAGTTACGGTCAACATTGCTGCTTGCTCGAAAGCAATATATCGAAGTACAATTGATAAATGCCACGCGGAGCTTCCAAATGGGAACCTTTAAGAGTATGGTCATCTATCTTGGGGATTTGAGGACGGTGAAGCGTGCTGCGGACGTATTTGAGAAATGAAAGTCTATTGAATAATGTTTTATTCCACAACACTAGTGTCATAGAACCGCTAGCTGGCAGTAAGGATAAGTTACTTTGTATCATTCCCCCGTCCCTCTCGTTGAAATGTATATATGGAGAATAAGCTGATTGTTAGTCGCGAACAGGGTCAAGATCTAGATATGGAAACGACTGCTTGGGTCCTTATCTCCTGACTTCGTTCCTCGTATAGCTCCTCATAGAAATTGCCGCTTTTCCGGGAATCTCGCCAGGAAGCGTTCCAATAGTCTGGGTCATTTCCGTTCTTCACTCAGGTCCACCTGATGACACGACCTTTGAAGCAGATGGAGCACCAACAATCAGAGGTGGTTTCATGTTGAACATCTCCAAAGCAAACATGGTGCGGCATGGCTAGCCAAATCTTTTGCCCCAAGACTGAGCTCGCGAGATGCACTTAATATTACAAGTGGTGTCACGCCAAAACACAACCTTCTGCTCAAAATATCTATACTGAAGGGGAATGTAGTGTCTCCACCCTGGTTTACTTTAATAAAAACTGAGATACTCGTGCAGAGAAACTACCCCTTTCCCATTCCCATTGATCATGGTAAGTTGAAAAAGTTTTATATTTCAACCTGGGGCAAAAGGAATGGTACTGATAAATGAGCAGCGTCTTACTTCAAGAGACCGGCTTATGGCATATTCAGAATTATTCTCCGGGTTATCACCAGATACTGGATTGGAGTATAGTGTTGGTTACTAAAAGGCGTGGCGTAAACACTACGATTTACAAGAGCGTATAGCAACGACACTGACGAGTTAAGTTCAAGGAGGAGCCAGCGTTGCTGCAAAACTGTTCGATTGCTGCGGTCGGGAAGTTGCTTTGTATTGATAGGAGAAGGAAGGTGGGTTTTGGTTGGATGTACAATTCGTCCGTATCTGTTCTTTGTCGATACTCTTGCTTTTCTAATGGAATCATTAGAACAAAAAGTCATCTGTCTGCCATGATTGTTGTTGAGTCTCTTGTCTAGGCCACGCATAATTATCGAATGTTTCCTAGATAAAGTTAATTGGGGGTTCAAGAAGTAGCGAAAGGGAAGAGAACAAACCCAGTCGAGGTTACCCGTCATTTCTTTGAAGGATCCTAGTGAATCGTCTGCCATAGCAAGAATGTCATCATTTGATAAGAAGCCAAACCCCGGAGAAGTGACGTTTGCAGCTTTTAAATTACCCCAGGGTAATTGGCACGATTGAGCACCATACGGTAAGGAGGAAATCACACCGGGTTCGTCTAAGATTTGTCAGTACTCGAGTATGGAAGGTGAAATGGGGACCCTGGTAAGAGAACCATGGAGAGACAGCATTCAGAAGTGCTGAAAGTCTGCCAGGAATACTTGCCGTTTAGTTTCAGTCCAGCCAAAGATGTTCCTTGCTCACATGCAGTATTCTTTTGAGACTGGCTTCGTAATCCCGATTTGACTCTACTAAACATGACTTCGAAGTACGTAGTAGCTTGGGGACAATGCTTGTCCTGTACTTGTTCCCATACCACCTGTAACACAAAATCTTAGAGTCAGTTTGTTTCTCTGGGCTAAAGTAAAATTTGATAAAATAAACAGAAACTGGCTCTGGTAGTTACTGAAATAGGTGCTCTTAAAGTAATGAAATAGGACTTACGTGAGACTTTTCAAGAGCTTGGAGTAGAGAGAGGAGTTCCTTATTCTTTGGGTCATTAATGTTATCCAGACTCAATCCGGCTTTAGTGGCTTTCATCACTTCCACGCAGATAAGCAAAGCCGCTAGCAAAAAGTCGTGCGTTGAAAGAGTCGATAAAAACCATCGATCATTGGCCAAGGGCCCACCTGGAGTTGCGGCTTCGTATGTCATCGCTTGTCCGCTGAGCAACTCCATTGAAGCATCCAAGGCTTCTTTCTTCGAAAAGGTGTATTCTGGGGTATCCTCTTCATACGCAAGATAGTTTCGGTGCAACATGCAGCGGCACTTATGGTAAACCAAGAACATGCTAAATTGCTTGACAATAATATTCGCTGAGTCGGTGATCGATATGCCGGTTCTAGAAAGGCGGTAGAATATGGGAATTTGGTCAAAAGCGTGATGCAAACTTTTGTCTAACTTTAGAATGTCTTCGTATGGGACTCTAGTGAGGCGGTTTGCCATCGTTGTGATTTTTCCCGCCTCTTGACACAATATACTCTTGGCTATGAGATATGAAATGGGAGTGAGTTCCGATGGTGATCTCGATGGCGGGAGCTCGATGGTATCTTCCCCAAAGTCCTCATCTCTGAGGTTTCTTGGAAGCAAAGTATCTGAGTCAATTGAGTCTACCATACCTGGCAAACCAATGTGGAAACAAGAGAGCATGTCCAATTGGGAAACGTGATGCCATAATCGTCGACGTATCTCTGATTGATAAGGGGTAAGAGTACCGTCAATCTTATTAGCATCTCGATGAAGACCCATCCTCAAACAAAGGCGGACGATATTGCCGACAAAAAGATACAAGTACACTTCATCATCTTTGCTCAGTAGAAATTCGGCCTTGGGTCAGAATCCAGATGTTAGAAAAAGCTTCAAAGAATCAAATTGAATTATACCATACCTCGGCGAATATAATCATTGTCTCAATCGTGTGCTTGCTAGGCTTCGTATAATTGGATGTGATTAAAGCTTGCGTGCAATACTTGCGGTAGAACCAAAGCATTTCGTGGGGTGTACCACGAGTATCTGGATGGACTTCCTTTCCTCCAATAACCACCAAAGAGGATATCGTCAGCATTGCATATAACAGACCGAGCCAGTTAACAGAAACATTACTTGGAGCTTCCCAAAATTTCCGGTACTAGGGAATATGTGGTCAGCAAAATTGAAAGCTAATGCAAGTACAACAATTAATACAAGGATGATTATGGTTACAGAGACACCATTCTCTACGTACATCTTTTTGGAAAGTAGGAGCATGAATTATGGCTACAATAGCATCAGCAAGATTCTTGTAGAGTTCGTAAAGAGGTCCACAAACATAATGAGGGGCTGTTGGAATTGAAGTGACGGGCGACAAGGTGATCCACCACCTTTTTATCTGGTAAACCTACGAATTTTGGAGTTAGTATGCTCCTTTGAGGATAAGTGACGAATATACATTTCATTCCAGCGCCAGAGAAAAAATGCAAATTACTAACCTGACAGAAGGGTTTCTTTCGAGAGAGTGTGGGATCCGTTGAATGCCATGGTATTGAATGGCGAGAGATCCCTCTCTGGAGCATCGCGTTCTGGCTCAAACTCTTCGAAAAACCCTCTTACTTCTTCAATCTATAAGATTCAGGTAAGCTGAAAATCCCCAATTTATTCGAAGTTAAACCCTACGTCTTCCAGAATCGCCCCCCAGTGCGTTGCTCCGATGTACGTTGACTCTGTACTTCCTTGGACCACTCTGGCCGTAGATATTGGCGGTGGTGATTCTTTTTCCTTTCCAGTCCTAATTTCCTCGTGATTAGGCAGTTTTACTATTTCATCGTCAAAAATTCCATGGTTTGGATGGCCATCGCTGTTGCTTGGTGAAATCTGGATGGGATTCTCTTTGGACATGACATTCTTGACTAGACTTTCAAGATGCCGCAAACGATTCTGCATACTGACGGCAGCCTTTTTGCGGGGTAGTGATGCTGGAATTGTGCAAGTTGAAACGCGCCCTTTTTTGATACATTGTATACAGGGGACTTGTCTATCGCACTTCGATTTGGCGTGACGACCTGTTGACATTTAGAGACCACACTTTCGAAATCAAAACATGTCATATTGAGAGTTATTCTGCAAAAACTTTCTCTCGCTAGAATCCACTACATAGGTTCATCGAAAGGAGAATTCTTTGTCACCTACAGTTCGTACAGCTCAGCTGTGGCCGGTTCCTCTTCCCTTGAGGTGGATGCGCTATGACATCGTGATCATTACTGGCTGCAGACATGATCTGCCAGGATAATATAAGCCAATTGAAAGTATGGTTTCTCGATGAAAGATTTGAGCTTGAAATAGATTGCTATGGATACATGATGTCGAGTAGCTTTTAGATTTGATGTTGCAGTGATAGAGGCGTCAGCTTGTGACCCCGGATATATTTCCTTCTTTGGGTTTGATCCGTCTTATATCACGTGGCAGTTTTCTCATCTCCTTTGCACCGAGTTAAGCGCATTCCAGTTTTTTTCTCAGAATGTTATACTACTTGAGCTTCAGAGGTTTAATATTTGTTGGCTTCAGGGTGTCACATTGTTAAATTAATCCGCGTTATTCAACAAGAGCACGAATCCCTCCATATCTTCTTATTGAAAAATCTATGTAGCCTTTGCAGGGATGGGTAGAGAAAATAAGATATGAGAAGGCCTAAGTTTATCATCCAAATGTGCAGCTGGGAGATAGGATGTGGGAAAAGCCGAAGATTGCTACAGATAGTTCCAAGGACAAGAGGGTCTTTGACTTGTAGAGCTCAACAAGTTCTCTTATAAGGCTCCTATTGAGCTACTATCAAATCTTTGACAGTTCTCAAAACTTCACCAAAGAATAGAATAGTAGTATAGAACGTGTTTATTCGTTGAAGAGAAATCTATTCCGACGCACATGTCAATCGTAATGCTGGATTCCTGAACTCCCCCCAAAACCCCACCAATGCCAAACCAAACGCCTCTCACTTTGTTGCAGGAGCCTTCGACATTGATGCAAAGTCATCAGCTGGTGCCTTTTCTTTTGGATGTTTTGCCTAGAAGTTCATTAGGGTGTATTATTTATTAGGGAAAACCGAGGTGAACCCACCTCCCAATGAATCTTCATGTTGTTGATATTATCAACTTCAGCTTTACAAGTGGCCTGAATAATTGTTAACTTGAACCAAGTTGTTCGAAAGTCACGGACTAGACGAACGCATTGGTACTTCATTCCCTTATCTTTCTTTAAGATCGAATTGCCTCCCTTCTTTGCTGCGGCCTGTGCTTTTTGCTGAGCCTCGATCTGCAAGCGTTTGTTAGTAAATGAAAATAATTCCCTATAGTGTGCGTGCCTTTTGAAGTCCTCGAGCCATTATGAAGTTGTAAAGATGTGGGCTATTGAGTTACCGGAAGTGGGGTACGATAGCGTTTTGATGTTGATGTTCTGATGGAACGAAATGTGTTTTTGTCGGAGAAATGGCGGAATTCATGCGCTCACCTCCAACATGTGGACGTTTCACGTGATTTGATTCAGTCGAGCAACCCGACTACCGGTAGGGACCTTGGTAAGGTCGCCATCTATATGAAAACATTTAAAGGTTAGTATTCGATCCATCATGGAAGGACTTGATCAAAAACAGCAATCGTAGAATAATAGAAATAGCCTGATCACGTGAAAATGATATGTCGAAAACACCTGTAATCAGAAAAATCCTTGTAGAACAGGGAAACGATATGCGCTTGAATTTTCTGACTATTCGGAATAGTTGTAACTACTACCTATATTACGTCGGGATTAGGATATGAAATTCCGTGTAGCTTCTCCTGTTTGTAAGGCTCACAAACGCAATGTTTCAAGATGGATTTACAGAAAGCTAGGAGGATACGTGACTCGTACCAACGGCACAAAACAACATGACCACCCCTCCGAACAGCACTTCCATGAGTCCCATTTCTATCAGCCAAGCAGAACTCGCTCTGCAATAGGTCTCCCATCAAAGTCCTCGAACGGCCTGTTATTGTGATCAAAACTTTAAAGACATCTGAACTTGGAACCACAGGCCCCTTATTACCATAGCCAGTTCCCAGAAATAAATGTCAGTACTACGGTCATCCGGCCACTGGAAATCATCAACGACGTAAAAGAGAATGTTTGGCACCAATTGAAGCAAGCTGTTGAAAAGGTCAATGGCTTCTTTCCATGTTTTAATGTACCATCAAGCAGGGGGAACCTCTCTTCGCGGAAGTTCAACTCATGTTCGAATTCTATCGGGAGCCCGTCGACCATTCGTCGAACACGGGGTATTTCAAAGCGATCAATACTTCAGATTCAATTGTGTTTCCTGGTCGGCAATCTTTCGTCTACAGAAGCATGATATCACCAACTTTCTTGCAACGTTTATACCCACATACAACCCTGCTAATAAGTTAATAAGACTCCCTTTTCTCAGCGAAAAAGCAAAGGTAAGCAAGCTTATTGACGCTGCCTTTGATGGGATTAATGAAACTCGATTATATACAAATGTCTCCAGGCTCACACGATAAAATAGAAAACTTACAATCTCAGTCGTCTGCGCTTCTTCTAGACCAAATCCTTGCTGCCCAGCAATGGATAAGATTCCAGAATCAGCAAGTCTTTTCCGGTCCGGCGGTCACCTAGCCGCGACGCCGCTGAGCGCTCCAAAGATATCGGACGGATAGGTTCGGGCACAATCTGAGTACGGCTTTTTGTATAAACCTCGCGACTTCTCTAGAATTGAGACGCTTTCTCTTTCATACAATGTTACTTCCGATGTATGTTAGCGCGGTCGTCGTTATAACCTTCCACCGCTAAGTCTCCATTGGTAAGGTATCTTGGTGCCCCTTCATTGATGCATGTTCCCGAGGTGCCCAGTAAGGATTGCTCATTCATACAACTTGTTCCCTTAAATCTTCATGATTAGATTTCTATGGGTTATTAGTCTCCGAGTACTAAAGTACAGGCGAGCTTGGAAACCACTTACAGTCTGTCGTCTGATGGAGGTTTTCCTTCTTCGTGGTGATCGCGCCGTTTCGTAACTTCTCTCTTTACTAAGCGATCTTCGTTTTCAATGAGAATCGCATTCAGGTTGTTAGTGACCCCGCTCAACGGTGCTCTCGGCTCAATTTCTAGGCTATAAGAACGAACAAGTGCACCGCCTCCGGTTACCAACGATACCAATAATACTCTTGTATAATATCCGGCTCGAAGTCGATCTTAGTTACAGCTAAGTAATATTTCATGTTCTCTGGCTTACCGTGCCTCCCTGTTCCCCCATGCCCCTAATTTTTCTGACCTCCCGGCTGTCTTGCATAGTTCTAATTTGGGCACTGTATACTAGCTATCAACAACACACAGTGTTGTGACTTACTAGTACGAGGCTTTGGTGATGGTAAGTGTTGACTTTGCGTCGGCGTGTTATACTCATAAAATCACAACGGAATTTGTTCCCTGGACAAGCTCGCTTTCTTGTTTGTGGAAGTTGCGATAATACTTAATTGATATCAAAGACACTCTTATACAAAACAAGAAGTGTAGTGGTGGTGTATAATTTTGACCACCTACCACCTATTCTCTGTCCAATTCAGGTGAATTACTATATTCCATATGCACTTAACTTATATGGATATTGTTGGATCAACAAAGGGGGGAAAGACGAGCTGTTCAGGTTCCTTGTCTTATCTTAAGCATAACAATCGTAATGTTTTCCAGGGTTGATTCCTATATGCTACTGTAGCTACCCTAGAAGGCCTATACTTCTTTCGCCTAGAACGAAGTGCTTCCTTTCAGGCAAACTACCTGGAAGTCATCATAACTTTCGGTGGGTGGCTGATTAACTTTTTGACAATGTATTACGTATATTGCCTACTATAAATTTAATTTCTTACCAAGTTCCTTATACTATAGATAGCGTTCCTTAGCTATCGATCCGATTATAATCCTTTCTACTTAATTAGCCCGGTATTAATTAGGGGTCGTGTAGTCGTATTAAAACCAAGAATGTAGCGTGTCTTACGGATAATATTACAGTACCACCTCGATACAAGGATACTCGATATAAGGATAACCCCAATTATATCCCCAAGCCTTTCCGTTACAAACAACCTTCCGAACCTAAAAGAACCTCGGCAGACCAGACCCTGGTATAGATGTTATACTATATTATTATCTACGTGTAAGTATGGTCCAAAAAACCTGTTTATTCTTATACTGTAAATCTACAGCAGTTTTAGTTTCATCGCATATAGTTTGACGTGTAAAGAATAACCCGGGACAACCATGGGAGAAGGGGTACTCTAGAGTCTAACTCTGTAATTTCCCAAAACGCATTTAGCTGAACGCTTTTTGGAAACTGCCATATTTAACGGCAAGTGATATCATTTTGTCTCTCCAGAAAGTTCAGACGATCCATACGGTAGAAAGAGGGTTAATAGTGAATGTGATTTGATTACCATTATACCAATGGTGTCCTGAAGGACGCCTGTAAAGTGCTTTTTCCTAATACATATACACCTTTGAGTTCCCACTGTGGTGATACGTGGATGGGTATGACTGTGCCTGTTGTAAGTGCATTTGAGCATAGTGTAGCAACATACTATAAAGCCACAGGCTACTGACCCTCTGTACTACTATTTAGCTTGAAGTAGGTACTACTCATCGACGAAATAACGATTTTAGTATTCGAAATATCTCTAATCTGGCTGCGATAATATCGCGGCTTTTGTCTTAATCTCATGCCCGTAATAAATGTTTACTTAACCACCTAAAATGGATTACTGTAGATGTTACTCTTTAGCGTCTCTTCTGGAGAGTTGTTCTATGTTGTCAAGGGTATGCTAACAAGCTGTTTCCGCCATATACAGCAAGGCAGAACTGGTCTTATTCAGGTCTCATTCTCTTGTAAAACCTTCAAAGGAGACACTATTATGTAGTTGTTCTCGTTCGCTCCCTTTGGTAATTATCTCCTTAGTTCATTCATTAATATTATTGTTCAGTTAACCTGGCATTCTCTGACCATACAGACATATACCTATCAGCATTATATATCAGATCTAACAAAAAGATAACTGCACCTCCCAGCTTCCCTGTTCATGAATCTTCCTCCCTATATACAAACCCCCATTTCGCCAAACCCACCAAACCAATCCAAACCCCACTAACACTCACCATTTCTATTTCTATTTCCATTTCCAATCCCATTTACTCCTTCCCCAAAATCCCTCATCTCCACCTCCCTCTTCCTAGCCAACTCCCTAACCTCCTTCTCATCCCCTCCAGCAAGCTTATCCAGAAACAAATACACAAGCTCAATCACCCCCGCAGCCACCTTCCAAACCCTCCTCACCGCCCTCGCAGTTTTAGTTTGCGAAAACCCATTGGGGGTAGTCCGTCCAACTTCCCACTGCTCGAGCGTTTTCACCTTCCCATCTGGGCCGTGTTCCTGTCCTGGGATCCATTTCCATGTCACGAAGAGACCAAGGAGCATGAAGCTGGAGAAGCTGCAGAAGAAAGTTAGCTACATTCGGGTCGAGAACGAGGGTTGAGTGAGTGGGAAGGGGGACGGACATTAGTAACGAGTTTCGGAGCCAGATTTGGATCTTTGTGTCTTTGTTTATCTTGGTGCCCCCATGTCCGTAGTCGACGTATGCGAGAAACAATTGAGCGATGACTGAACCGAGCTTTCCAAAGGCCGCCGAGATTCCGTGTGATAGGCCCCGGTAACGAGTTGGGAATAATTCTGCGGGTATCTGACTACAATTAGCAGAGGTTCTGAAGTCTTTTTGTAAAGCGCAAGGTTCCCACTTACAATATACGTCGTCGTATTTGGGCCTGTTTGTGATTGTCAGTTACCATGATCCGCAATTGCATCTGGAGTTCGTCTCTTACCAAAATTAAAGAAGATTTGACATAAAATATAAAGAACAACAATCGCGGGATTTCCACCATTCTCATACAAGTGTTCAAACGAGCCTCCAATAACCACGAAAAGAATAAATAACCAAAAGAAACCATTCATCTGTATAGTCCTTCGACCAAGTTTATCGATAGTAAAAATCGTGATTAAGCATCCTATTATCGCTCCCAAAGAAACGACAATCAGACTTTGCCACACATCGCTAATGATCATGTCATAAATAAAATGGTCCTTCGGTTCTTTCCCGTACCAGATGACATTGATGATATGAGGACTCGACATGCCCAATCCATAGAAAGGTAGGTCTATAGCCATCCAGCAAAAAGATGTTGCGATCAATGTGCGGAGATTTCCATCCTTCCAGAAGTATTGTTTGAACTCTTGCCAGGAAGGCTCTGGCGGTGGTATACTCTCTTCTGCAGGTTCCAAATCTCTGCTGTCCTGTTGACTAGCGATCGATGTTCGGTTCGAGGCCGTATCAAATTCTCGTGCGTTGTTGTTCTCGCTAAAGGTGCCCGAAATACGTTGTTGCTCTCCAGAAGCGACGGAGGCTATGCCAGATGTTGTACGTCTTAGCCTATGTGCATTGTGTTCCATTCCGGCAATACCTATAGATGTCGATGATGCGGCTTGTGCTTGTGATAAGAGATATCCTTGTAATTCGGAAGCCGCCTTTTTACTGTCACGAGCGACATCTGCGGTGTATCGGGGTGATTCAATAATTGTCAAGCGAAACCACAATGCTGCTCTTTGTTAGTTACCATAGCTGAGATTTTGAAGCTCGAGGCAGAATCAAGACTTTTTGGAGATGTGGTATTGTACCTATGACAGCTGGGATAACACCAACCCCTATAATCCAACGCCATATGGAATCCAGTGTTTTCAGACATTCAGTATTACAGTTATCCCGCTTGGCGTCAGCTGGGATTCCGCTTTTTTGATTTGCCATTGCAATCAGAGTAACTAAAGTAGCGGCAAGTTGACCAAGAGGTTGACACATGAAAACAACCGTCAACATCTTGCCCCGTAGACGTGTCGGAGCGAATCTGTAACATCGTTAAAAAAGCTCAGTCCCCTCATTGGGTAGACTTACTCGGAACAAATGACCGCACTCAAAGGATAACTAAAGAGGAGGTTAATAAGAGCTTTTTCTCATTCCCAGAATCATAATGATTGCATGAATAGAGGGACAACTTACTCAGCGCCAATTCCAATACCAAGAACAAATCTCCAAACCATCAGCCATACTATTAGAGACATAGAGTTTGCAACTCCGTTAGACGCCATGACACAACCCTAGTTTCCTCGTCAAAAGACCGTTATTTGTCAAAAAAAGCGGTTTCATTACTTACTAGTGTGGCGGCAATAGTGATGATCAATTCCAGTCCGTACATTTTACGCCTCCCCCAAATATCAGCAGCAATCCCAAAAGCAACTTGACCGATAATCGATCCACCAAGTGTGAGAACGCTGAGAGCTGTTTCGTGGCTGGCGGTCATTATTCCATTATTGGGAGCCCCCGGATAGTAGATTATTCCCAGTATCGGGATAACCATATTTATAGCAAAGATAGAATATGCGTCTGTGAAAAAGCCAACTCCCGCAACCACGACAACCCATGACCATTCTGATGGCTCGGCCTCCTCGAGTCGACCTAGGATATACAATCTGCGGTCTGATTCCTGTATCTGGATATCAATATGGAAATTGGAAGCACCAGGGTGCAGATACGTACACTGATATGTTCGAAATCGTCATTTTTGAACGGGTTGAGAAAAAGCTTAAACCATCTAAACCCCCAGCGCGACATCGTTTTATACTTGATGTCTCAAAGTATTTGAGCTTGAATGTGGGTTCAAAAATTGTTGGAAAACAAACTGAGCGATTGAAAAAGATTAACAGAACGAATTAAACAAGATGTATTTAGGGTAATCACTATGAAAGTTACCAACCATTATACAAAGCTCAAAGAAAGATGGAAGAGGAAACACTGAAAGCAAGTCGGGATCGAAGGCAGACCTACAAGGCTGAGTTTACCCTTCATAATATCCCGCGTGTCACCACACTCTCGACTGGGGGCTTCGCATTGCCCGCCCGACTTGAATGTGTGGCTGCTACTGCGCCGGAACGCCAATCGATCATTCGCAACCCAAGACATCAGGAATACTCACAGAATCCTGAGAAGCTTGGACATAAACTCCAGATGACTCGAGGGAAAGACTTGAGGACATTCGTGTTACCGCCGGCCCTGGGCGTGAGTATAGGTACCAACTTTGGGGATTTTTGAGAAAATACCACCTCTACTTAGCTGACCACGTTTGAGATTGTTCCTTAATATAGATCCTTGCTAACGGTAACCTGATAGTAGTACGCGAATCCGGGGGTAGTCTGACATTGGCAAACCAACTAGGTATCCAATATCTTGGTATCAGGAATCATATTTTGGAAGCTGAAGAGGGTTGTCCGTTTTTCTCTGATTTTGAGATGATGCTTCAAATTCTTTCCTAGGATGGTGGAAAAATTTGTCGCCTAGATACCTTATACATCGAAACGAAAGGACGCGGCAGAAGATCTAGCACCAGGCTGGAAAGCGAGCTCCAACCACTTTATGAATGTGCGATCGTTCCAATTACCAAATCTGGGCACGTTCCTTATATTTTGCTGGTCTTGATTTGACGTTACGGAGAATTTGAAGCGCTCACGCTGTGGTGACTTTTTGACGTACCTCCCTTCCCCTTTCGGGCCACAAGCGAACACATGTTCCCGTCTTGGCCTCTGATTGGCCACGTCATATTTATATACCACCACCACTCCTTCAGCCTCTATGTAACGGTTCGAATTGTCAACGAATTACGACGGTCTACGGTCATGCACAATTACGCTGACAGTTTGTGATGCCTTCCTAGGGCGAACTGCCTCATCCAAAATTGATCTGCGAGTGTCGTTCACCGGTCGGAAGATTTACAGCAATTCCCTCATTTCTAGATTCGTATTGAAAGTCTGGCTTCCTGTCTCGCTTCTGGTGCTCGTTCCGGGGCTGTGTAGGTGTAGGGCGTCTTGTGTGCTGCCAGTGCCAGTGCCAGCGCCAGCCACGGATACTCAGTCGTCCATCAGCGAAGACTCCTCTCTCAACAGGCTACGGCGTGGTGATGGTTGCAAGTTTCAGGCAGAGGCGAGAAAGACACTTCTTCGCAAGATACTGTGATTCCACTGTTGCTTTCTTCTTCCATACACCAGCCAACCTCTCTCATCGCTAGCAATACTTGACACGCGACACTTGTGGCGAGATCTCTAAACATCTTGTACTTAGATCCCAACTTCCATGTTGAACTTGCAGGGGCCCTTGAAAGACACAGAATAAAAGCATGCATCCCCTAGACATCCCCACTCTCCCCTACATCCTACCGTTCAACATTATAACGAACTAGAAGAGAGTTGGGACTTTCACTAAGAGCGCGAATACATCATCAGTATCTCTTTATGGGAACAGTTCACTTGATTTCGCAGCATGGTCGACTTTGGGTGGTCGTTCGGTGATGTTATTGCAGGAATCAAACTAGTTCACACCATCTACGAATCGGTTTCTGATGGTCCTCGAAATGCAAAAACTGAAGCTACTCAGTTCTTCAGTGAGTTTGAGGGAATCATTACTCGCTTAGATCAATGGGAAGCTCGGATGAAATTATGTAGCAGGGACCAAAATCAAGCTGCGGCCCACGAGGATCTCAAGCAAGAGGCGACGAAATTCATCAAAAAGCATATGGGGTTGATTCAACAAGCAAATCCCAGTACTGTCGGACGTCGAACTGGTCGAACGACTTGGCTCCAGCCTGCTCCCTTTTCCAAGGCCCAGATTGCAAGTTTATACAGTCAAGTCGTGTGGCCTTTTGAACGGAATGAAGTCGCGAGGTTAAGGGGAAAGCTACAATTTTTCCTCCAGCTATCCGCATTTGACGTCGGTATAGATACTAACGATATTGTTCGAGATACCAACGATATCATCAGGTTTACACCAACCTCTTTATCCTAATTTGACCAAGACTGATATTTCTATAGAACATCGCATGCCGATTTACTTTCATCAAATCTCAGACTGGTCTCCTCACATCTGGAACTTGTTTCTCTCATCACGCTAAATCTGAAAAGAGTCACACATCCCCTCGAGCCCGGGGTTCAGACTCATAAAATCGATTATCCACTGCTAAGGCAGTTTGAACAAGCTCTTAGGCCACCACAACCTCTTCTAGCCATCGAAGCTCGTCGACGTGAAGTTGGTCTCCCTTGGCATTCCGAAAGCCACAATCACCAAGCAGAGCTTGCCAGGGTCTCGCCAAACACCTTGTACGATAACAATGCCGGACACTTCGATCAAAACGAAGTTCGGGATTATATCTCGAGACGTTTAGACAACATGTCAATGAGATTTAGACGAGTCGACGAGATGGATAGCCTACCAGAAGATGAGATTTCCGTTGGATCGACATCTCTACAGACTCTTCTTCAACGATTGGGCGATATGCGCAGCCAAATAGGAAGCGCGGTGGGAATAGGAGCCTCTCAGATGCCTACGTATGCTTCACAGCATACGACAGTGGAGCCCGGGAACGTTTTACAGAATGAGCTGGAGGCATGGAACCAACTGGAAGAAAGAATCGAAAGAGAGATATTACACCCCGGTTGGCGTTTAACAACAACAGCTCCAATACCCATCCCGTCTCCAAGACAGCCGATTCCACGCTCTCCATCTGTCAATCCTTCTGATGGATTACATGCTCGGTCTATGAGTAGTTCTAGCAGTCACGGAAACTATTTGAGCGCTTCTCCCTCTTCTCCTGGCGGCGCTTGGAGCACTACGGGAATGAGAAACAGCTCCATATCTTCGGCTTCCCCAACTCCATCCATTCATCTCAACCACTCTATTCCTGCGCAAATGTAAGCCAAATTGCTCCATCACATATAAATTGCCTCACTTACAATTTCTCTCAGAACCTACTCGAGTCAAACAAACACCCACACATCAAAGGTGGACATCCGCTCCATCAGTCGATGCGAAGATGGTCGAGTGCAATCAATAAAATCAACCTCCCGAGACAAGGAATTTGTACACCGAGTCGATTTCAACGCACAGTCCTTGACGGAGACCTCCATGAACCCTTTCCTAGACAATGGACACGTTGTCAACCGTGACAACACTCATCGGCGAAGAGACTGGAGAGTTCAATTCCAAGGAGCACACAATATCAAAGTGACAAAGCCTGATGGCATCTCAAGATATATAACGAAACCAATCTACAAATTCGATAATGAGAAAGGTAAGAATCACATTCACAGACAATGAAATGATAGTGAACATTTCTAGATTTCTTGGAATTCCAACGTCTTCTACTAAACAAAGACGTCAAATTCTGCGCCGATGTCCGGTCCATAAAATCGACTTCCGATAGAGTCCAATGTAGCCTCAGTACAATACGAATCCTCCTCGACGGATACGGACACCGTTCGATCTTCTACTTCCGCCACACAACCGATCAGAGAGATCGAGACGACTTTGAAGAATGGCCTGGTAACCCTAACCCCCTCTCTCTCATACTATTGAACATCCGTCATCACAAGCAACACTAACACAATCTAGCCGATTCCTTCCTCGAACCACCAGAACCACCCCCACGACCAAGACAAAACAAACACACCATCACCCTTAACAGCCACGACGGCCAGCCCCTCACAACACCCACCCCCCTCTCCAGACGCACAACCCACGGAAGCATCACCACCATAGCCTCCACCGAATCATCCCCGGGCCCAACATTCACGCGGTTAAGCCAACGATCCACGACGGGTCGAGCGATTAAAGGGTTGGTGATTGATTTTTACGATTATAACGGTGCGTAACTCCCCGTCTCCAGAGTACTTTATTCCCCTGTGATCTTTGCTCCTTCTAACTCGTATACACAATCCTAACCACCCACCAGACTGCCAAAAATTCTGGAAAGAACTCCGAGTCAAAGACGAGCTCTCGGTGTTCGGGGGGCCGGAAGGCCAATTCGGACTCGGCCTCGACTTACCCGCTGAGTTATCGGGGGAGTCTCTTACGGAGTTACCGTGATGTGATGATTTGTGCTTGGGATGTGGATAGGATGTAGTTATAGATGATACCATAGAGTAATGTTCAATTTAATACTGTAATTTTATTGGGAATGTTGGCCTGGAGTAGAGTTCGTTTTCGATGTCGAGGAAAGGAAAGGAAAGGAAAGGAAAGGATAGGATAGGTGTGATTGGTTGTTTGATTGGCGGGGGGATTTAAGCGAGGATGGAAAATATATCTCTTCTCTATATATCATTTACTAAAGATATAGTCCTTGGTTGTCCGTAATTATCAAGAACTATAACATTCCCCCTTTAAAAACTTACGGGTAGTAGATACAAGTCCTTACAAAAACCCTACAAATATATATGAGCAACTTGATTTTGTCATATATACCCTCTAGCTATTACAGTAGCAGGGCCATTATCATTAAACTACACAGTTCTTCATCGATCAAAAGTAGGATACTTAATCACCTCATCCTCATCAGCAAGAATGATATCCTCCCTAATCTCTCCCTCTCCATCATCATCATCCTCTTCTTCCTCAAAATCATCATACTCCTCATCCAAATCCCCTTCATCATCATCCCCAAGCTCTACTGCACCCCCAAAGTTGGGAATTAGAGGTCGTCTATCCATTGTTTCCTCATTGGGCAAGATGGTTTGGAGAGCTGGGTCAATAGCCAAGTATTGGCCGGTCGGCAATCGGATTCCAGATGTTGCTGCTGCACCGGCGATAGCTTCAGCAATAGGGTCATTGTCAGGATTGTTGGCTTCTTCGTCTCCTTCTTGGTCATCTTCCATGTCATCTTCCATTCCCTCCTCAAATTCTTCCTCTTCATCGTCAGGTAGTTCATCCAAGGTTTCCCTGGTCTTCTGCCGCTTCTTCGCATCCTTCAGATATGGTCCTAGCCGTGCAGTCCTTTCCTTGTAATGGGCATACTTCTTGATACCACCCGCTCTCGGAGCTACAGGTCCTTGCTCTTTCAGCGTTCGAAGATGCTCTTCCGAAGACCATACGAGAGGCAATGGGATAGTCAATTGATGACTCGCTTCCTTTTCTGGGACATGATCCGGAATCGCCAATGTTTTCTCAAAATCCTCCTCAGTGAGAACCTTTTGCAATTGAACGGCATCTAATTTGGTCCTCATGATTCCTTTTATTTTCGCTAAGGCCCCGTTCGTATACCACCCGTCGTGCAAATAATCGCATTTTTCCCGTACTTTACTGTTTTTGACAAGTCTCGCAAGCAGTGGATCTGTCAGGTCGCAAAGTTGCCAGACCTTTCCATCTAGGACAAAGGATTCGCCATCGAAGAAGTGACTTGTTGGATGGTACAATGTCTGGCCCACTGTCTTATCTCGGGTAATCCTAAGTCGTCGAGCAGGCTTCGTAGCACTTTCCATGTAGATCTTGAATACAACCGTTTGGTAAAAGCGATACTTTGAATCAGTTCGAGGATCAAGGCCAAATTTTACCAAAGCATCACGCCAAGGTCCTCCCTTGAACGTGTACGCGACATACTGGATGTTGTATCGCAGTAAATGACTGTAGGATAGAGAGGAGAATCGATTCTTCAAAGCTCTTCGCGTCCAGATGGGACGTTCCCGAAAGGCGAGCTGTAATTGTTTGACGACATCGATTTGCTCTGGATCATCTGGGAAATCGCCGGGATAATACTGGGGGACATCAACTGCATCAGAAACTAGATACTTGATTTTGATGGGTTCCATTTTGCCTTTATTGATTAATGTGGTGTTTCCAGTGGTATCTATTTCTGCCAGAAGATCGGCATTTTGGTGCCATCCCCAGTTGAATGGTAAACCATAGGTCGAAAGACTTGGAGGTGGAATATGATATTGATTCTTCTCCCAACCCATCGAAGAGTCAAGTTTGAATTCTCGAAGTTTGGAAGCTTTGCGAGGTTAGTTGTTGAGATAGTCAAAAGCGACAATTTAGCATACCGTTAGCAGGGAGAACAGTTGGTTGAAAGCGCTGGAAGAATTCCGTGTTGGAGACGGAATGATGAAAATCAGGGAGAGCTAATCATGAATTAGTATCGGAAGATGGTTCTTGGAAAAATAAAACGAACTTCGGAATCGATGTGTATGACTTATCTCTCCTACTGCTTCTACCTTGTAATTTCCCTTGTTTGCTCTTAGGCTTCTCAAAATGGTTGTTGGCTTGACCAAGGACAGAGGAGTATCTGATGGTGTTGAGACATCTACATCACCTTGAAATGGCCCTTGGGAACCCCGTTTTCGCTTTCGTCCTGTTCTCTTGGGAACAGTGATTTTGAGAAGTACATCGGTTGTTGCTGTGTGATGGGATAGTATTGGGGCGCACATGGGATCACTTGGGCGAAGGTATAAGGGCACACAACCTTCCGGATCCTCCCCTCGGAATATCTATATTGGTCAGCAAGGCCTTTCTTCCTAATGAACCACAATCCAAATCTCTATTCGACGCCTTCACCAGGCCAGTCACGAGATTCCGCCAGAGAAAAAAAAATCTATTCTATGCTCAAATAACATTGAGAAGCTTACACGTTCAAAGGGTTGTCCGATCCCAAATGTTTTAAGTGCTTTGTCGACATCATTCTTGATGAGCATGGGATGCTCCACCGAGTAGACAGCTCTGCGATCGATGCGATATAACGGAGCCCCTTCCGGCATGGTGGTAGATTGAATTGTACTGCTCACAAAACGTGCGTTCGTGACTTCCCAATGACTCTGTGATATAAGGCTTCTTGGATGCTCAAGTGAGTTAGTCCATGGAATATAAATCCACCGCAGTTTGAGTTTGGTGAAGGTACGAGTATCGAAAGTCGCAAATGTATGCCCAGCTTGGCGGTACCAAGGAAAGGTTCGACTAGGTATTTGCAAGGTTGGCTAAGCCCGGCCCGAGTTGCGGCACTATGACCGATGGCAGCCTTTCTGTGCCTTATTATCCAGGCATTGACAAACCAGACTTCGACTTCCTCACTCCCAGGCCGTCGCTGTCGTACTGTAGAATCTTAGCGCGAGTTGATGCCCAAGGCTAAATCAATACTGTAGGCGTTAGGCCCATTTGGGCAGTGGCAGTGGAGGTGGAGGGACAACCAAAGTCTACCTAGGTACCCCGTAGAGTACAGTAGGGTACACCCAAAGCCCAAGCATCAACAACTAATGATGTGTTGATGTTGAATTGCCTGCCCGCCCATTGGATTTCTTAGTGCTACCTCGACTTCGTAGTTCTACCGCCCAACCCAAGTGCATCCTGCGCTGTGTCACACCGTCGTCCCCGTCCTCATCCCGTGCCTGTCCTCTATGCCTGTGCCTGCCTGCCCCCAGTGAAGAAGTCGAAGTCTTCCAGCTTCAGCCGGGAGGCAAGAAGCGACGAGATTCACCGCCGACCGCAGTGCCCCCCCTCACGCACGCCCAGTTGCAGCAATTGGATACCCTTGACCGGCGGACCTTGGACCTTGGATAATCTCGATGTTGGTCAAGTTCCTTCTGCTGTCTCTGCCAGACCCAAGACTTCCCCTGATCAAGACTCAAGTCATCCAAGTCCTCTACTTGGGAGTAGTTGCGAGGGTCAAGCAAAGCAAAGCTACCATAAGGAGCGTGCGCTGACGGGATACCATCATCCAGTTCAACAGAGCCCCACCATCAAGACCACGAACCACCACGATCCCAACCCCGACCCATCGCTTCCTCGGAAAAGGAGCACCTGCGAGTCTGTGATTTTCCCATCTTGCATCAACCGCCTAACCACCGAGATATCTACAGAGAGCTCCCTCTTCCTCACGAGCGGTGACTTCTGCAATTTCCATCAAACATTGTTGCGCCTTGAACAAACGGCATCCTCAAAGCCAAGCGTGTCTACGGCCAGAGACTCGAACCCCATCACCCTGCCCATGCCTACCTATCCATACCAATTATCAGACCTTGTCCCGATAGCAGTCGTACGCCTTTACATGTGTGCCAACCTCCAGCAACGCGTCTGATCCATTCCACCACCCCCTCTTTTGCCTTCCTGCTGCGCGGCTGGAGAACGACGTTTCCTACATCAATCATAACAGTAATTCGGGTCTCGCTCGGATGTGGAAGAGTGCGCAGAAAGAGAAAAAAGAAGAACCCGCTGATAGTTCGAGCAATTCGCGCATCATGAAGGGCTTCAGGCAAAGAGTTGTAAGTCAGCCCGTCGGGTGTGAGAATGGAGCATAGCAAGCATAGCAAGCATAGCAAGCATAGCAAGCATAGCATAGCATAGCATCGCAAGCAATGAAGCTAGCCCGCTGCCAGCTAGCTTCCAGCTGCCCTACGCGAGCAAGCAAGACTTCTGGATTTTGTAATTGACCGCATGCTTACTCTCTTAGCATGAGCAGCTTTCGCGCACGAAAGACCCAAAATCAAAGTCCAAAAAAGAGTCCAAGGACGGCACCTCGTCTCCCTCGCAAGCCGGCTCCTCGAGAGACCAAGGTCAGTCTCCCGTCGCAACCCCCTCTTCCTCGACGACCACCCTCAACGATCCTCGAAACAAACCTCTCCCAACAAATGATGGTGTAGCTTCAAATGCCGGTTCAAGCCCCGCTGCACAACCACAGACGGGCTTAAATCCAGGCCCTGTTGCACCTGATCGGTTCAATACCACGATGAATGTGAGCCCTTCCAAGTCCTCTACACCGGGCACACCTAATCGTCACCACCAGCTCCCTCCTAGCGTCGTAATTAGTCCCAGCGCGCCTGTAAGTATTGACGACCATCAATGGATAATTTCGCGCTAACCATCCATCATCAAGCACGTTCCACCGCCAGGAGCCGCAGAAACGATGCCACACGATTTAGCGCCACCCAAGGCAGGGCAGAAGTCACTAATGTTCCACGGCCTACAAACTACGCCAAAGGATGTTCCCGAGGGGCTGAGAACGCCAAAGAGGCAGCATTCGTCACGATTCGATATCTCTCCGCAACGTGAACTTGAGAAGTTGCCTGGATTCCATGAGGTCCCCCCAAATCGCCGACAGGAACTCTTTATGCAAAAGATAGACCAATGCAATGTCATATTCGACTTTAACGACGCCAGTGGGGATATGAAATCCAAGGAGATCAAGAGATTGGCATTACACGAACTTCTCGACTATGTTGCAAACAACAGGCAGGTCATTACGGAAGCCATGTATCCTCGAGTGGTGGATATGTTTAGCAAGAATCTTTTCCGACCAATTCCACCACCCATGAATCCTCAAGGAGAGGCCTTTGATCCAGAAGAGGATGAGCCGGTTCTTGAAGTTGCATGGCCACATATTCAAGTTGTTTACGAGTTCTTCTTACGCTTTATCGAAAGTCAGGACTTCAATACCAACATTGCCAAGCAATACATAGATCATAGCTTCGTTCTGCAACTTCTAGAGCTGTTTGACTCCGAAGACCCGAGAGAGAGAGATTTCCTCAAAACCACCCTTCACCGAATATACGGCAAATTCCTGAACCTCAGATCGTACATACGACGATCCATCAATAATGTATTCTTCCAATTCGTTTACGAGACTGAGCGATTCAATGGTATTGCAGAGTTATTGGAGATTCTTGGTTCAATTATCAACGGGTTTGCTTTACCCCTCAAGGAAGAGCACAAGCTATTCTTGACTCGAGTCTTGATTCCATTACATAAAGTCAAAAGTTTGAGCATGTACCACCCTCAACTGGCTTATTGTATTGTCCAGTTCTTGGAAAAAGATGCGGCGTTGACCGAAGAGGTACAGTAATTCTAGTGGATAATTGTACACGAGCTTACCAAATATAGGTTGTTCTTGGCTTGTTACGATATTGGCCCAAGGTAAACAGTACCAAGGAGGTCATGTTCTTGAATGAGGTCGAGGATATCTTTGAGGTCATGGATCCAGCAGAATTTGCCAAGGTTCAGGAACCTTTATTCCACCAACTCGCCAAATCCGTTGCCAGCCCTCATTTCCAAGTGGCGGAACGAGCGTTGTACTTTTGGAATAACGAGTACTTTTGCAATCTCGTCAGCGATAATGTTGAAATCATTCTTCCAATCATGTTTGCGCCCCTCTACGAGAACTCAAAGGGTCATTGGAATCGGTAAGCAATTTTATGATCCTTGTAAGGGTTAACAGAAACTAACTTTGGTAGAACGATTCATGGTATGGTCTACAATGCGATGAAACTTTTCATGGAGATCAATCCTCAACTATTTGATGATTGTTCACATGATTACACCGAACACCAGAACAATGCCGAGGCTCGTGAGCTTGCGAGAGAAAACAAATGGAAAGCACTAGCAGATCAAGCCAGCCGGTCGAAATCCAATGGGACTGTACGACCTGGACACGTTTCGTCGCCATCTCGAAGCAAGATCACTACCCCATTACGAGTAGATGAGGTGGACCCAATGACGGAGGATAATCAAAAGAGGCTGGACTCGCTCAAGCTTCAAGATGCGGATCGACGGGATAGAAGGCCGGCACATGATCGACAAAACTCGGTAGGCTCCTCCAGAAGCCAGCGATAATCGTATTTGGAATTATGCTTGTATGCCCTATCTTTTAGGATGCCCGCTGCCTTTGTTCCACAGTTTTGTCGCGAATAGATGTTTTTTGGCCCACGCATTACTTACTATTCAATTGCTCCCTTCTCTCCCACTCAATTCAATTCAATTCAAGTTCAGCATTTTTTGTGTACTGCTCGTTGTTTCTCCCTCTCTCCGATTTGCATCGTTCTGGTCTTTTGGGTGTTTTTGGTTTGACTTGATGATTTGGTCGGTTGAGGTTGACGATGGTGTGTTTTACTCTTGTAGAAATCACCCGGGTATAGTCCTAATTCTTCTACCGCCTCGAGTCGAACACCAGGTGTACCGAGGGTCCATGACCGATCGAGGAAGAGTTCGGTGGATACGGCGATTTCGGTGGACGACGTTACAGGTGATTATCAGATGGCGCGGACTATTAGTGATGAGCATGCTAGTCAACTTTCTTAATATGGGGAACCACACTCTTGATGGGACTCGATGGGAAGCAGCTAAAAATTTCTGACGGGGACACAAACACTCTTAAAGGGACTTTACTTGATGGGAAAACGATTACGGATGGGATGGGATGGGTAGAAGGGGGAGAGCGAGCGGGCTTTGGAAGGTCGTTGAATATGTCGAGCATCCCTTTTTCTTTCTTCTTTTCTGTCAGGGGGTTTGGGTGGGGAAGGGGGGTTAGTGGTTTTTATGTATGACGAATAAGCATAACTTCTTTTTTTTTCACTTGCTTCGTCCTTTTTTCGCGAGCGAAAAAAAAATGTACTCTTTCGTTTGGATGAATGGCCCTGGGTTTGATTGATTGATGGGATAGGGGGAATCGATCCTTTTAGGCTTCTCTGCCTTACAGTATTGCTTCTTCTTCTTCATCTTTTCTCTTTTTGTTTTCATGAATGAATGGATGGATGGATGAATGTATGAGGGTCTTTTCTCCCTCTTTTTTCATTGACGTTTCTTCTCTTCTCCTTTCTTTTCTTCTATTCTTTTTCCTATTTCCTTGAAGAGTAAATTGGTACATGGATAGTGCGTCTCTTTAAAAAACGGTTCTACATTGGTGGGTTCCCTTCAGACTTCAGTACGATGCTGGCTGGCGGGCATTTTTGGTATTCATTGGTATTGGTATTCTTCTAATGGAATCTGAAAATGAAAATATGAAAAGTGTGATTAATGATGCATTGATGAGGAAGATGTAATTTTGAGTATTTAAGAGTTGAGTCGGGTCCTAGTAAAGTTGTGTACTCGTAGAGGTTGGTTTAGGTGATGAGATGGGATGAGTATAACGAATGGGGTTTGTGATTTGGTTGTGTGAGTGAGTGGATGAGTGGGTGAGATTATGTATGATATGATATGATAATGTTGTATTTTGATAATGCATGCTCTTGTGATCATGATTTGGTATCCAATTCCCCGATTCCTGATTCCCTCTTCCTGTGAACGCCTGCCTGGCCTAGTTTATCGGCCTATCTTTACCTGTTATATACACCTCCCTATCAGATTGTAACCCAAAACGCCATCCATCCGTAACTCCCCTCTCTTTCTTGCCCTCTCCCGTTTCTACTCTTACAAAATCAAAACCAGAATCAGCAAGATAATTAGCACAAAAATCAGCACCGCAATACAACAACTACTCAATCCATCCTCATTCTTCCTAATAACCGTCCCCATAGTTTTCAACCCCGTTTGTAAACGCCCACCCACGCGATCCGCAAGGTTGTCCATGGTATCCAGCATCTCACCCTGTTCCTCTAGTTCCCGGCCCATATCGTCCGCTTGTTGACGCAGGTTCCCGACGGTCCGGAAGACCGAGGTGAGTTGCTCGTCTTGCTCGTGGAGCATTTGGAGTTGTTGTTGTTGCTCAAAGGCGGCGTTATAATCTGTCCCGTCGTCGTCGCCATTATTGTTCTGGCTTCGTGACGAGTAAGGGTCTGAATCTTGACGTTGGAGATTCCCTCCACGAGAGGAACTCCGCTTCCCTATCGTTTTTGAATTGGAAACGGCATTTGGGGCTTTGGCTAGTTCCTCGTAGTAGTCTTCTATTTCCGACGCGGTTTCTTGGATGAATTGCCGGCGACGCGCGATTTCGGGGGTGTCTAGGCCGTATTTGTAGGGGTCGGATTGGACGGCTTCGATGGATGCGCGGAGGTCGGAGAGGTCTTCGGTTATGGATTCTAGGGCGGTTTGGAGGTCTTTTCGTGCTTCGAGGAGTTCGGGGGAGGGCGGTTTGGTGGAGGGGTGGAGAGAGGAGATTCGGAGGTAGGATGTGAAGAGGGGGCGGGTTGTTTGGAGGGTGGATTGTACGTCTCTGTGAGGTGTCAAATATGAAAAGACAAGGAGGAGCAGGACAGCTTGTGTGGGATAGGGAGAGTTGAGAGAGAGACATACGCTTGAACTTGCAGGAAGGGGTCCTCTTCGTTGGTGGAGGACATCATCTTGGTTGGTGTTTGTAGGAAAGGGTACGCCCTTCCCCGCGATCCCCGCCTCGTAGATTATGCTTTGCTTCCCTCCTACTTAAATTCTCTCCCCCGAGTTCTTTGGCTCGGCAGTTCGGTGCGTCGCTAGATGTCGTTGTGGCGGATTACGTTGTGTTTCTTCAACCTTGAGCTTGCCGCTACGTAACACCAAGTCGGTTGGAGCCTGGTGGAGGCGAGTGGTTGATTATTGCAGCTATTCTCTGGTGGGATTTGAGGATGGAGGTTAGAATTAGAGTTGGGCACAGCAGATAGTGATATGCGGCCCACGAAAATGGATTCTGGGTTGGGGAGATGCAATGCGCCGTGGAAGTGTTTGGTGTATTGACCTGTCGTTATTCCGTTGTTCCCCACGAGGCTATCGCAAGCTGGGAGGCCCGCCGTAGGTACGGAAGCGAGCCGATTTCCACGCCGGAACCGAAGTCGTGACGGACTCGGCTCGCCTCCCGCCTTCTCAGTTGAAGATTGTACAACAACATCAACTTCTTCTGCCGTGGTTTAAGTGCACTTCTGCATGTCCAATCCAGATGATGTTGGGTCAAATTTTCAATATTTCGTGCATATTCTGCAGGAATCCTAGAATTTTTCCAACTTAAAACCGCTTGATATGGCCATTCTGGCCCTCTGTCTGGTCCCAACAAAGGTCCCCCTGTCAACACACACTCTCTCTCCAAAATCTCCAATCCACCTCGCGCCTCAAGCAACCAACAATGTCACAACACATTGCCACCGTTTTATATCGACGTCGTACTCAAATATCTGATACCCCTCACTAGGAATTTATCCCCCCTCGTCCGTTTCTTTGTGATGACCTCAATCAGGTAACTCTTTCCAATGCTGTGCCATCCCTGGTTGATGGTGTCTGCCGGGCACTACTTTGCATCACACACCATCACTTCGAAAGTAGGTGAATGTATCCGACTCGTACGTGGGTGTGCGTAGTCGTGCTCAGCCATTTCAATCCATGTGTATAGTAATGACCAGTTTTCGCCACTGACTAGGCGAGGCTCTAAACTTCAATCAGTCAGATTGAGGCGTCAACCATCTGCTGCCTTGGGAGGCGGAAGAAGCGTCGCTAGTTCGCCTCTAGGCGTCAAAATAGGAGCAAATCCAACGTATCGGATAATAATAGGCCCCTCTAAGCGACTATCTGAAGAGAATCTACTGGGTATCCTTTTTCCTCTATGGCTCACCGAACTGCCTACCTTTTTCTTACCATCCACATTCTCTCAGATGACTCAACATCCTAGTTATCGAGGTTCTACAAGTAGATTAGGACGGTCCCAAGAAATCTTTCTTACTGAAATCTCCATCCATTCAGGTGTAGACCCACCCAATTTCCTACATTGCTGCTGCTGCACAAGTCCTGCAGAGCCAGCAGACAAGGAGACGTTGGTTGTTAGAATTCACCTGCCGTGTTTTTAAAGCAAGCGCCAGGTCATATATCTACCAGCTTTGAAGGACGCCTCCTTCACTTTTGGAAGTTTGGCAACTCCACAGAATCAACTCTTACGAGAAAAAGATCAACACAAGCATTTCAATATCACAAACCCTTCTGTTTGTAAACATGAGGCAGAAAAGTCTGAACTCTATCCTTGGTTCTGCTGCTTCCGCATTCTCTCCTGGTTCCTCGGGAAACATGTCCGAATCCAGTAGCGCCTCATTCGCAGGATTCTCCCCAACGACCATCCTCGAAAATTTTATTCCTGGCTACGGACACATCCACAAGATTTTTCTCTACAATTTTGGACTAGATGTGACCATGATCGTATCTTTCGGCGCAGCCCTCTGGGTATCAGCACGGCTTCTTCAAAGCGCCAAGGCACTGGTCTGGACATTTCTCAACGCCTACTTCATGGCGGAGATCACCGTCAGCAGTACGGATGAAATTCATGGCCATCTGATCCAGTTCCTGGCTCATCAGTATAAGATCTCCTCGTCTCGACGTCTCATGGCTGAAACTCCTTCCAAAAGTGCTTGGGAACTGGATAGCGAAGATACAGGTCAATCGATAGAAACAAGTGTCGATGCCACCGGGAAAATCAAGTGGCTCAACTTCTCCAACCAGGAGGCGAAATCGCAACCTCGGTTTACTCCAGCTATCGGATCCCATAACTTTTGGCATAAAGGGACGTACTTCCAGTTAAAACGCAAGGAAGTCAGTGTTTTCGATACCCTCGGTGGAGGAGCAACCTCATTCAAAGATAAGGAGGTACTTACCCTGTCATGCTTTGGAAGGAGTACCGATCCGATAAAGGCGTTGATTCAACATGCTAAAGGCCACTATCATCTTGGCCACAAGGCGAAAACTATCATCAAGCGGCCGGCACCGAAGGATATGAGACGATTTGGTGGACGGGGAGCTTGGGTCAAGATTGCGGAGCGTCCGTGTAGACCGATGAGAACGGTGGTTCTGGATGAGGAGAGGAAGATGGATGTTCTGGTTGATATTAATGAGTATCTTAACCCGGTTACTGCGAGGTGGTATGCGAATAGAGGGATTCCTTATCGGAGGGGGTATTTGTTTTATGGTAACCATCTATATTCTTTGCTCTGTCTCTCTCTCTCTCTCTCTCTTGTTTTGAATTTTTCCTGTTTGGTCGGAATCGACGTTCTCCACTCCTTTTAACCGAGAAAAAGCTCGCTAACATCATGACAGGTCCTCCAGGCACAGGCAAAACATCCCTGACCTTCGCCCTAGCTGGTGTCTTTGGATTAGACATCCACGTAGTCAGTCTTTTGGAACCCACACTCACTGAAGAAGAACTAGGAATGCTATTCACCAATCTTCCAGCTCGATGTATCGTCCTACTAGAAGATATTGACACCGCAGGACTGATCAGGAATGAACCTACCGAAACAGCAGAAGAGCGAAAAGGAGATGGGGAGAAGGATGGCCAACGGGGGTTCGATGTAGGCGATTTGACGAAGGCCTTCAAAAAAGCTAGCCAGATGAGTGAGGAGGAACGAAAGAAAGGGATCAGTCTGAGTGGGCTGCTGAATATTATTGATGGTGAGTTTGCCCTAAATCCTCCCAATATTTATCTTCACTTTTTTCTCTTCCATTTCGAACTAAATTGAGAGATGGGATTAACAAAAAAATAGGCGTCGCATCCCACGAAGGACGTGTGCTGGTAATGACCACCAACCATCCAGAGAAACTAGACGAAGCCCTCATTCGACCGGGCCGTGTGGATCATCAGGTTCCGTTTGATTACGCGAGTCAACATCAAATTCGAGAGTTATTTGTTAGGATGTACCGGGATGATCTCGAACTTGGCGACGAGACAACGACCATCGTGACGACTGAAATAAAAAATAAGTCTGAAGTCACGCCTGCAATAATCGTCCTTGGGGATAACGAGAAAGCATGCGAAGGACTCGGGGTTCAGATCACTCCCCCGCTTACGCCTGTCATTGATCACCATACGACGCATTCTCATTGCGTCGAGATGACTGAGAAAGCGACTTCAGATCTAGCACTTGGTCTTGATCGTGTGAAGCTGGGTTTGGATGATATCGCAAACCAGTTCTCTGAGCGTATCCCTGGTGGGGTATTTAGTCCGGCTGAGATCCAGGGGTTTCTTTTGAAGAGGAAGAAAGATCCACGGCGTGCGCTTGGGGAAGTCTCGGAGTGGGTTGAGGGACTTAAGAGGGGACGGGGGTTTGCTGTTGGTGGGGGGAGGTAGTAGGAGAGGATGGTAGTTTGGGTAGAGGGACGATGGGAGAGAATGTTACATAGGAAGTTGAAATAGAAATTTGAAATTCAGATTAGTCAAAGATCGGAGATTTAATACATATACATTTTACAAGGCTATATTTCACATATAACTAGTTTAATTCATTTCTCTAGAGAAGTATAGTAGTACTACAAATATATTCTACTTTTCTTTTTTATTATTCTTGCTAGTTTGGAAAATATATCTATACAAAACATGTTAAGAGAATGTAAAGTGTTTATTAATATATATATGCTAGTTATTCGAGATCTTTAAAACAAGTAAAGTGCTCTGTAATTTTTAGTTTAAAGTGAGGATACTTACTTCTCTTCTTTGTTTAAAGTCTCTTACTCGTATTTGTAGGACTGTGGGTTATGTAGCCAAGAGTTCGTTGCATGCAAGCGGACCATACAGGGGTGAAACCATACAAACGGATCGTGGCCTCATTGGCTCACTTCTCTCTCCCTGACTTAATCCGTCCGATTAAGCTCTCGTTACGATAACGACGAGACGATCACTGTTTTGTTTGCTTCTTCAACGGACTTGCGATTGTTTGCTACTCCTCTACCTCTACTTCTAATCCAAATAACCTGTTCTCCACCACCGTCTTTCCTCATCAAATCACTAGTTCCCGTCGTTTCCCTAAGAAAATCACCAATTGAAGTCAAGGAAGGGAGGGAAGCAATGTACTTCGGCCCCTGCGATCGCTGGTTCACAGATACGGAGTACTATCAACACATCGCGAATAATGCCCAACACCAGACTCTAGCGTACGATTGCGAAGTTTGCGATAGAGGGTTTGCGACTGAGGAGAGTCTTTGGCAGCATCAGGAGAGTGCTTCGGATCATCCTTTTTGTGCGGAATGTAGGAGGATGTTTGTGAGTGAGCATAATTTGATACAGGTAGGATCTTACGTACATTGGGATATCTATCTATCACGCCTTTGTGAAAACGAACCCTCCAGCCCCCTCTCCCAAAACAGAGAAAAATAAGAGGATGAAATACTTGGTATAGAAGCTAAAAAAATCATTTCACACACAGCACCAACACTCCAAACTCCACACCCAACTTCAAATCCCATGTCCCTTCTGCACCTGCAACTACGCAACCGCATCCGGACTCATAATCCATCTCGAGTCCGGCGCCTGTGCCTCAACAGTCAACCGCCAGCGTGTCAATGCCTCCATCCGACGAATTGATCGCACCTATCGCATCACGAAGCCGCAGCTAGGCCTGAGATTAGGACCTTATGGCGTGAAAAGGGGGCAAGCGAGTGAGGTGGCTTGGAATGGGAAAGCGTATGGGTGTTATCTCTGTCCAAGGGGGTTTGCGACTTTGTTTTCGTTGAATCGCCATTTGGGGAGTGTTGGTATGTCATTTTTTCTTCTATTTTTCTTTGTTTTGCATTTCTCTGTGTGTTGTGTGGGAGGGGAGTCTGTTTTATGGTGTGTCTTTGTGAGTTTGGAGTCTTGGGGATTCTGTCTATTCATATGAAAACGATTGCAGACCCTCTCCCTATTTATTAAAATTCTCTTTTGTCTCCTGATACCATACACTTTTAACAAATTAACTAGCCCACGAACAAGATCTCTATAATTGTCCCAAGCCTACTTGTGGGAGGAAGTACAAGCTGCTAAGCGGATTAATTATGCATGTCGAGAGCGAGAGCTGTAACGTGATGCCCTTCTCGAAGGTGCAGAGATGGGCTCGAAACGGGGTGGGAGGTGTGGTGGGAGGTTTGATTCAAGGTCCCCCGGCTGCTTTTGAGCAGGAGGTTTATTGAAAAGTAGGTGGGGTTTTGGGGCCTGAAGCGAGGGTGTTTGAGTAGTTATTAATACAGGTGATACTGTACTCTGTTGGTTTGTTTTAGAGCGAGGAGAGGGATTTAGTGTGTACTATGTGTTATTAGATTTTGAAAATTCATTAGGTCGGGGTATGGAAAATGTTTTCACATTATAACTTTATTTATCTCTTCACTATACAAAGTCTAATTACTAAGAGCAGGACGTGTTTGGCTTAACCAAATCTTATCTCTTGACTTCATACCTTTATAATACTCCTTACAGCCTCTACTAATAAACAGAAAGCAATCTCACATAAACAAGCTAACGAAAGCGCTCTCGTTACATTTCTCGTGCCGGCCGTAGCACTGCCAGGTGCACCATCTCTACCACCAGGCTTTTCCTGATGTTTTACCACCCCAAGTCTGATAATCTCATTTCTATTCATTTCTTTGTCATCATCTATGAAGTTTTCAGCTTGAGCTTCTTCCTGAGCTTGGACTTGGACTTGAGCTTGAGCTTGAATCAGGGCTCTTGTTATAGGTCCCATAGAATAGCCAGTCACGAATTCACTAGAAAAAGAGAAAGGGAGAGAAAGGGAGCAAGAGTGTAAAGCTAGAATTGATAACTTGCAACCAAGCATATACTCTGTTCCTAAATGCTGTCTCTTATATCTACAGAAGGTGCTTGCGGCTCATATCTTAAGGAGCGAGCATCGGTTACAAATATAATGGAGTGTTGGAGTTGTTTCTGATTCCGTCCGCTGATGGGCCTGTGATCTGTTGGCTCATTTTCGACCATCCTAGTATTGTTTGTTGAAGATAGTACTAGTGCATGGTTTCTTCGAATGCGGTTCTGGTAGAGCGGCCTGTTAGTATTCTTCTTGCTGTTCAAGGAGATGGGGGAGGGTGGGAATGAATATATGGGCTTACCGCTACGATCCAATTTTGCAACTTGGAGAGAAATGGTTAGATGGGCATTTCAGATGAGAAACCAGGAGAGCTGGCGGAGATGGACTATGGTCCTGGACGATTAGGCTCTATGGTCTGAATTTTATTCTTCTTTGAAGGAAACAATTACGTTCTAGAATCAGTTAGTGGTAAGAATTTGGAAACCCAAGAATAGCGCTGTAAGGAGACACGACGGTAAAAAGGAATAGACGGCAATTATTCTGAGTAACTCTTAATATACACCTTCAAAAATTCTTTATATATACTCTTATGGTAGTTTTTATATATACTATAGATAACTAGATAACGTATTTATAAAGGAAATATTGGACTGCCTAGGTAGTAAATAGAAAGACCTCTCTTTCGAAGAATTTAAAGTATATGTGACGGTTCTCACCGCCACCATGCCTCAAACCAGCCCCTGGCTGGCACCCGTCGGCCGCCGTGCTTCCCGAGCCCGGCTCGGTTAGCTATAACCCTTGGTACCCCTCCTGTATATAAGAGCTTCCAGCTCCTGGACTTCTGTCCTTTCTTCTCTTCTCTCTTTAGCTTAGAATCTTCGAATAGACAGTTCTACGATTCCATAACCTACACCTTGGACGCTCTCTGAGCAACATCTCGTACGTGTCGTCACAGTATATGAGGTATAATTATTATCCTATATATACCTAGCTTAGAATAACGGTACTCTAAAGACCTCCTAAAAATAGTTATTAGCTTTTATTATAGCTATAGTTTTAAGATTTACATCCTTTTTAACTACGTTATTGAAAGGAATAAAAGGGAAATATTATATAAAAAAACAGCTTGCCATTCTACTAAGATTTATTCCTAGGTTTTCTAAAACCGTATACATAGGGAACTAGTAGGCCGAACTATCTCGCTTAATCACACTACTCATTTTCCATCACTAACCCCACAAACCTGCAAAACCACTTCCTAGAAGGCTTACAAAAAGACCTAGAAAGAACCGATCGACGGACCGAGGAACGGGGTTCGGCTTTTTTGGGGGGGTGGGGACTACCATTAGACAAAATTCAAAATAACATATAACGAGCCTAATTTACTTGTTAAAGTAGGTAAAAAATTAAAATAATTCGACCCTGGGATGATTCGAACACCTACCGACCCGCCCTGTTAGCTTGAACACAACATAAATAATTCGATTGAACTTACCCAATCTTTGCAGATTTTCAAACCGAAATGCAACGCCTTAACCATTAGGCCACAAGGCCGGATTTTGTCCTTTCTTTTGATGAGTCAGAATCGCGTATTGTAGAACAAGAATATTCGAATGTACCTGAAAGTATTTTGTGTGATTGTGGTGCAAATTTGACCAGTCGAATTAGAGATAATTGTGGAGTGGAGGGGCTGAAAGGTGGGGTAAAGTGGGGCCGGGGTTTTCGGGTATATCAACTTTTGATAAGGAGACTGTGGAAGAAAGTAAACAGCTTTTATTGTCCTTACGTTGGCTAGTTAGACTACTGTTAATATAGCTAGCTACCTTGAATACCTAGGTGTTTTTGTCCATTAGTGTAAAAAAACAATAAATGGAGCTATTTACTTATAATCGGTAGTTACTTCAGATTATCGTTTAAATTATTTTGAATTGAGAGCAGACTACATTAAGGACATGTTTTAGATTGGTTACAAGATTCTGTTTAAAACGAAGTTCATTCGCTTAGCAAATACAATTACATATAGCAAAATCAGAGTGTTGCATGATTAACCCTAACAAACCAATAACTTATACACAAAAGGATACGAATCAAATACCAGCCAAAGCAGGCATCTTCTTGTTCCACTCAACCTTCCCCTCAGTTGCCTGTTTCACAACCCACCTGGCAATTTGAGACCTAGGTGTCATCAATTGCCACTTCTCATCAGCTATATACCCCGCATGAGCAACCTTCTTTTCTCCATTCGCATCAACTTCCCCTTCTTTTTCATCGCTCAAGACACCAAGTCTGAAAAGTGTCCAGTCGATATCGTTTCCATGCTCAACAAACACCTTCGCGGTGCTCAAAATTTCGTTTCTTGCACCTGGAGCTAATAACTTGATGACTAGAACACTGAGCCACATAATGAATGTGAACTTGTCGCTGGGATCAGTGACAGATCCAGTTGATGAGTGGAAAACCCTTGGCTTGGTTGGGAGAGCAGAGATGGCGTGGAGGAGAACGGTGAAGAAATCTGTAATGGGGGTTTCTTTGCTCCGCTGAAGGCCAACAGGACCAAGGGTGGAGATTATGGTTGTGTAGTTTGAGAGAGTTGCATGGAGTGTCGTTGGAGCTGATTCAAGGGTTCCTTCAATAACCTTTTCGGAGTCAGTAAGTGGGTTTCCATATCTAGATATTGGCTGTACTTACTGTTATTTTCGGATTCTGTGTAATGTCCGAAGGTAATTTTGATGGGTTGCGAACGAATAGAGTGGTCTGAATGTCACGCAATAGTAGTTCTTTGACGATGAGAACGCCTAGTGGACCTGTAGATCCAAGGACGAGAACATTTTGGGGTTTTGAATCAGACATCTTTGATGTAGTAAAATGAATTGTTCCAATTCTTGGATAGCAGCTGTTTGAGTGTTTATCTCCGATATTCACCGATTGTCGCCGATTTAAAGGTGGAAGCTTTGTATACGGAGCAATGGGAGAAGATGAGATGCGAACGCAGAATTGACAGAGTAGATGAGGAAATCCCATAAAGGAAACATCACCCTATGATATAACTTCTTTCGAGTGGGGCTCCAATAAAGTTTGATTCGGAAATCTTTGTAATTCATACCACAAGCAGCATCGTAAGCGAGGCTCTGTGCGGCCGCACCCGCATCCGCACCCGCATTTGCCTGTTTTCGAGGAATCCGGCATCAATATCTTCTCACAATTCCCCGGAAAAGAACATGAAAATACAGTCAAATAGAAAAGCAACAGCATGCTACGTGAGGCAACAGGAAAATATTTGCTGTTGAGAGAAAACCCATTCAATCAAGCGATAGAAGGTACTATGGACGAGTTCGGACCATCGTTCGGAGATGCTTGGAAGTCGGGACGAGCCTCGGAAGTACTGTTCGGACTGGTAATGGGAAGAGACTCCATACAGTAGGTAGGAATAGTAGTCCGACCTCCTTCTTATGCGCGTTTCATGGAGGATTGAAAGACTGCTCGTAGTATGGAGTGCTTGCTCTGACAGCCAAATTCTAGAATAAAGCCACACTTGTCATTTTTGTTACTTTTTGTTGAGAATGAGCTACACTTATTCCATATTGGCTAGACAGAAGCTATGCTCAGGAGCTAGCATATAAGTATTCGCATCGAAGGACACACTTAACGGTGTACGCTCTAACCCCGCTCCATCGCTGGACTTCTGTAATTCATTGAATTTGGCAGCTTTTAAGTGCATTTAGTGTCTTAGATGTTTATGATAACTAGCAATGTAGGAAAAAGCTTGCAAACGAATGGCTTACGATACTAAAATGAGAGTGAATATGTACACTAAATTTGGTCAATTCGATTGCCCTACCTTACTCTAATCGATTTACTTGATTGTTCCAAACAATTTAGAACAACAAATTCGAGAAAACATTCCCCAAAGATTGTGCTAATGACAGCCACAGATCCCCGCTGAACGAAAGAGGAGAACTCATATTTCTCGAATGAATATCATCTAGTGTAGGCTGTTTCGGCTATTTCTGTTTCTGGTTCACGTTTCTCCATCGCGAATCCGCTCTTTGGGATGGAAGAATCGAGGCTTGCGTATTGGTTTCAAGATGGAGGCATTCAATTGACACATTGATCAACTTCAAAATGTCTTCTTCATCTGAAAAAAGTGTCTCGGTAGGATGGAGTCTTTCTTTATAGGGGTGGTGAGACTGGTACAAGATGTGTCACTTACAATAGGGACAATCCATACTGTCATAGCGGTTGAACAAAGAAGCCATAAGCGACCCCTAATCAAGTACCGACAACAGCCTGGTAATACGACGAAATGGGTTCCAAAAAAACAAATAGGTCTCAGAAACAGCTGGATTAGATTAAAGTATATACTCCTGGTGACTGGCTCCAATTTTACCATTCTCACTTAAATCCGAAGGTTTACACAATACTACACCATACTTACAAACATATTTCTATTCACCACATCAAAGTTTTAACCAACAACCGCTACCACACCGAAAAACATTTCGCACTAAGTAATGGAGCTCCAAACAGTCACCGGACAAAATATCGAAAAGTGCAAGAAGTTCGCTACTCATTTGTGCTCAATCCGTACCGAAATAATCGAGCTTCTTACCGTCTACCAAAGTCATACAACCACAGAATATGAGATTGATCGTAGCATCGAGTGTTTAAATAACACCAACGAAGTCCATCTCACTCAACGAACCCAGATAGTGGCAATTTTCTTCCCACTAAACATGCCCATATACTCTTTGGTCCTATATGCCACCATCCCCTCATTATTGGCAGATCAGGTCTTCCTCCGCACCCCAGTCATCATGGAATCTGTTCTCCCAAATTTGGCAGACCTGCTGAAACTCAAAGATCTCTTCCCAAACATTGGGATACTCAAAGATACTCGTGAAAACTTCGTGCAAAAGTATGCTGCAAATGCAGATGTAACGATATTCACAGGCAAGGAAACTGAAGCCCGAGAAACTCTGAAAAAGACCAAGAATGACAATATGTTCCTGTTTATTGGATGTGGTTGCAATCCTATCGTTGTTGCACGCAGTGCTGAGCCCCGCTACGCTGCTAACAAGATTGTCAAGGCCAAGACATTCAACAGTGGTCAGAATTGTGCTGGGCCGGATAATATCCTTGTTCACAAGGATGTTAAGGATAAATTTCTTTATCATCTTGAACTGGAAATTAAGGGGGTCAAGGTTGGTTCTTATACTGATCCTGAGGTCACGGTTGGAAAAATTGCAGTTGCAGACGGACTTAGGGATTTCGCTTCCTTACTACCAAAAGATCAAGACAACATTGAGAAAGGTGGAGTTATCGACTGTGCCAATACTACCGTCAACCCTACAATCATCGTAAGTCCTTTATCTAAGACTACTACAAATTTCCAAGTAATTTATTCTCCCATCTTCTTTATCAATATTTATGATGAGGATGAAGAACTAGCTCACTACTTCAGTGATTCACGATATACTGCCAACAAGATGTATATCTTTCTCTTTGGCTCGAGTCCATATTTCAACTCCCTTTGACTTTCAGGCTCAATCGTGCATTACGATGAAACAATTTTAGACATTGTGTCTGGTAATAGTGAATTTGGAGGCAGAAGCCCTGGTTCTTCTTTTGTGGAAATAAGGCATAAGATTGAAGCGAGATCAATTCTTGTTCCCCAGGAGATTACCGAATTTCTCCGAAGACCAGACAACGGCAAGGAATTGGGTAGACACACCTGCAAGACAATTTACAAAAGAGTTGGTTCTCTGATGAAGAATGTCTTTGGACTGGATCTAGTTCTTGGTTTTGTCTCTGGAAGCGTTGCAAAAGCCACGGCCAAACAGAAAAGGGATATCAACACTATGGTCATGTTGACGAGTAGACGCGATGAGACCAAAATTGAACGATATAGACGCGCACTGGGAGATCTCAGTCAAGAAATGGGCATGTCCTTCAATGAAAAACGACCAGCCGAAATCGTCACTCTGGATCAAATCGACCACACCTTCCACAACGTCGATGGATTCAACTATGATGTCAAAGGTACTTACATCAACCAAGAAGCCTTTAATGCTGGCATCTGGATGAATTTTCTCGCAGAAAAGAAAGCTGGTATTCAGTATAGTGGTTTTTGTGACAAGCAACGCCTTTTGAAATTTAAAATTGATGCTGGGAAGATTGTAAAGACTTGGAAAACGGCGCTTGTTAAAGAGTTAGAATCAATGGCAGAGAAGAATAAGTATCCTTCGGAAATAGGATTTGAGCTAGAAACTGTTCGCAAAATGGACTCTGGCGAGCTTATGAAGACGCTGCAGCAAAGGTGTTGGAAGCTTGATATGTAGTCTTATTCCAACCCGTCAATAGACCGTATCTAGTATGAAATGAATGTGGCTTAAGAAGTGATTGTATGGGGTAGGTGCTAGCTAGGAGCTCAGGTCTCTCAAATAGTCCCCAATTAAACTAGTGCATATTAGGTGCCTAGTATCATTCACTCCTTCTGGCTAGCGATTCAATGTCCGCACGAGACGTAGAAATCTATTGTCGTATCCCACAGCTAATTGATCTTTTTTATATCCATAGAATTTTATACGTTTCAAGTAATACTTATGTCATTTTAAAAGTCGCGATGTTTTACAAGTGTAATCAAAAGTTATACCTCCTTCCGGGTCCTTGTCCCACGAGAAATGTACTTGGCCTTTTCAGGGGCGTGTAAAGTGGTTTCTAGCAAATCCCCTTAAAACTCCTAGATTAGTTAAGTAAAACTTATATAAACTTAGCAATCCCTTATTTGTAGACGATAACACGTTTGGTCTCAAACTCTTACCGTGAATTATTCCCATATCTCTATATAAAAAGAGATGCATTTAAATCAGGGGTTCGCTAAACACGAAAACCTAGCTTAGTGGGACAAGGAGCCGGGAGGAGACAGGCAGATAGTATAGAAATCTAGTCTATTTTATCGGCGAGAGATTGTTTAGTTAAGACAACCGCCGCACTTCTTAATCCATTAAACTTTCTTTGTACTTGTTAAATAATAAATTGTGTCGGAGATTATGCTAGTTATGTTGGGGAAAATACTCTGTCGCTCTTTACCGAATATTAGGAACATTACTTCAGTACCTATATTTATCCTAGGCAATTAAAAAGTGTGCCTCGCTAATTACCCTACTCCGAAGGGCAAGTCCCACTCCCTTGCTTTTGCATTTTGTTACACAGCACTACCCTCTGCATCTACCCCGCCCTCGATAAACCACCAGCTTCAACCCCTTTATATCCTGTCTCTTCTATATTTCCAAAATCTGACTTGTGTATTGTGCGCCGAACATATCTTTTGGGTGGTCTGCCAGGGATATTGCACAGACCATCGCTCTCGTGGTCAAAGTCGTGCGAGCTCTAGATAGGGTGGATGGAGCGGGCGCCAGTTGTTGCGAGGCCGTTGCCTTTTTGACGAGATTGAGACGCACGTTGGAGCCTTTGCAGACTGTTTCTGCTCTTCAATTGCTACCAAATTATGTCGACAACATCCGCGAACTCGTCGACGAGATACAAGACCCTATTAGCCATTTTCTGGTACTGACCGCAGAGTTTGAGCAGCTTGGTTCACATTCAAAACACCATCAGTACATTATGAAGAAGTTACAGTGGAGATTCAAGACATCTAAGAAGGTGGACGAGCTGAGAAGGGGTATAGAGAGTCGACTTGGTATCTTGGATAGTTTCTTGCAAAGAGTTACCTTGTACGTCCCCTCCTTGGATTACCGGATGATTTCCGAGCTGACGAAGTAATTATAGAGAAACTGTGGTATCTATGGAGGCAAAGCTTGGTGAACAGCTTCGACGGACTTTTCAAGAAGTCGTCGATCCTAGACTTGTATCGATTCTTCAGCAACAATCACAACCCGTTACAGAGAGATTAGTGGAAACTCAAATGTTGTCACAACAGCCCCAAGAAGAGATACTTTCAAAGTTGGATTGTCATGCATCCACTTTTAGTAATCGAACAATGCGAAATAGTGCTCCGCCATTTCATTCGGCGTCTCAATCAGAATATGACGCTATGCTCTCAAACTTCGAGAGAATCGACATCTCCCAGGATGTCGCAGTTAACACTATTAAGCAGCACACCAATAGCGCTATAAACGATTTGAAAAGTGACTGCAACCACGAAATAGGAGGTAAACTTTTATCCAGAAGGAATCAAATAGCCATGAGAAGGAGAGGAGCTGAATTGGATCAACCACCCAAAGCCCTAGAGACATCCCACCACGAGATAAGAACATGCGGCTCTTTGGAAGACTTGTCAGTGTTCCTATCTTCTCAATTGAATTGCAAGCTTGTGACTTATTTTATTGAGTATATATTATCTTGTTCTTATATATCTTGGGTATTTCCTACATGATCTTTTGTAGGCGCCTTCATCTATTTTTCCAACCATTTTCCCCAGACACTATTCTTGAATATGCTAACTCTCTTCCAGTATGACCCTTGCCCAAAGACTTAAACCTATGCCAGTATTTACACCAACTCTTCTTGCAAAATACCACATATCCTTTTATAACGCTCTCGGTAGTCCCCCGCGTATTCTTGATATCAATTGTTTTGCCCGTTACAAGGTCGGTCATGCTCGTCACAATATCAACACAAAGTTTTTCTGATTGCAGTAACAGGTTTTTACAGTTTTCTTGGAGGGTTTATACCCAGACACTCTGCGTGCTTACTGGGTGAGCCGAGGCTTGTACACTTTAATTGATGAAAAGAACGAAAAACTGTCACCAGCTTCTTGGTCAGAAAGCATCATCCCAGGTATTCAAGTGATGATGTATCTACGCGTAGAAGGTGTCTTTCTTCTAGAGATAAGATGCCCTGCTGCCTTTTGTTACGGCAGTCTCGAAAAGCGTCCAGGATCGTACTCAAGCATTTGGTTTGTGATCTGTGAGTAGTTGGGTGCATCGCTGATAGTAATTTGGTTCTGGCTGCGGGATGGAAATTCGAACAGAAAACCGAGGGAGAAATGGTGCTCCAAATACTGGAGCTATGCCAACTTACCATGACGATGAATTAAAACAAACAAGTTCTGTTATAGGACCCTTCAAAGCTCCAGAAATCTGTCGCGAGTACGGAACGGACTTGATCGGATAGGGCTACTAATCTATAACTAACAACTAATAAGTAATAAACTATAACTTATAAGTTTTGCTTATTATAAATCTCTTATAAAGTATACTATATAAAATTACAACGTTTATAGAATTATTTAAAAGCTTATAAGATCTTTTACTAGTTATAGTTATGATACTATATATTATAAACTAACTCCTATAATTCCTAGTCGTTCTTTTATTTCTTCTTTAGGTTCTTAGATAAAGGTATTTTATAATTATTATTTTACTCTTTTAAGTATTATTTAAGGGTTTACTAAGTTATCTTAAGCTTATATTTTTATACTAAATATTAAATAATCTAGACGTTTAAATAGTATTCTTTATAATATAGTCGCTCTATTATTTCCTAGTATAATTCTTAGTTAGTAAAAGTAGAAGCATTAGTAGATATATTAATAAGCTAAAAATATAAGTAAAAGTAGTCCTAGATAGTTAAATTAAAGGTAAGAATATACTCTTTATTAAGTAAGCTTTAGTTAGGTAATTATTAATCTCCTTTTTGTGACGGAGCTGGATTTCATTTGACAGGATTTCATTCGCTTGGCCAAGCACGTGACGAGACTTGGCATTGGAACAACTTAAATAACTTCGCTCCTTTCAGATTCTCTTCTCTCTTTAGTTTGATTTCTTCGTACCTACGGTTTTAGTTCTAGCAATTGATTCAAAAGCTGTATACACTTTATCCTTTGTTGGCATCCGTGACACTTTTTACTTCAAGAATTTCTTATAGTAGCTATATACTTCTATCTATAAGGCTAGATAGCGTTCCTATTTTAGTACTAATTTAGCTAGCCCTAGACTTAGTAAATATATTAAGAATTATTATATTAATTATAATTACCTTAAATATTCTAGAATACTAGTTTTAGTATATATATTACTATATACTATTAAATTAACTAGCTAGAATCTATAAGGCTTAGAAGTTATAGGAGCCTAAGTAGCGAAAAGTAGGTAGATTTTCGACCCTAATAGTACTTAGCGTATCTTAGTATACTTATAAATCTATATACTTTAATTAAATAGCTTTTAAACCGTAACCTAGATAATCTATAAGACTCTTAGTATATCTATAGAATATAAAAAGTCAATATATAATAAAGAAAAGATAAGAAACCTTAAGCTCTATGTAACGAATACTCAAACTGGCTAACTAAACTTGGCTGGGTGTTCGCTGGTTGGTATGCTATGATAAGAAGAAGACTATCGGGTTGTTCACTTGGAAGTTAACTCGTTACTTGTATCAAAGATGTCAAACTAATATGATAAGATCGATAACTAAGTTGAGCACGAAGCTCCTATCTAATGGCAGACGTGCCAGTCTTATATAGAACCTTCGTTCTCAGTTGGGTCGCTCTGATCGCTCGCCTCAGTCGCCCTAGTCGACAGGCGACTCAGGCGACTCAGGAGATCAGATCACGTGATGCTTTCTTCCTAAAGAAATCCTTGGATCGGTTAGCTACCCTAACCGATCCCTATTTGCTATAAGTCTATGGAAGTGCTTAACCTGTCAGGGCGCCGCCTGGTCTTCACTCATCACGTATGCACGTGATTCGTGACATAGAGTAGAATACTAGCTATACTAGTACTTACTAAGCCTTACTAAGAGGGCCCCTAGGCCCCTTTTCTCCTTTATAGTAGAGCCCGAGAAGATTCCTTCTCTCTTCTCTATCGAACTTATTAAATACTATATTAAACCTGCTATATATATATTAGTCTTCCGTTGTGACGGTTCTGACCGTCACGTGGCATTCATATCACGTGGCTTCCTTAGCGAGCCACATTGTATTTAGACTCAAGCTCTCTCGAGCTCTCCTCTTCTCCTCAGCTTAGAATCTTCGAATAGACAGTTCTACGATTCCATAACCTACACCTTGGAGGCTCCTTGAGCAACACATCGTACGTGTCGTCACATCCGTAATAGTTTATTAAAGTATAACTAGCTAGGTTTATTAAAGTACGCTAGTTCGCTGGGTTTATTAAAGTACGGCTAGCTAGGTTCTTTAAAGTACGCTAGTTCGCTAGTTCGCTAGGCTCGTTAAAAGTACGCTTTATTAAAAGCTATGTATTATATTTATACTCGAGTACTCTCTTACTATAAATTAAGAACGTATATATTAATTTCTACCTATTTTACTACTATATTTTAGACCTATTTTAGACCTACTAAAACCTGTAATACCTAGCCTTAGAAGTACTTCTACCTTGTCTTATAATATAAGATATCTTGTGACAGACGTGCTTCAGGTAGAACTCAGAACAATTAACACTCTATTCTTAGGACAAAAGACGAGGAAAGAAGGAGAGCTCTAGTGAGCTGGGAACTAAATACAGGTCGTGCGCGCTAGCGCCTCGCTAAGCGAGCATGTGACATCCAGCCCTCGTGACCATAACCGTCACATATCTAAAGTAAACTATACTAAAACTAATTCTCGACTACTTCGATACTTCTACTATAATATTATAATAATAATAATACTTAAGAGTTATTTAAATAAACGAAAAAATATACCTTAATTAGCTAAGTAAAATGTACTTACTAGCTTTAATTTAAATAATTTATATGAAATATAGAGCTTATATTTATCGAGTCTTAGTGTTTATTTTAATTTTCTAAGCTTACTCTACTTTTCTTAATATAACTTAACTAAGAACTATATAAGGATTCTAGTAAGTATAATCTTCGTCTTATAGCTTAGTTACTCTATTTATTTATTAAAAACTAAGGCTTTTCTATTAAACTAAATAGTTCTAGTACTAAAGTTAAAATATCGATTTTACTATACTTATAACTTTTAAAGTTCCTATAAGGGCTATTCGAAGCTTATCTTAGAGCTATTCGAGAGTTAGAAAAAGTCTAGTTTATTTAAAGGAATTAATTAATAATTTATTATAACTATACTTTAGAACTAATTTAAATAGACTAAAAGATACGCTATAACTAGCTAAATAAAACGTAATTACTAGCTTTATTTATATAAAATTATATAAAATATAGAGCTTATATATACTAAAAGTCTTAGTAGTTTTAATTTTTTTAAGAAATTATTTAACCCCTTTATAATAACACTTAGCTAAGGCTTATATAAAAATTCTAGTACGTATAATCTTATTCTTTTAGTTTAATTAGTTTATTCCACTATTTTAAATATAGTTTATATTATTAATCTAAAGGGTTTTGTAACTAAGGTCGAAATATTAGTTTTAGTATAACTTAGTTTACTTTAGGTATCTTATATTATATCCGGTGCCCTAGCGAGGATAAGGAGTACTAATCAGTTAGGATTAGAGTAGGAAGAAGAGCGCTCTAATCTATACGAATAGAAACGAAGATTTCGTAGGAGAGAAGTAGTAGGGAAAGATTTAGAGAGAAGATTCTAAATACTACGAAATTTGTAGATCTTATCTTACCTATTAGGTATAATTTAGTAATCTTACTATAAAGTTATATTTATAGGTTATACTTTTATACTAAATTATATAGAGTAATACTAACTTTAGTACCGAGCTTAATCTATACGCCCCTATGTCTTAATATAACCCGAAGTATATTTACCTATTTAGTACCGACCTTGTTCTAAAGGTCTAAAGTCTAACTTATGTTATATTCCTTAACTTTTATAGCGACATATTAGTTGAGGTCAGGGGGTACTTATTCAAGGGGTGCTCCGAAGTCTGGAAGTACTTGCGCGAGGGGTGCTTTGTCCTTGCCGTCTGCGATTTTCGATTTAGGTAGTATTTACTTAGTATCTGGAAATGTGGGTAGGAGTGCTAGTAGTCTAGAAAGTGCGTATACCGGCAGACTTGAAAGAGTAAATGCGGGGTATCCAGGGTTCTTTTCACAAGGTGAATCGGGGTGGTTTTGCTTGTCTATACTACCCGTACCGGCAGTATGGAAAGTGTTGTACTTTCTGTACTAGTAGTCGGGAAAGTACGTGTGCTGTTAGTCTAGGAGGCGCAAATACGTAAATTGAAGCTCTTCTACGCGTGGTGGATCCTATGAAGTGCTTATACCGGGTATCTGGAATATGCTAATGCGAGTATGAGGCTCTTCCGCGGCTCTTTTGTAATTCTCGAAGGGCTTAATTAAGAGGTCAAAACTTAAGGGTGTATAATCAGGGGGTACCGCTCCTAGTCAGGTCGAAGGAGGGGCATCGAGAGTTCGTGACGATGAAGCTCTGTCCGCGATATAGAGTAATACCGAGTTTTATAAGTAACTCCTGTCCGTAACAAGCTCCGTAATTAGGTTTATTATACCCTTCCGTAAAGGGGGACCCCTATAATAAATAGTTATAATTTATAATTATAAAAGAATCGAATATACTTAATAGTAATAAGCTTATTCCCTTTTATAAAAGGGTCTTTTCTTTATAACTACGTAGTATATAGTAATAGTTTATAAGTATAATTAATAATATAACTAATTATACTTTATAAATATAATATAACTAAGTCTTTAATGTTATATAATCCGAGTAAGTATAACTAGCTAAGTGCCTACGTACTTATTTATAGATACTATAGTACGCTAGCGGAGTACGCTAGTCCCGAAGGAGTAGCTACGTTTAGAGCTAGCTAATAATTATTTACTATTATGAAGCGACACTAGTATAACTTAGAAAAAAGAGCTAGAACGCGATATATAATAGTAACTAAAGTATCTACCTAAGAAAATCCGTCTCTCCTATCTCTCCTCCCTCCTCCTAAAATCCCAAAATCCCAAAATCCCTCTTTCATCCCCCTCCCCCCCTTAACCACGAATTAAAAACCAGGTAACTAAAAAAAAACAAAAAAAAACTTGGTTACAAAATCCACAACCTACAAGCCCCTGCTCCACCAACAAACCAACAAATCACCAACTCACCTCCCATCCACCCTCAAATCCACATCCAGTTGAAAACCCCCCATGCAATATGCAGTCCCAGCACAATATGCACAACCTCGTATTCCTCCAGTCCATTTGTCCATCACAACCCCCATCAACACCCCATCTAGTAATTCCAACGTCGTACTCTACCACATACCCAATACATCGCCCCACGAGCCCACCAAAATCACCATCTATCGCTCAATAACCCCCATACATACCCGTACGTACCCAGAAAAGATAAGAGAGAGAGAGAGAGAGTGGATCAACTACTACAGTACATGTACATGTCCTTCGTATCGTATACCGATATTTGGTAAAAGGTACTGTGCAGGAAGAATCGTGATATATCAACTGCATGCGTGAACGTTTAACGCAGCAATCCACAGTCAACAAATTCAATTCTTTGATGTCGGTACCTACATATCCCAAGTTCCTTCTGCACCAGGTTCGCCGATGCCTCGGTTCAGGTTGGTGGCGTGGTTCCTTTGGCCTGACTGACTGCAGGAATGATGGAGTTCTTGAATTCAAGGTACCGTACCTTGACGGCCAGCGGCTAGCATCATGCAAGATTCAGGCCCAGAATCGAACGTAACAAAAACACAAACGAGACAGACACCAAATAAATCACGGCACAGCGAGGCGAAAAAACAGTAAAAGCATGGTGCCAAATTCTTTATTATTATGGTGGTTGTGATCTGAGCAATTAATCCCCACCGCGTTCATCCATTCCTTTCTTTCTCTCGATAGCTAATTAGCTTACAAAACCAAAAATGCGAAAAAAATTATATACTAAGGTGAAGCGTATGTGTCGAGCCATATGAGCAGCGCTTTGTTTCGTTCATCGCTTTTTTTGCCGAATGCCGAAAATCAAAATGCCAAATGAATGTCCTGTTTACTCCGTTCTCCCCTCTACCCTCTACCCATTGGCCCGACCATTAAATTCATTACGCGAAGAAAATCAGATGAGATGACGGGTTTACAGAACCAAGGCAGCAAAAGCAGCGAAGACGACAGCACCGAATCCGGCAGCGGTCTTCTCACCGTTGTTGGCTTGAAGAGGACCAGTTGGGGTGGCAGATGGGCCAACTGGCTTTCCGGTACCTGGAACGGATCCACCACCAACAACTGGAGTAGTAGGTCCTGCAGGAACGCCAGGAGCAGTTGGGGTTGGTGGCGAAGCTGGAACAGCAGTGACGCTGATGACGGGGATGGTGTATGTGCCTGGTGTTGGGACAGGGATGGTAACTGGGAAAGTTGGACCGTATGTGAGAGTGGTTGGTGCTGGGCAGTACTGGGGATTGGGTTAGCTGAAGATGCAATCAAAAAATGTTGAGAGATACGTACAGTGGTGTAGTATGAGAGGGTGGTGGTTGATGCGGTGGTTGCTGGGTATGACACGGTGCAAGGGCAGTTCTTAATGGTCAAAGTAGTGGCTGAAGTGACCGTGTAGGTTTGGTTGCCTTGGACGACTGATGTTGGAGCTGGGCAGTAGGTTGTGTAAGCGGTCAAGACCGTGGTTACCCAAACAGGTGATGGGATGGTGCCATTGACCACTGGTGGTGGAAGAGTGATACCAGTTGGTGTTGGGGTCGGAGTTGGAGTCTTGGTCTTGGTCAAAGTACATGGGCAGTCGGTGATGGTCAAGGTTTGCGAGGCGGTTGCGGTGCTGTTGGGTGTTAGTGGAAGTTCGTATGACGCGTGATCTTGAAGGTGAAGGTCGAAAGTTGGAGCGCAACGTGATCGAAGAGAAAGCGGCTACTTACTATGTCTTGGTACCTCCAACGAAGGTCGTGGCGGCTGGGCAGTACGTGGTATAGACATTGGTGGTGACGGTCTCGTAAATGATGGTCTCGTTGGAGTAACCACCCGCGCGAGCGACGAAGCTTGCCTGGGCAGCAGCGACGAGTCCGAAGACGGAGAGGAGAGTCTGAACAGTCTTCATTATGGCGATTGAACGATAGTACGGTGGCTGTAAACGAAAGTGGCTTTGGCGGCAGATGCAGGAAAAACAGATAACGGAAATTGGAACTGTATGGGTATCGTGATGCAGTCGTGGAACGAATGTGATGATGGAGGAGAGGAAGAGATCGAGGTGTTGAGCGAGCCAGAGAAGATATATGCCAACGCCAGCCGAAGGCGAAGACCCTGGTCACCTTGGTCACCTTGGGACAGAAGGAACGACCTGCAGGGGTCCTGAAGGTGAGCCAGTGAGAGCGAGGGTAGCGAGACTGGAGAGACCAGAGAGAGACCAGAGAGAGACTAGCCCCGGCAAGCGAAGCTCTCACCTCTTACAGCCGCAGTGAAAGGCAAGAAGACGCGCATGAAAGTGAGGGAAGGAGCAGGGGGTGAATGAGGGGTACGGTGCGGCGAGGTCGGGATCGGTATGGCTATGAGATGGTGATGGGTAAGCTTATTCCGTTGTCAGCAAAGACGGACAGAGGCGAAATTGTTGACGCCCCACGAATCCATCAATACTCGGATCTTCGTTCCCTCTCCTATCAAAGGAAATTGAGGCCTGGAAAGAGGTCTTAGCTAGCCTGAAGAGGAAGAATAGAGAGTACTTAGGCATGGCGAACATCAAGCTGGGTGACTTCACATGGTACCTCTACCTCCATCTCAAGCACCTTCACCTGCATACCTAGATAGGTACCTAGATAGGTCGGTCTCTCCACTCTTGGGCACAGAAGCTACAGTACCATCTCCAAAACCTGATGACTTCCACACCACCATTGCTCTTCTGATCTGCCTCAGCATGAGCGTGAGCATGCACAAGCTGTGTAATACGAGCCTCCCAGAGCACGCCGAGTGGCTGAGCTGACGGGGAGTTCTGCTTTTCTTTTTCAGCCTTGTCCTCTCCTGGCAGCATCTCTCGTGTCCATCCAATGACCATCCGCTGCCACCCAGCCAACGTGGAGGGGTATTGGCCTCCCCTGCCAATCAACCGTCATATGCTGCTATTTTGGGCCTTTCCTGTTTGCCGTTCGCCCACGTCAACTCGTAACATTTCGGTCATGATAACCTGATGAACCACCCCGTACCCATAATCTGCTAATTTATAGGGCTGCCAATCTATCGTGGGGTGCTTCCTCTTTGCGGGGAGTCAAGAAAGAGGTTCCTCTCGGCGTGCTGATGAGCAAGATGGGATTCTACTCAAGTATCTCCCGTGTCACCTACATCCCTATGGCTGAACCATTTCGTGTCACCCTTCAGGCTGTTTGTCTTATGTACCTGACTACGGAAGCCGTTGAGCTGCACCGAAGCCGCCGCCGAAAAGACCATGGAATCATTTTCGGATATTGGGCACCTGTAGTGCTGATGGTCGAGCGGTGACAAACGCATGCTCATCTCAGAGCCATCAAACAGAACCTTCCAACCGGCAAAACCAAAGGTTACATCTGAATCGACTGACCATCGCCTCATCGTGTTGGTTTCCGCTGATTCATAGCCGATCTAAGTTGATGGTAACATCGCTTTAGAGTACTTATCAAGAAAAGAAGAAAGAAGACTTACCCCCTGGCATCCTCATGCACCGGGCACAGTCAGCGTCACCGAACCAGCCAGCCAGCCGCTTGTTTTTCCTGTGCCTTCAAAATCTGATGAGGATGAGTGGTCGGTTTGGGCAACACATGAACATCCACTTTTCCCTCTTATCTCTATGGCTGTCACGATACGAGGACCTCAGCACCATCCTCAATCCGGTAATGGACTGCAGCAAAAGCAAACCACCGCATGTTTCTGCAGCAATCCAGTTTGGTATTCAGAAACCCATTGAGAGCTGTGAAACCCAAATCTCCCATGAACCGTGGTGGAAATTTGCAACTCATCTTTTGAGGTTTTGATTTGAGTTGAGCTGAGAAACCGGTTCTTTACCACGGAAAAGATGGTTGGTTTGACATCTGTCGATTGACGAGGCTCGAGTGAGAGGATCCACTTTGCAAGGCTCCAACTTTGGGGCTTCCGTTCTCGGGTCTTTTTCATACGAGCGAGTCCAACCTTTTACGGCGACCTGCTCGTGACCTGCCGATTGTAGATAATGCACGGAGCCAGCAAAGCAGAATTCACGAACTGGTAATTATCCATACGACGATGCAAGAATTTTCAATATTTGGATACCCGCCAACGGAAAATCATCTCGAAATTATTATTGATCGATCGTATCATCCGTTTGTTCGAATCATGGTTTCGGACATCCACAGCCTCGAGACTCAAGTTTGTCGGATGCAAATTCGTGGTACCTTGGAGTCTTAGACAAACATAGATCTCATTTCACTTCATCAAACGAACTTCTCTCTTCTCATCTCCCAGAAATCGGCCATCAAGACACCCCCCGAATCGCACTCGACCATTCGAGAAACTCCTATTCTATACTCTGTAGTACAATCCTTCAGCAATCCTCCTCAGGCAACAAGAAACTCTCCCCCAGATTTTACGAGCAACCCCAAAAGCACTCGGTAGATCACAATTTCACCGCGGGCTACTAAAAAATAGGCATCCCCTTTCATGGCCAACACGTCTCGCTAACGGCCTGAGTAATGTGCCAGTAGGCTACGCGACTTACCGAGACTTTACGGCCATTGTAGCAGTGTGGAAATTGAGAACCAAATCCGACTCTACGCAAATCAAAGTAGGCAGCGAGATGGAAGCTGAGGGTCATCTACTTGTACTCAGTACGGTAGCAAAGCCCGAGATTTAAATTCGGATATTGATAAGTTTGTAGTCGGTGATGAGCACGGGGTTTGCTCGTACAAAGGGGATCTATTGGTAGGTTGTTTTGCTAATTTTGAAATTGATGTGGTTGTGGGATTTGATGAGATGGGTGGGATGTGGGATATGCTCTTGTGCTGAAAATTCTAGTATTGGTAAGGTACTGTAGGGCCTATCTTTGGTAATCGTTTATGCATTTCTATCTCCTTTCACCCAGACCAGGCCAGGCCAGGTTAGCAAACTCTCCACCAAGCTCCAGGTTCTAATCACCATCTGTACCTCTCGACTTCTATCTTCTCTCCACTCTTTACCAATCTTACGAGTACCTACAGCAACGCTCTCATAACACTCACCACACCACGCTTTTTATCCTCTGTTCTAATCATTACTTGGTCGAAACAGTGGAATAATGTCCGTTAGTTTACTCTACTATTTATAAGGAGGCGAGGTTGGTGTTGTAACACTTGACCCCGCAGCTAAGCTTGAAGAGGCTGTTTACGCTCTCTGGGCCTGTGTTGCTACGCGCCTTGAGGGTATATATAGTATACCTTGTATACTATACAGTTACTCGATATAGGTAAGAAGGACGAGTCTTACCTTTTTATTCGAATTCTTAGATAGATGAACGGTTTTATGAGGTTGGAGGGGTTGTATTTGAGGGACAGAGAAATATCGTAGTAAATCGCACTTACTGTAAGAAGGATGCTGGAGTAGGAGAGTAGAGTACTAAAACGGCTTGTTAGGCCAGCCCCTCGCTCATTGAAATCTTCTACTCGAGTACGCATAAAAAGAACTTCCTAGCGAGTAGGAGGAGCCTCTACTTTATTCTACTTTAAGCTATTCCGTAAGATTACTTTACGCGCCCGCTTAGTATCCTTCTTGAATTCGATTTGCAGCTTTCCAAGGCTGGCTTCAGTGGGGGACAGGGCAAAACCCCCTGAACAAAGTTGCAATTATTTCGCCTATGACGAAGTAATTAACAAACAAGCGTCCCACAGAGCCTCTCAGTTTCCAATCAATTTCAAAAATCCTCCGGGCCTGTAGTATTCAAAAACAGAAGCCAAGTCGAGTGAGTCAAGAGCCGACATGATGGAAATCCGAGGATTCCGGTCACTACCAAGGTATCTAGAATTGCGATGGTGGGAGGGACAGGAGAGGGGAATGTGGTTTCCTGGTTTAAATTCTTTTCACAGTTGATGATGTTCTCATTTACATTTCCTTCGGATGAAATGAGTGGTGAGAGATTCCACGACCTTATCGATAATCTGATATAGGGGGGGTTTCCTACCTACGAGTACACAGCACAGCATTGGAAAGATCACATGGGAATAATGAGGAACCGAGAACTGTAGAAGTGTGTTGAGAAATAATGGAACCTTTTCCAAGGATCTCTTATCGATAATGACGGTGAACGATGAACGATCAACCAAGGAACGCAATCAGAAGTGGGGCATAAATCCAGCCCTTCCATTTCTCGGATGCAGAGCCGGACCCGAAAAAGCATGGAAGTCGCCCGGCGATCTGGGTTTGGTCGGATTCTGACAGATTTCTTTTTCGATTTTGGGGAAGTCGTGAGCTTCATCAATTGGATTGTCAATTCTCGAGGGAAGCATCGGATATGTATCCTCTTCTACGTCAAAGCAACTCAACCAATAATGGGTAGTACCAGCAAGCCATTCCAGCATGGAGAGGTGTGGTCAGCAAGCTTTCTGTTCCTGATTTTCAGGGTGTTGGTCCTGTCCTGGGTCCGGCTAGAAGAGCCGTGCCGTTCCTGACGGGATGGGATGGGATCTTGGGAAGAAAACAAGGTTTGCCCACAACGAAAAAAAGAAACTTTTCATCTCCAGTCAAAAGGTCAAAAACTGCTGTCATCAAATATTAATTGCGGCATTTTTTGTGATTCGATGCATGAGTTGGGAGCTCTGCTGTGATAGGTCACACTGCCTATTCATTCCCCTTCCAAGCCTTCCATGATATGAGCTCCATTTTCCAGGTTTGATTCTCGAGTCTCTTTGATGGGAATTGTGGAGTTGGAGAATAAGCATAGGCTCCACAAGTTCCATGGAAGACTCTGGTACCTTTTCCAAGTTCAAATCTGGAAGTCCATGTTTTCTCGACGTGTACTCGAGTAAACACGACCATTTCCTTTCGCTTCGAATCCGTCTCCCTCCGTTCCTGGGACTTCCTTTCGTCATATCATAAGAATCTTATTTGTATTTTCAGCCGAACCTTGGATAGAATCGCTTCGACCATTCAGACATCAGGCACTACTGATGTGCTGTGATGATGAGATGCGTGGATTGATGCAAGGGGAAAAGTGTGACCAAGGTCATGATTCGTCTTTTGCAATGGTTAATTTCATGTTGTGCTGTCACGTCACGCCCTTCTCTTGTCCTTTCTCTCCTTGGATGCCTGGTCTACACAGTTCTCCATACATGGATCCAACCAGCACGGATTTTGCAGAGATTTCCCCCAAGAAACATACCGAGTGGTTCGGAGGGAGTTCAGCATCCACCAGCAGGGCATCTCATCCTGGTCACCACGAACCGGGTAAATCCACTCAGGCACCAGATCCTCAGGAACGTCTGGTGTCTCGGGGATTTTGGGTTCAGTTTACTGGTCGAGGGGGCAGCCCACTCATGGATTTCTTGCCTTTGCAGTTGGTTTTTCGCCCCGTTTTCGTAAGGCGAGCTCACATGCCGCATCAGTAGTGTGTAGCAATTCGGGATTCGTTCCTGCATCACCAAGATTTGCCATGCCACGACTCTCAACATTCTGATATCGTTCTGCTGTGCATTTTGGTCGCCGTTCACAAAACGAGAGGACATATGTGTTGACATCGTTTTGCTATCGCGTTCTGAATTCGGGAAACCAAACTTTCTATTGACATCACGCTTCCCGGGTTGGAAGGCGACGTTGGATCAAGTCTTTGATACTTCCGTAAGCACGAGTTGGCCATGGGCCGGAGAGTTTCCATCAAACGGTACCTTGAGAATCTCCCGCCCATGATCCGCGATTGGTTCTGGGCTCTGTACAGATCTCCACACCCCCATCAACTCGGCTGTGATAACTCGATGCAGTGCTTCCATTTCAATACCTTCCACGTCCAAAGTCAACCCAAAGTTCGGCAAGAGCACGATTCTTCCGGCGTCCCTATGCGCGGCGGACACATGGCGAGAGCCGTCCTACACTATCTGCCAGCAATTGAACACTCCGGAGTCAGGTACGAGCGTTGGTCCGTTGCCCAGCAGCGAATCAGCAAGTGATCGCAAAGCCTTTTGCCCCTCTTCATTGACACCGCTTTACGTGGACCAAGTTCTACTTTTCACTTCCCTGTCAACACCGAGCCGACCTCTTCTGGGACCAAGTCTTTAACCAATGAGCGAACCCACATTGGGGAGGAGTCTGCTTAGTCTTTGAAAACTCGTCCCTGGTATGATCCATGTATATGTGAATGGTTCTCTATGGTGGGAACGATCGGGTTTCCCCCCTGTTTTGTTACTGAGAACCAACATGACAAGGTGCAGTACACAATCTTTGGAGAATGTTGGACCAGAAGAACATGCTCTCAAGTCTGAATTCCGTAGATCCCAGTTCTCCCCACCCCACCAACATGCCTCGAATGAAAGCCGATACGTTGGCTTCCTTCTTCCAACCCTACTCGAGTATGTCGACATAAGCAACAGCCGGGCCAAGGCCCATCTGCAAAGAATTTACATTCCTATATAAATGTGGGTGCCCCCCTCCCACAACCTTTTTTTCCTCTGCAACCACAATCCTTTGGTCTATACAACCAGTTTTTTCAGTGAACGACGAGGGTTTCTTACTCCTTCCTTTGTGAGTATCAAATCGATCTGAGATCGCGATATCTATCCTTAAGCAACAGCTTTAGATACAAAACAGCTGGCCTTTTCTGTCCGCGACATCATTGTCTCTACGACGTCTTTCAAGAAAGCTCCTCGTCAGATCAATAGTCCGATACTTTGCAGTCTTGACGACTAGATATACATACTTCTTTTTCCAAGGGAACATATATACGAAAACTTGCAAGCAAGTGATACACAACCGATCAACCTTGATCAACAAAATAAGCGAAGAAACACATTCGACTTCTCTTTTCCAAGATGCAATTGCTCAACACCCTCTTCATCGCAGCCTCCGCGCTCGCCACCCTCACAGCCGCAACCAAAGCCGCCTCCTCGACTCCAAAATCCCCCAACAAAGTCCACTTCATAAACCAAGACTCCACCCCACGCACCATCCACTTCACACCTCAAATCGGCACTCCTTCCATCGCCTCATTGTCTCTCAACGCCTCCGGCAGCGCCACCGTCCCCTTCCCAATAGGCTGGATAGGAAACTGGTACTCCGTCTCCAAGGGACGCAAGAACATCCCCGGGATGCTAGGCGAAGTGCGCTTCGACGGCTACGCGGGCGCGACATACTTTGATGTTAGCGCGATCGTGAACCCGGACGATAACGAGGGCGTGAAGATGCTTATGCCGATGAAGGGTCAGAAGCCGATGAGTGGGTGTCCTGATTTCACGACGAGGTGTGGGAATGCGTATAATAAGTGGGATGATGTGCAGACGATGGCGACGTTGGAGAAGGAGTTGATCTGCTTTGTTGGGAATGGGGGAAAGGAGTCGGATGGGAAGAGAGGGAGGGTTGGAAGGAGGTTTGTGGAGGCGTGAAAGGATTTCTGCGTCGCTTGATGGGATGCGGGGTTGGGAAAATGGTGATTATGACTTATGATGGTATGGAAATGACATTGACGGATGGGATTCATCTTCTTCACACTCGTTTATCAGGATTTATCTGATTCTTGGACACGGCCGTTTTAAGACACATTGGGGTTATTCACTGTATGCGGAACATACTCGTGGACAGTATCTAGAATGCGTTGGCTTTTCTTCGATTCTTTCTGTATATATCTTGGGGGTTTGGATGGTGTCGGTTTTGGGGGATGAAAGGGGGGTTTTAGAGTGGTGGTTTGGGGACAGAGATATACTATTCCATTCTATTTTACGATGTTATATGATGCTCTTTTGGGATGATGGTATAGACCTAGACCTTGTTGTCTTGTTCTTGTGTGGTGGTGACTTATCGTCTTGTTTGTCGCATTGCTTGAGTGATGTGGGGTTGCCATCTTAGCCCCAACTTCTGCTCACAAAACGATATTGCGAATATTAATAGCTTCATATCCATATTCCTTCAGTGGGCTGAATACCTTCTCATATTTACCACCTATATCTCCTTCTTCCCCCCTCCTTCTCTCAAACAATCAAAGACATCGGTACTAATAGAATATACATATCCGAATTTTCCTCATCGTTATATCGTCACGCCCAGTATAATCCTCATAATCTGTTCCATCCCACAATCGAATTGGCGTCGCTCTTTTCGACTCCTTCCTTCTTTCAGGATATACTTTTGGGCGTTGGGCACCTTGGAGAGATGTTTGTCTCGCGAGGGCGATCGTAGACCCCGGGCTTGTGGTGGATTTCTTTGCGTTGTTCTACGCCTCTTTTTGGAAGGGGGGTGAGGGTTTTGATCTAGCTGGACCAGGGGGGTTTTTGCATGCTCGTAGCGAGTAGATGGGTTGAATTGATCGTAGGTCTTTATGGGAAGGTTGTGAAGAACAAATGTGTACTGTGAGTAGGTAGTGAGTGGGTCTACTGTCTAAACTATTTCGGAGAAAGAGTATACTGTATGAGGATGGGGAATTGAGGAAGCTTGGCTTGGGTTGTTCGTTTTTTTTTTTGCTTTGGATCTAGGAGTGATACTTGACTACGCCTTATTTATCTCCACTATTTGCTTCGGAGTTGATGTCTTTCTCTGTCATTTGGTTGATTTGAAAAGAAGGTTAATAATATTGGGGTTTTTATAGCACACGAAATGGAAAAAGATTAGAGTTGGGTAGCTCGCTCATCTAGACTTTTGTTTCAAGTTTGTGGGTGTGAGAGCTTCGGCTGGTGCTCCGAGTAGATATGGTAGTGTACGGAAGCAGATCTTGTCCATGGGTTATACAGAAGATCTCCTACTTAGTTATTTAGGCTACAGAACACACTAAACCACAGTAAAATGAAATAAAAACTTGAAGATTATGGTTCACAGGACGTTGAAGATGGTGGAAAAGTGGGGGACTCGGTTCTCTATTTAGGTTTAGCTTCCGTCCCAGGTTGTGCGGTTGGGTGTTCGGAGATAAGGATGTGACCTGATGTGGGGATTGATGAGGTGACGGGAATTTTTGAGTTTGAGATTGCGATCTGGGTTTGGCATTTGGGGTTTGGAGATGTTGGTCAGGGGCTTGATGCTTAGTTGCCCGAAGGGAGTTGGCGTGTGATGGGGTTTGCTGGATAAATGTTTGGTGACGAATATCTTGTACGGTCCGTATATTGGAGGCAGAAAGGACTTATTAAAACTCACTGATTTCACAAGTTCATAAGCCCGTTCTTGAGGCTTAAATAGATATGCTTGGTATAAAGAAAATACATGATGCCGAACTAATAATAGGGCATACACAAGGACCCTCGGGCAAGCCGCGGATGCTCCCGTTAAACGAGGAAAGATGGCTGAAGGATGAGGCTCGGTAAATCTTTCACGATAAGGCGGTTGGAGACGTCGAAATGATATCTTCAACAATGTTTCCAGAAGCGCTGGTGTAATGAACTCTTCAAACACCGGTTTTGAAAGAGCTTGTGTGATGTATAGTTTATAGGTTCTGGGGAACCATCATGTCACCCTCTTACCCCTTTTCTTGGCTGGATTGAGAACCCCTCTCCATTGTCTCGGCCAATCATAGGCCAAGGAGGGTGTACTCCGTACCCGACGATCCATCCAGTGCCCGCTTACCAAATGGGACGTTGCCCTCCTGCAATTCAACTTCATTTCTTCCATCTCGAAGCGCCGTCCGACGAGTGCGATTCCGCACATTCCACTCCTTGAGTTTGTCAATTGATAGTAGATGCTTTCCTCACCCTCCTTACAATAAGCAGCATACACCGCAGCGTGTCGTCGCCAAACGACAAATCACACTCTTTCGTTTCTTCTTTTCTTAATTTTGATTGCTTTTGATTCAGCTTCAAGATGCGCTTTTCAAGGCTCCTCCTGGGCGCCTCAGCGATTCTTCCAGTCGTGCTAGCACAAACCTGGACCGATTGTAATCCTCTCAATACGACCTGTCCCAATAATCCAGCGTTGGGAACAAACCACACCTTCGTCTTCAACTCGAGCTCTGCGGTTACAGACACCTTCAACATTACCGCTGGGAAACTCAATTACACTGAGCAAGGCACCCAATACTCGATCACGAAGCAAGGCGAATCGCCTACCATTCAGTCGAATTGGCATATCATGTTTGGATCCGTCTCGGTGCTGATGAAGGCCGCCTATGGACAAGGAATTATCTCTTCGATCGTTCTCCAGTCGTCGGATTTGGATGAAATTGATTGGGAATTCATGGGAGGAAACGCCACGCATGCCGAGACTAACTACTTCGGCAAGGGAAACACGACTTCTTTCGATCGCGCAGTCTACTATCCCGTATCTTCGGATGTTCGCGCAAACTTCCACAACTACACTATTGTTTGGACGGCTGAGACTTTGACCTGGATGATTGATGGGGCTACTGTTCGCGTTCTGAAATATGCCGAGGCAAATGGGGGCAATAACTACCCACAGACGCCGATGAATTTGAGAATTGGAATCTGGGCTGGTGGAGATGTTACCAAATTCCCACAGGGAACCGTCGATTGGGCTGGTGGTGCAACCGATTTCTCGAAGGCCCCTTGGTCCATGTTCGTCAAGGAAGCGGAAGTCAAGGACTATGGCAGCGGAAAGGAATACCAATGGACTGATAAGAGCGGTGATTGGAAGAGTATCAAAGCCATTGCGTAAGTTTTCGGTTAATTTCTTCTCCTGAAACATGTCTAACCTTTAATCCAGCGGGAACTCAACAGCAGTGGAGGCAATTACAAGATCTCAAACCCCACATCTCACAATTTCGGAAAAATGGGCTGCTTTACCCCAGACTGCGAAGGTTGGGGTCTACGTTGGTGCAGTAGGATTCGTCGGAGTCGCATTTGCAGCTTTCCTCTTCATTTTCATGCGCCAACGTAAGAAGGGTCGTCTGGAACGGGAAGCATACAACGCAAGCATTGAAAAGGAGCGCGAGGAGAAGTACAAGGACCAAATGGAATTACAGCAAAAGGGACAAGGAGGTTACAACGAGCGCGACTTAGCCAATCAAGGAGAAGATGCTCTCGGGGGTTGGGGAACTGCCCATGCCACGTCTAACCCGGATGAACCTGAAAGTCCTACCTCGTCAAGAAATGCGCAAAAGCAGACACTATTGGGTGATGTCCCATTGCGAGCAAACGAATGGCATGGAGGTAACCAAGGCGGGATGATTCACGATGCTGGTAACGCACGTACCGGTCTCTATACTGGACCCGGTCCACAAAGCCCTGAATACAAACCCGATTCATCGCATTCAAATTCACGTGGGCTAATTGGTAATGCTCAAAATGCTCATTCTGGTGGATATGCTAGTCCGTCTTTCAACAATAACTACCCTCTAGCCGGACAAGTACCACAGCAAGGACAGACAAGAGGTGGCTACCAGCAGTTTTAATGGGCTTGAAGCTCGAACTTGTTTTCAATTTGTTTATATACTTCGCTTTTCTATATCCGGGAGTTATGGTGTTGATGTATACGAGAATGGGTTGTATTTATGGCCAGGACATAGGAATTGTCTGGTGGGTCTTTGAGCGCTCGTTTTCTTTCCCATTTTTCTAGTGTGACGTTATCGCCACCTTGTATTTTGGTGGTTTGAAGCTTAGCGATATCCTAGCTGGATTTGTACATTGAGTTAAGGCTCGAGAATAGTTCGATCTCAACTTTTCAAGATTCATGGAAGCTTTTTTACTATCCAAGCACCCGTTATGATTGCCTGAGACTGGCTTTAAGAAAGAAAAGTGTCAACTCTAATCAGCTTTTTGTTTTCTTTCACCACACTCTCCCTCTATTTACTCCTCCAACTCATCCAAAATGCCCCTCAATCCCCTAACCTCCTCTACACTAACCATCTCCCCCTCCCCAACAACAGCACTACTATGCACCCACCTCGCTCCCGTCCCCCTAACAAGCACTTCTACATTCTCCCTCCTAACCCCACCACCCACAATAACCTCCAACCCTCCCTCTCTCCCTCCATCAACCAACTCCTTCAACAACCCCCAATCCTCTCCCTTTTCTCCTCCCGCCTTCGCTGCTCCCCCCGATGTAAGCAAATACTTAAACCCCAACTCGATCAAGACATCGAGTTGAGAAAGCATGAGGGGTGGCGGGATGGAATCAAATGCCCTATGGAATGTGCACGGTAATGGCGCCGCAGCATTTAGAAGTAGCGTGCTGGTTGGGATATCGATTAGATTCTGCGCTGTTAAGGCACCTAGGACGAAACCTGTACACCCGCCCTCTGCTTTGTAAGCTGCGATTGAATGGAGCATTTCTTGGATGGAGGCGGGGGTGTAGGTGAATGTGTCTGCGTGGGGGCGGATCATTATGTGGATTGGGGGTTTGGAGAGGGGTGTTGGTGGGGTTGTGTTGGGGGAAGAGAGAGGAGGGGTTAAGAGGGTTTTGAGGGTTTGGAATGAGGTGAGAGGTGGTGTGAGACCGCCGGAGGGCATGGAGGTGCAGAGTTCGATACGTGTTGCTCCGTTTTGGGCGGCGTGGTGGGCGGAGGTGGGGGTGAAGGAGGCGATTTCTAGGTTGATCATCTTCTGTGGATTTGAGTGGTGTTTGTGGAACCGAGTAGTGAGATGGGATTGTTCTGGTTTTGGTGTTGAGAAGTGTGAGGTTTTGATGGAGTTGAGTGATAGGTACCTATTGAGATGGAGGTCGGTCACGTTTTCAGGCTCTGAAATATCACATGACTTTAGGTTTCAGTGAAGGAAGGAGCTTTAGAAGCAAGACTAGACTTTAAGAACTGCTCAGGAATTCTTGAAGTACATGAAAATATTGCGAGTTAATCCTGGGGGAAATTTACAATCAAATTACTATTACATTTTGCGCTGTAGAGTCTAGTATCACGATCGCGGCCAATTCGCTTAGACCCCTGAGATACGAGTTGGAGGAGTAGCATATGAGATCTAGAAGCTGTCATTTCATATACTGAACAATATGGGTGGAACACTCAACTTCCTGTGTCTATAAACTTCGTCTATATCATTAACGACATTTCACGTATTTTTCTGTAGGTTCTTCGAGTATGAATGTTTTGTGAAATTTTTAGAGGATGATCTGGTCCTATCTGCAATCTCATATATTCAATATCAAAGTTCTTTGGAATCTTGGTGGGAAATAACACCTTTAAAAGAACACTTTTAATTGTTTACGGGTCAGGCGGGTACAAATTAGTACAAAGGTCGCTTAAAGTATCACTTTTTATATGAATGATGGGAAAGACTATTGAGTAGAATAGGGGGGAGTAGAGCTACAGGTATGGTGGATGTTGGTTTAGAGGTATCTGTTAATATCAAGTAAGCGAAATAAATAATTGTAGTATACGGTGTAAATAATCAATTGTAGTATAAGCGAAAGGAGTGGAAGCGTTCAGGTACTTATATCCTCGACACGTTATATGTACACTTGGATTTTGAAGTTTACGATACCCACTTTAAGTATCCCCTCTACTACTACCAGGAGCTCCGTTAATCCCTGCATATGCCAAGAGGTGTAACCTTATATTTTTATAATAACTTTATAAGCTTTCTTAGTTTAAATAAACCCTTAATAATTTCGAGTTACTATTACTTTTAGTTATAAAATAGAATATTAGAAGTTTTTAAGTTTTTCTTATAAAAAGTAATCTTATAAGAATTAATAAGAATAATAAAGAAAAGCTAGTATTAAATTACTTATAATCCTTTATATTATACTAGCTTTAACCTACTTTTAGTTACTATTAACTAATTAAATTAATTAATATAAGTTATTCTATTATATAATTATAGTTATTAATAAAATATAGAGTGTTTATATCTTTTTTAAATAGCTCTTTAAAAAGTACTTTTATTATCTTTACTTTTAAAGAAGTTATCTTTAAGCGCTTATATAAGTATAATATATTTAATATCTTATTATAAGTAACTTTATAAAAGTATTATTTTTCTAACCTAATTAGTTTATAAGATTTAATAGAGTTATATATAAAACCTTTATATTCTAGGGAATTATATTATTTTTATTCGATTTCTTTATATTAATAAGCTTTTTTATTAACTTATACTAGATTATAAATAATAGATATCGGTTATACTAATTCCGCGATCTTATAAGAGCTTAAAAAAGTAGATAGAAAAGAATAAATTATTAAAGAATATATATGTAACGAATACTCAAACTGGCTAACTAAACTTGGCTGGGTGTTCGCTGGTTGGTATGCTATGATAAGAAGAAGACTATCGGGTTGTTCACTTGGAAGTGAACTCGTTACTTGTATCAAAGATGTCAAACTAATATGATAAGATTGATAACTAAGCTGAGCACGAAGCTCCTATCTAATGGCAGACGTGCCAGTCTTATATAGANNAACTCGTTACTTGTATCAAAGATGTCAAACTAATATGATAAGATTGATAACTAAGCTGAGCACGAAGCTCCTATCTAATGGCAGACGTGCCAGTCTTATATAGAACCTTCATCCTCATGATCGCTGCTGGTCGCCGCGACCAAACGACCATTACTGGTCACGTGATATAATTGCTATGAAATCCCTGGATCGCTTAGCTAACCTAAGCATCTCTATCTGCTATAAGTATTCTGGTAGTGCTTGACCTGTCAGGACGCCGCCTGGTCTTCGCTAACCACGTGCTAACACGTGATTCGTGACAATATAGTATAAGCTAGTAGGTTTTTAAGTAGAGATTTAATAAATTTAAATATAATAGCTTATATTTTATTCTCTTCTTTACCTTCCTTTTTAGTTTCTTCGAGTTTTACTAATATATAAGTATTTATAGGTTTATTCTTCTCCCTAGGTATATATTAATTCTAAGTAACTTATATAAAAGCCTAATTTCTATAATTACCTAGATCTTAAATTCTATTAGTATAGGTTTGTTTAGTATAATAGTAGTCTTTTTTACTTTACTTTTAAATTAGTATATAACTTTATTTACTAAGAGTTTTAACTCTAGAATCTAGATTTATTAATTAATAGAGAGAATATACTTATTAAATAGCTTTATCTTTTACTTATAAAAGTTAGTTAATAATAATAGAAATTAGATAGTAATATACTTTTTTATAGGGACTGCTTATACTATTAGAGTATTTACGAAACCTTATATATAACTCTAAGAACTTATCTCTTAATATATAACTTTATTCTTTAATAAGAAAGTATAGTATAAGAGAGCTTTTATTACTCTAATATCTTATAAACTTAAAGTTATATATTACTATATAGATTAGAATTATAAGAAATATATAAACTTTAGCTCTAATTATTTTATATAACTTATATATAAAGCTTTTATAAATCTTAAGACTCTCTAGTATAAGAGTTTATATTTAAAACTATTATATTTATTATTTAGAAAAGATAATATAAGAGAAATATTAATATAGGATTATTAATATTAGTATTCTTAAGAAGGTTAATTTAATATTATTATTATTATAATATATCTACTATTTTTATTGTATAGATATCGGAAAGCTTAGTATATACGAGTACTTATAACTAGTACTTATTCTTTCTATATAATTAATTAATTAACTATTATACTAACTTTTATATACTTTTATTACTACTATTTTAACCCTTATTTATAAGTATCTCTTATACTAATAATTATATAAGAATTTCTATTAGTATAAAGCTTATACTAACCTTCTGAAGTAGTAAAATATTTAGCTAATAAGTTCTTATATATATTATATCTAGTTTAGTATTTTTAAGTATTATTAAAACTTATTGTCACGAATCACGTGCTCACGTGATACTTGTCATAATAAAGAGGCGCAACCCTCGACAGGCACATCCAGGTTTCTTGTAGCAAATAGGGATGCTTAGACTAGCTAAGCGATCCAGGGATTTCCTTCGTATCTTATCACGTGACTAGTTGGATCGACTGGACCGACGATCGGTCTGAACTTCTGGAACGACAGGACCGACCAGCGGTTCTGGCAAAGTACAGGAAAGTGAAGGGTCTATATAAGACTGGCACGTCTGCCATTAGATAGGAGCTTCGTGCTCAACTTAGTTATCAATCTTATCATATTAGTTTGACATCTTTGATACAAGTAACGAGTTCACTTCCAAGTGAACAACCCGATAGTCTTCTTCTTATCATAGCATACCAACCAGCGAACACCCAGCCAAGTTTAGTTAGCCAGTTTGAGTATTCGTTACACTTATAGCTTCGGTGTTCCTATCCCTATTAAGGGTATACACGGGCCCCGAAACGGAGCTCCTAGTAGTAGTAGAAGGGATAACCTAATTAGTACGAAGTAAGTTAAACTAAGCGTCGTAGCGTATATAGGTATTATTTCGATCGGTCCGACCGCTTAATTAGGAAATCGCAAAGTTAAAAATCCAAGTGTATATATAACGCGTTAAGGAGATAGTATTCGAACAAGTGGTTCTATTATAAGATATAACTAATCACGAGATAAAATACGAGTTTATTGTAATAGTATAAATACAACTGGTTTGCGATATCGAGATTTTGCTGCCTTTTGAAACCCTACAACGTATGTTTTCTTTTGCTGATGATCATAGGCTCCAGTCCGGTAAAGAAGTGGGGACATCTCAAACAAGAAGGCAAACGCATCATGATCTCACCAGACAACCACGCTCCAACAATTCGAACCCCTCAACAACTAAAATAAATATGGCAGGAGAAAGTCTCCCTTTGGGCTGGAACGACATATTCCTGTGCTATCCCGTCTTCGAGAACATTTGTGCTCATCTAGGCCCTCAAGATATCTTCTTCCTCCGCCAGACAACCAGACAGCTCTCTCCCATTTTCGAAACTCTCTTCAAGACCCAATGGAATATCAATCGTCAGCTCTCCCATTTTCTCAAGGACCCTATTGGATTTCGGTCGCAGATGGCCAAGTATGATGCCATCATCTCGGGAGATTTTGCGTTGCAGTTTTTAGAAAGAGCATTCTGGAAAGATTCGGACCTGGATATTTATTTGGATGGGTCAGATGCCCATAGAGATCCGGAGCAGCTGGGGGAATATTTAGTAGATCGTGAAGAATACAGACTATTTTCGACAAGGACGGAAGCAAATAATGGCTTGAAACCATATACAAATCGTCTCAAGCATATTTCACAGGTATTTGCCCACTGCTTAACACCAACTCTCATGCTTACAGAAGCCAGGTTAAGACTTACGCCAAGAAACTCTCGGCCAAGAAACTCTCGACCAAGAAAAATCATGACACACCAAATATTCGGATGGTTTTTAGTGTCAACACCCCTTTGCACGCAATTGTCGGTGGTTTTCATCATACACTTGTTATGAATATTATCTCCTGGGACTTCGCCTACTCTCTTCACCCCTACCTGAATTTTGTCAATCGGAAGTCTTATCAAATCAATGGGTGTGATTTTGCCCATTACGAACAAGATCCGTGCAACGAAACCAATGAGGATCCAGTTGTAAGATACGAACGCCGAGGATGGAAATGGAAGCAAGAGGCCGGTATCAACGAAAATGTCGACTCCTTACGTGTTGGCCGAAGGATCGGTGATTCTCAAACGTGGACCCTCCCACTTGACATAACTGGCGTTGAGAATGGTCAGTCTCTTTTGCGATACTCATTTTTCAAACAGGAGCAGCTTGTGCCAGAGATGGGAGTCTATAGAGCGCATCATATCACCCATGTCCAAATTGTAAGGAGCTGTGTTCTGCGTAATACATACACCACCTCGATCAAGTACTTTGATCCCTTCGCATTCTGGGCTTCAATAGAGCAGAAATTGGATGATTTGACCCATGCCGAGCTCTTGAAATATCCAAAGAATAGACGACCTGTTCCTCTACGGTTGGAGGGTGACACCCAAAAGTACCACACTCATGCCTATGAGATGGCTGGTCGAGAGCCTGAAGGATGGATATTTTATGATGATCATATTCCTGAATGGTACGAACAGTACGTTCAGGATGAGGACCGCAGGCTAGGCGCGCATCAGGGGTCAAGCTGAAGGAGGTGGGCTGAAAAATACAAACCGAGTGGACAGCACTATGCGAAAGAGAATGAAGCAATGAAAACGATGTACATTCGATTTACATCGCGCAGCGGTCAGCTACGTCTCTCTAAGAAGGAGAGGTTAATTTCTCGGGCAAGGAACTTTTGGGAATCCAAATCATTCGACAAGAAAGGCTTTGCTAAGAGTATCTCGGTATGATATCACGAGTTCAATTCTGTCTTATTCTAATTTTTCACATTTTATGTACTGTATTACATTTTTGGCTAATTGGTACTTTATTGTCTTTCAGGGTCCTGATGCTGTCTTAATGGTAGCTTTTGTGAATTTGTAAGCCTAGCTAAAGCCTGAAGCAGCAACCTGTCTATTCTACCGAATCAAATGCTATATTGAAGCACGGCGCATCTGTGATACATCATGGGAAATGCAAACTTTTCCACTTTCTCGGCAGGTTCCTCTCCATTCAAGATTTCCAACAGACTCTTGGAGCAATGAACAACGTGGTGATAAGCGTTACTTGTATCAGCCAACGGAGGATCGTGTCTCAAAGCCATAGCCATTTTTCGCCATACATAGATGCAGTGTAACTCATGAGCATTGTGATGCGACGACCACACCTTGGTATAATTCCCAGCCCGTAAAGCATCCAAATCCTTTCCAACAATTGGATGATGGAGTTCGAAATCAGAGAACCACGGCCAGTTTGTGAAGATGTCACCGGCTTCTTCTATCAACTCATCGTAAACACAGTCCGGTTCAATCCAAGCACTCATCATGGGATCGAAACGACACCCTTGCAATTTCGCGTCAGTCGGATTTCCGCCACAAGCTACCCCTTCAATCGTGGGGACCTTTTGAGCTTTCCTTGACGATACGACCAGTCCCGTCAATGTGAAGAATACAACCAGCAATAATACTGTCGACAATAGTATGACTAAAATCAAACGAATGTTGGAAAACCAAGGCCGAAGGTTGTCTCTGGTTCTTCGAAAAATTGAGTGAGATTCGCTCGTCTCTGACCCATCCTCGCTTGATGAATATACACTCTCGTATCGAAGTCCGTGGATTTTCCTCGTGAAGAAAGATTTCTCCGTCATGACGTGATCTTGAGACATGTCTTCCGGCCTTGACTGCGGTGAGAAGCAATGAGCAAGTAATGATTGGGGTCTGAACAAGTTGATGATAATTTTGACCTTGTTTTACGCTGAGGTACTAACATGAGCTGACTTATAGGTAAAGAGCGAATTCACAGAAGGCCCCTTCATTGAATATATAAAATATATCTAGCTGATCCTGTCTTGAGGTGCATCATTGGTGGCATACATGACAAGAATTGGAAAACATGCCTACTCATGTCAGCAAAGGAAGGCCGTCTCGAGATGGCAAGCTGTGACGGGACTGCACGTCAAGAGAAGAACGGCGGGGTAGAGTTACATTGGACCCCTGTGCTCGCCAAGGTTAATACCTCCAAATAAGCATATTCTTCAGTGCTTATCTTTCAATGTGGACTTTCAGATGGCTAGGCTCAATCGCCCCCGCGTGTACTTACTCGTCTAGATATGCAATAGCGAGCTTTTCTGATCCATTCAATCCATTTGACAACTGATTTCTTATGGTCTCACGAGTGTGATTATCCCACTTTTCCCCTCCTGCACCACGTGCAAGAAAATCCTCGAATACTCCGGAAGGAACACTCCTACCTATTGAAAAAGTGAGGAAGAAAAGTTCTAACATTGACTATGTGCTGTCTGGCATCACAATTCTTTTTCTAGAAACAGTCGGCTCCATTCCTCAGATATTTCGATTTTCATGTTTACTCACTGGACAACCTATAACTACTTGTCCACCAATTGCTTATACCGCCCCCCTTTCCGCCACCCGTTGATGCTACTGGGAGGGCATAGAGCAAAAATACCGTATCTTCTGGACCGCTCGGGAGTTTATTATTCTGTGGATCAAGGACGTGGCCGAATCTTTTCGCATGAAACAATACCGGGGTAGAGGGGAGAAAAAACATAAAGTAGACGCAGCTATTGTGGGACCAAAGGGCTAGACTTTTACTGGGATATGGCTTAAAATCACTGGCCATGTAGATTCCGAATGTAAGTCTATGATTTGAGCCGCATTTCCAGAGAATCCTTCAGTAGAATTACTTTAGCTTCTCCAGCACTTTGTTTCTGTTCCAAGTTCAAGGTGGCGCAGTGCTGGAATTCCGCACTCGTTCTTCTTGCGAATAGCAAAGTCTCCTCAGATGAGAGCGATTACCACAATTACTGGGAAAGGTAGGGGACACTGGTAGAAATAGTGGTTCTTTTTCCGCTATTTAAAAAGTCAGTATCTCACATTTCAGTTCGATAGGAGTTTCCGTTTGGTGTTCAGTTGTCGGTGGAAATACTTGGAGAAAGATCAAATCCCTTATCACTGGTCATTTAAAGATATACACTTGGAACTACATACAGCAGTATTGCGAGGCAATCACACCCATGCATGCCTATTGTAACCTCTTCAGCCTCGGTAGCAGCTTCGGGAAACGTCTTCTGGTCACGGGGTTATATATTGAAACAGACTATCTAATAATGTGGATTCCAAAATAGGAACTATAGGTAAGAGATCAACGTTGTCATCATTTAGACTTCGATTTCACCCCACCGATTGTGCAATGTTGCGGCACAGGCATCCGCAGCGATTTTCGTGAGTTGCCACGCCACCCGTATCCTCGTATGTACAAGTTACGCGGAGTATGGCAGGCTTATTTCTCAAAGTAGCTTAATCTAGGCAATATTATGATCTTTATTATGATGAATGGCACCCAAAAAATATTTTTCATTCCACGATAGTATTTGCTGAGCTGTTCGATGTAAGTTCTTTGCATAATGGGAAACGACTTTCGAAGCCAGAAAGGGTGCTGGACGTGTCGTGTAAGGAAACGCAAATGTGACGAGAAGTATCCAATTTGTTCAACTTGCAGAGCATTGAAATTAGAATGTCACGGCTACGGGGCTCAGCCCGAGTGGATGGACAGAGGCGCAAAGCAGAAGGCACAAGCGTTGAAGATCAAACAGATGGTAGCAGAAGTGAGAAGTCAAAGACGCAAGAACCAGAATTTAAGTGAAAATACGCTTTCTCGGAAATGCTCAAGAGAGCATTCTCACTCTCGCGATTCTAGTATCAGCTCGATATCTGTTGCAACCCCAACAAATCTCGAATCGACGTATTGGGAACATGATCATTACTTTCCTCTTCCGACCACAACTTCATCTCATTCGGACGATTCAGGATATTTTGCTTCATTAAATGAAGGTGAAACTTGGGATCTTCTTGCTACTTGCCCGACGTTTACGAAGCAAGCAGCATTATTAGACGGAAAGTCCCAAGCCGACGACTTCACGCTAGACGATGCTCTAATTTCTCAGCACAACATCCACTTTCCAACAATTGGCATTGTTGAGTCTGACATGACTGCACTGGGGCTCACTTCTGGGTGTGGGCGTTCTGAGCAAGTCTCTATTGAAATTACCCCAGCTGTTTGCAATAAGTCAATACTAGCTATTGAAAATTTCGAAGAAGCTACATTACTGGCCTATTACTTCGAGAAAGTTTTCAACTGGCAGTTTCCCTTTAATCGGTCTCACCTGCCTGCCTTTAATCATGGTCATGTCATGTGGTTGATATCCAAATCACAACCCCTCTATCATGCGACTTTGGCATTGAGCAGCACATACAAGGCTATCCAGGAGAACAAATTCAGCCTTGAGCGCACGCCTCAATATGATTTGGCAATTAAGGAGTTCCAAAATAATCTGAAAGACCCCAAATCTTATGAAGAGGTTTCACTTTTGATGTGCATTGTCATGCTTTTACACTCTGACGTAAGTTACAGTAACCCTCGCAACGAATTCGTGGATTTACTGATGATTTTGTATAGCTGTTGTACGAGTCTGGATATTCTGACTGGTATTTTCATCTGCAAGTCGGCCTTTCTATCGTCACATCATGGATTGATTATCAGGATCAAAACCTTATCTCTCATCATCCGTGCCGTAATGAAAATGAAAATGAAAATGGCAATGATGCAAATATGATTGCACCAATGAAGGTCTTTTTGTTAGGATATATCATCAGATTTGATATACTGTCAAGTATAACAAGAGACTCCGCCCCTATTTTGAGCCATCGATATCAGCAAATTTTCCAGGCATCTTCTTACGGCATGCAACTGGAAAACTCCCTTCAATGTCGCAGTTGGCTGTTGAGCACACTTTTAGACATATTTTTATTGCGAGATTGGAAGGAGAGGACTGAAGCTTGTGGACTCCTCAGTCTACGAGAGCTGATATCAAAAGCCTTCCCGATTAAGCAGACATTGGAACGTGGTATTGATCTTAACATGAAAGAGCTCTTGGACGATAATAATGACCTCGAAAGTGTTTATAGCGATCCAAAAGTTGGATCTCGACAACGAAATCACGAAATCTTGGTAGTGACACACATTTTCGCATGCTCAGTATCCATATTTCTGGAAGTGGTTCTCTCTGGCGCCCTGCCAAAGCTGCCGGAGATTCAGTATGAAGTCAGTCGTGCTATCGGCTCTTACGCATACATCAATGATCCCGCTTTATTGGACCTATTACACTGGCCAATATGCATAGCTGGTTCTGTTGCAGAGCCGGATCAATTTGACTTTTTTAGAGGGTTGCTGTCGTCGCCAAATGTGATACGTGGAGGTGCATTTCGTCGGTCACTTGCGCGTCTCGAGGAGTGCTGGGGTACAAGTCTCTACTCAAACCATACTGACACTGCTATCGATATTACGAAGCTTTCAAGGTTTATGGCTTGGGATATTTTGATCGTGTAGAGCCCCAAAATTTGACAATGAGTCAAAATCAGAATTACCACCCCAGCTCATATTTTCTCGTTGTTGTTAAGCTGTAAATTTGTTGAAAGGGGCGCTTGGGCCCATAGATTATAGTAGCAACCTTGAGAATCACGAAATAACATTTCTCCAGGCCCCTTTGGCAAACTCCCCCCACCAGCCGCCCTCGCCCCCATACTCTCGATGCCGAGCAACTAAGCGAGCGCCACCCCCACTTTGCTCGGAGGACCTAAACATGGCAAGTTGTTGCGTGAAAAGCAACTTGTAACGGGTTTGGCCCCACAGTTTTTGAGGTCTAGCCAGAAGCTCTCACAAATCTATTTCTCCTACTCCTAGGCGAGCATTGATGATACTCTGGTGCTAAGCAATCTTCAAGAAATACCTTCTTGTCCTTTCTCTCCGACTTGTCTGATTCCTCTTGTTGTACACAGAAATGGCGAATAAAAAAGATGAGGAATCTCAAGAAGCTCGAGATCCTCTGCTTTCTGAGAAATCCACTGAGCCCACTGGCATCACGAAAATATCCAGTCGAATTTCTACGAAAGCGAAATACGCAGTTGGTTTTGGAGCTGTCGTCACTTTACTTTTTGCACTTATCCTTCTTCTATATCTCTCTCATATGCATCAACTGTCAACAAACCTCTTCAAACCCGAACCACCTGACCATACTTTCTGTGGAAAAACGCCTGCAGATGCAGTAAAAAATGGCTGCCACTACGAACCGATGATCAGCTCATGGGTGCCTGAAGCATGTTACTTTATCGAAGCCCAGCAAGGCTACGATGTATACAGTGATCTCGACTGGTTTGCTGACCCGTTTCTGAGACAACCGTTGAACGAAACGGAGATGATAGATCTCAGAAGGGGCTTTTACAGCCACGTATATACTACTTGGCAGTATCACGACGAACATTGCCTTTACAACTGGAGGAAACTGGCAATGGCTGTGGAAAAACGTTTGCCACTCATTGAATCGAAAACCGCAGATGAGGAACATTCTCAACACTGTGCCAAAGTCACACGCAACTACGTTCGGAAGGATGGACAAGAGACGATTGCCGATCTTAAAACTGTGGCCCTGAAAGTAACTTTGACAATGAAGGGGTGTGTTGCATTATTCTGAGGGATTTCGTTTCATGCGTGAGAGCCTTCGATGATAATACATACATTTTTTGACGGACAATTTGATGAGGGAATCCTGCGCGCTGGCGGTATGGTCTAAGGGAGACGGCGGTCTGCTCCCAGGAAGGGCCTTTCATAAGGCAGTCAAGAAGCATCCCTGGAATAATATGTACACACATAGAGCACTGTTTTGGGGCTGGTTGAAGGAACTCAATTACTCGTCGGGGAGGTGAAGATATAGCAGCACATGTGCCGCAAAACATAGATGGAAGCAAATGAAATAAGACTACGTATCGTTCAATTCTAAATCTCTTAGGAGCGTGCAAAGTTTGGACCAAAGTCTGAGGAAATATATAAAATGTTGAATTAGGCGGAATTGGAGAAGCTTATAGTAATAGCTGCATTAATGATTTCTACCTGTATTAAATCATGGACCGTTTTTCAGGTTTCAGTCAACCCTTTGATCTGAAAATGCAGACAAATAAAAGTCAGTACAAATTTGATACCGCAATTGGCCTCCCTTGGATGATAATTTTCTGGGCTAAAAGGTTCTGGAGGGCGACACCGAACCTAGGTCGGGAATACTATTATGCGAACGTTTTCACAGAGTGGTTTGAATGGTAAAATGCGGAGTCCCACCAGTTCATTACATAATGAGACAATATATTGCCATCAGTTCAATTTTCATTTTTCATTTCCGACTATTTGAGCCTTCAAAACATGACGAGATTTGACTTCCGGGGTGTATTTAGACTTGGAACTTTGATTTCATTTGAAGAGTGTTTCAATAGAGGCCCAACACTCATGATCCTCCCCCCGATACAAAATCCGAGCCATCTTTGCACTCTTCGAGGTACAAATTGAGCAGACCGTAAAAACTAATGCATCATCCTTCACACATTCTCATCGCTGGACGATGACCAAATCTAAGACTCAGACTCCTCTACAACATCTCCCTTAACACGAACAAGCTACATCACATTTAATGAGCATACGCGGTAAAATATGAAGAGTTTATTATTGAACTTACAACGATGCTCTTGTTTTCCTCAAAGGCACCAGGTACTACTGGCAAGGCGGCCTCCTCTCTCTTGACTGGGGCAGCGATGGCCATTCCGAGGACACTGGCGACGAAAAGAGTTGCGATGGTGAACTTCATACTTGCGGTTGATGGAATTGATGAATTCTTGCGGAGAATTCTTGGGCGGAGTATGAGCTGGATTGAGGTTGATGTTTGAGATGTGATAAAGTGAGGATGTTGGAGTTGATGATTATTCTAAGGAAGCATCTAGCTGTATTATATATCCCATCCATAGTCAGTCTTGACAGAAAACATCGCTAGTCTGACCTGTAAGCTAATGTGCTGTGAGCGTTGTTGTGAGCACAACACAGTCTGCCACATACTCAATTGCACAACTTGTGAGATCGTGTCGGCTTTCCTCTTTCATGTTGCAGAAGTGGAAAAGTTCCCTGGGTACTCACAGTCTCGCGACGGCTTGCCATGATCATGGATTTTATTTGGTCTCCGCCCTTGCAGTATGCATAAGTGGGTGGCATCAATATTGAGTGGTACAGATTCATCACAAGTTCCTGCATGCATGATTAGTGGGTACTTTGAGACCAATAAGCCGCATATTGTGTGATAGGAGAATCATTGCACTTCTTACATTGCGTTACGAGGACATTTTTGATTCTCGCTTGATTGCAGAATCCCATCTGAGAAGCACCTTTCAGCTTTTTTACTTTACTTCGTTTATCTTTCACCTCTTGAATATCTCACCTTTTATGCCTTACCTTCAATTATCGCTTCACTTTCCGATAATTCTATTGCCAGGAATCAACATTCAATAACCATGAACTTAGATGGCGATGAACGTTACAAGGATGTCGATTTCCAAAGCGATAGCATAATCATAGAATACCCAAAGCCTTCACACCAGAACTTTTCTCTCCGAGCAATTCTCCTCGGCTGTACACTCAGTTTTGCACTCTCAGCTTTCATGATCACCGTTGTGCGATGGCCGTGGTCCAAGGGAGATTCCGGTTATTACGCATACACAGATTGTGGGAAAACACCAAACGAAGCCAGATCGAGGGGCTGCAATTATGAGCCAATGGGTCGCTACTGGGCTCCTCCTGAATGTACTTTTCCAGACGCCAACGACGAATACCAACCATTTCAGGATCGAGAATGGTTCGTTGATACGAATTTGACGATCCCGGCACACATATCCAGATTAGAATCCGGCGATGCACTTCGTGCTTTCACGCATTACTGGCATGATGAGCATTGTACATTTGTTCTCCAGAAATTGGCGTTGGCGGTTGCCTTGAGAAAAGAGATGGTGCCCGGACTGGTTGGTAGTGTTCATCACATCAATCATTGTGCGAAGACCATTAAGAAGACCATCAAAAATGCTTACAACGAGACTTTTTTGGCCAACGATTTGACAATAACGGAGAGCTCTCTGGGCTTCATGGGATGTGTACCGCTCAAGTATGTTTCTCTTTTTCATGTGACTAAATCCTTCTAACAGCATGGCACAGGAGTCCTATGCAAAACCCCCAATTTGAGGACTAGCTTCTTAACCACATAGGTCAGTTGAAGCAGGAAACTTGTTGAGATATTACTTGGCCGGGGCAAGCATTAGAGTTCGTTCTCGTGCTCTTATTACGCATTCAGACTCATAAGAAATATTCGTAGGTTTGTGGATTTTGAATGTGAATCTGTGTCAAATCTCGACTCTTGCTATAGTACAAGAAATTTCAATTTATGGTTCTCAAAGACAGGCACTTAAAAGCTTTGCCCCAAGTGCTCTAGATAAGAAAACACTTCAAGCGATTTTGCGCGAAGATACAAAGAACAACGCCCATGATTTTCTTCTTAGATTAATTATTCACATGCATTTGGTATAATGTAACCAAATAGATACTTATCGGAAACCAGTAGAATCCAATAATGTAATTTGGTCTAAATACTGTTCACCGTGACATAAAAAGAAGAAGGCTTATTTGATTGGTGGATTTCCCAAAGTGAAGTCTCACTCGGTACAACTTGCGCTTCTCGGGTCGCCTTGCTTCTTTTGATATGCACCTTTCTCTTACAGTACACTGCAAACATGAATAATGGGGTACTTCTCGTGAAGCTACTAATTCGTTTTTTCATCCGAATGTTATTAATCCGGTGGGCTTTTCGGGTGTAAAGTCCTGTCCCGTGCCGATAATCTTTCCGTGATCCAGCGAGCGAATTCTGTTGAATTCTTAATTCTTCTTTCTACCACTATACCTCATGTTGAGAACTTGAAGCTCTCAAACCAGCCTCACGTCGAGAAGCCGAAGTTCTCTAGTTATCGCGATGCCACGTCCCACACAAGACCCCGAAAAGCTTCCTCCATCCTCACTTCACACCCCCTCTATGCCGCCACTTTACCTCCTACTCCCCTACGTATGGTGGCAACTAGATGACTTTTGTACGTCCCATCTCAAAACATTTTCTCTAAAACATGTCCTCTCACAATCATCAATTAACAAAGCCTACTAGTCATCGGTCAAGCAAGAACCGCCGGCTTATCAGCCGCTTTCAAACTAAAACCAAAAGAATCCGAAGAAATTTACACAATCCCAAAATTCGTCTTAATCGCATTCACGTGGCTTATTCTCCTCTTCCGGTCCCCAAATATCAATGTTTGTACCCTCTTGCTACTTGCTACGAGTATACAGACTTTGCTGGTACTATGTCAAACCATAGTCCCAAATACGGAGTGTTTGTTGATCGTGCGGTCACTACTTGGGATTGGTGGTGCAGTATTTCCTGGGGTACTGTTGATGGGGGGTGAAAGTGGAATAATGGCTGCGTTATTCGTTGCCGTTTCACCCGCTGAGATTGCTATTGCTGGACCGCTTCTTTCGGGCGTGGTTACTCTGTTAAAGGGTTTCTCGGTTCTGTCATGGCAATTGCTTTTCGCATTCCATGGGATACTTGGACTCATAGTCGTCCTCGTACTCTGGTTCAAATTCCCCCATTCGATGTCCGTCACCAACACCTCATGCATGGTCCAAGGCCGAAGTGGCCCAAAGAATCAGAACCGGAGACAAAGGCTCCCAGAGATCCTCAAATTGAAAAGTCTTGTACTTATTGCAATAACCATATGCTGCAGTCTATCAATAGCTCCAACACCCTCCTACCTCTCAAACCACCACAATCTATCCTTCGTCTCAATGCCATACTTCTTCTTTACCATAATCTCAGACCTAAATTCAACACACCTAATGTTCAACCTCCTAACCATGGCACCATACCTAATATGCCTCATCGTCCTCTCCATCATGGTGACAACATTCTCTCACCACCCAACATCTGCCCGCCTCCTCACATCATCTCTCCTCTCCACCTCGGGCTTCGCATTCCTGTCCTTATCCGCTCTCCACGACTGGCCCCTCATCTTCTCATACCTCGCAATATTTCCCTCCCTCATCGGCACATACGTATCTCAAACACTCATCCTCTCCTTCGCCTTATCCACGCAATATCCCAACCTCCTCCTCACCCTCCTCCTATCCACAAGCCAACTATCAACTCTCTTCTCCCCCTCCGGCCTTAAACCCTGGTGGCGATCTGAGGATGAACCTGCGCACCCTCGAGGTCTGGGTGCGTGCGCAGCGTTGATGGGTTTGAGCGTTATTCTGGCTCTGGTTTTGAGGTGGAGGGGGGGAGGTATTAGGGGAAATGATGGCTACAAGTTTGTTGGTGGGGATGAGGAGGAGTTTGGTGTGTTGATGGAGCTGGGCAGTAAGGAGAGCCAGAACAGAATCGTATCCGAAGGAGTTGGTAATTGATCAGAGGGATGACTATCGTTTCTGGGATAACAAAATGACCACCTCCCCTTTTAGACCCAAGGACTTAAGCGAGGCGTTTTGGAGTTGGCTCGCCTGCTTCTTTCGCGTCTCAAGCACCAGACAACATTCTTTGAAGTAGTCCAATCATGGGAAGTGCCCAAAGCAATGGTCAATCCTCTCACAAAACACGCCGAAGTGAAATCTTCCCAAAACTAGTACAATACCATTTGCTGTTTACAGTACAATTTTGGCCTAACATCTCAATATCCATCTGTGAAAAGGGAATGTTTGAAATGCCTCGATTAAACTAAATCTCCATTCCATCAGATAAAACAGCATCGGATGTATCTCTCAGCTCGCTGTATTCCCTGACCCAATTCCAGTCATGCAATTCGCTGCAAATCTCGCAAAACCCCCTTTCCGCCATCAATGCAAAGCCGCCCAAAAAAGCAATTCACCGCAAAAAGAACGCCATGCGCCAAGTAGTGGTCAAATGCTCCTTCCCTAAGTTGGCTCCACTCTTGAGTCATCTCCTTGATTATTCACCCCCACACATATGTTCAGCCCTGTGGAACCAGATGGCCATCAAGACCTCACTTCAAAGCCTCGGCTTGCTTGGTGATAGGTACACTGGGTGGTGCCATTTGAACACGCTTAGCTTCGCGTTCGGCGGCCTCTCCTTCGGGGGCACGCTTCTTGTCCTTCTCCGCCTTCATGGTGGCCTCTTTGGCCTCCTTTTGAGACCGCCGTGCTTCTTTATCCCTTTGTTCGTTCTTCTTACGGAGGGCTTTCGATTCAAATTCGTGCCAGTCGCCTTCCAATTTGGAGAGTCTTGATTTCAAGAAATTAGTAAGGTACAGATGAGTGGACATAACATGGAAACTTACTCGATAGCTTGTCTGGGTTTTGGCTCCTCCGCGGTGAAATAGGGGTGCTCTAGAACATCGGATGCAGAAGGTCTCTTGACAGGATCATATTGGAACATAGCTTCCAACAGGTCGTATGCTGCTGGTGTGACACGATCCCGGTACTTCTCAGCAAAGACGTTTGGTCTCTTAGCAGAAGGTCTCAAAAGTTCATACCATGCCATGTCCACGAGTCCAGGCCAATCCGCTCTATTTGGGGTTCCGAGGATAGCGTATATCTTCTCCAATTGACTGATCTCACCGCCGTCACCCGGAAATATAGCGTGGCGAGTAAATATCTCAACAAGCACACAAGCGGCACTCCATATATCAACAGCAGGCCCATATTGTGTTTCGCCAAGGAGAAGCTCTGGGGAGCGATACCAGATAGTAATGACACGATTTGTATAATCGAGTTGTCGGCGCTTCGCATAGAAACGTGCCAGTCCAAAATCCGCAATCTTCAACTGACCTTGATTGCTGACAAGGATATTCGCGGCTTTAATATCCCGATGAAGCACACCGCGACGGTGCAGGTAATCCAGGCCCTCAAACATCTGTTTTGCAAGATCTTTCTTATGTGCAGGGTCCAGTTTAAAAGTGGGATGGTTCAAGAGGCCAGTAAGGTCGTGTGAAAGATATTCAAACACCATGAAGCAATCATTCTTCTCCACCATCACTTCTCGAAGATTGACGATATTGCGGTGCTTCAAGGACTGAAGTAACTTGATCTCACGAACTGCCGTGACGGGAAATCCATCCCGCTCCCCTTCCATACGAATCTTCTTCAACGCAACCATGTCTTTCGTATAAACATGAATACCTTTGAAAACTTTGCCATATGTTCCAGAGCCGACGACGGATTCATTGCCGGGTTTCCTGTAGTAAACGGAGTCGGATTTCTTGAAGTCATCGGTCAATTGCGGTCTCGCCTTTTGTCGTTTCATTATCTTCTTCACTTTCCTTGTCGTAGGTGGTGGCGGCGGCGGCGGTTCACGGAATTCTGGGCGTCGAGAAACGGCTGGTTCAGTTGGCACAGGTCGTGATGGTGGAGGCGGTGGAGGTAATCGGGTACGTTCAGGACTCTGGACTTCTTTTCGCGGAGGGGCCACTGTAAGCTTTTGAGAAATCTCCGGTTTTGGCGTTGCTGGAGTCTTCGTTGTAGCTTTGAAGGCAAAGCTAAACTTCGAGGGTTGACTTTGGGGTCCTGTGGGAGTAGTCTTATTAGAAGTGGCCTTCTCTTCGGTGTCCTTCTTGTCGGCGCCCTTTTCTTCTACTCGCAGCTCCTTCGACGGCCTGAAAAGATCCTCATTATCTTCTTCATCTTCCGGTTGAGGATCTGGCTGAGAAGCAGTCTGAGGAGCCGCGGCTTGAGGGGGTCCCGAATTTGATGGATGTTGCTGCTGCTGTGGCGAAGCATGTTGAGGGGTGGCAGGGCCAGAGTTATTGTGATTCCCTCGACCCGCTCCACCTGCGTTCCAATGTAGATTCTGAAAATGCCCACCACGGCCACCTCGGAACTCACCTCGTCCTCCACGCATCCCGCCATTATAATGGTTTCCACGATATCCCCTCTGATTACCGCGAAAGTTTTGCTGGTATGGTTGATTCATAGGTCCATTTGGCGCCATCTGTTGGTATGGAGGAGACTGTGAGTGATTGTTGTAGTACGATCCCTGGGGTCCACCTTGATTGTTAGAGTAGTTGTTGCTCCCCTGGTGCTGCTGTTGATAACTTTGAGGATTCGGGGGGTATTGACTAAGTGAACCGTCAGCTATAGCAAATAAAACGTGAAAGGAACACATACGGCTGCGGCGAGTATTGTGGCCCTCCCCACCCACCTCGACCCCCAGAGTATGGCGACTGTGCTTGAGGTGATCCATGATAAGAATTGGGAGTCATGTGATGTTGGGGGGACTGAGAATATTGTCTTGGATCCATAGGAGGCCCCTGGTTGTACTGAGGTTTTAAGGGAAATGCAGCTTGCATCTGCTGATGTGGGTTATAACCCTGCTGTCCGCCATAATAGCCCCTATTGTTCATCTTATCCGACTTTCTCTTCACCTCAATACTGTTCGCACCCGATGCAGTCGTGGGTGATTGCTTCGAGGATTTTACTTCGATGCTGTTTGCCCCAGAAGCGGTGGAGATCCGTGGCCGGCTTGGGTGTGGTTTTTCGGATCTGTAATCGCCTCGCGCTGGCCTTTCCTCCTCCTCTCTTGGTCTAGAATCCTTTTCTCTTGGGGATCGTGCTCTAGTAGGCTTGAAGTCTTTGTGTGGTACGGGAGAACGATGTCGAGAGCGACTGCGAGGCTCGTAACGATCGAAGTCTGGGGATCGGCGTCCAGTTTGAGGTGACTGTGCTCTTTTGCGGTCCTTTTCCCTGGCCTTTTCAAAAAGAGACCTCTCACGCGCCTTTGAAGGATATCCTACAGGAGAACGGCCACGTTTGGAGTGCCGCGAAACAGACCGGCGGCGAGTGAATTCTGGCCTTTCGTGCTTACTGGATCGTGGGCTTGGTGATCGTTTCCTCCGTTCGGAATCTCGATGGTGCTTGTGTTTTCCTTCGGAACGACTGTCTAGAGGTCTCCTTTCACTTGAGCGTTTTCGAGATGGGAGTGGGGAAAGTGGCCGTCTTTTCTTCTCAGACCGCACCGATCCTCGCTCCGGGCTATGCGATGGATCCCTCCTGGATTTCTTATGATGGCTTCGAGTTGGCGAAGGGCTTCGGGTCTTGCGCCTTTTACTCGATGATGGTGAGTGATGAGTCGTGGTACGTTTTGGCTTTACAGAGCCTCGTGTGTCTAGTAACTCTCTGCCTCTGTTTCTCTCGCGCACCTCCTCCCCAGCGTCCCTCCTTGGTGAGCGAGATGTTCTCCTCCTACGCTCGTGGCTGCGTTCGCGTGGTCTATCGTGATGCCGGGATATGGGTCTTGATATTGCTGGAGTATGGTCCCGCTCCTTGGGTTCTTCGTGGCGGCGGGCGGGAGGTGATCGCGATCGTCGTTGGTGTGCAACTCCTCGATCAACTCTGCCTCGTTCTCTGCGGTCGTCACCGTGGCTCCAGCTGTCTTTCATTGCGACATCCCGGACGTGAGAACGATGTGGAGGTGGTCGTGATTTGGCTGCTGTGTCGCTGGCCGTGGGTTTGGAAGCTAAAATGTGCTTCTCGCCCATCTCGGTTAGGCTGGTCCTTGCCAGGATGCCCGTGACTCTCTGAGTGGCATGCAAAGGAACTGAAGTGCAGAGGAAATGCAGCGCGATGAGATGAGATCTGAAGAGACAGAGAGAGACGGAGAATCGCAGTACAGATGAAGAAAGTAGAGGTGTGTAGGGTTTCCCGGCAGAACTCACCGTGGGAGGATTGCATGCGCGGTCGGTCGATGGTGGTTGTTGGGGTTCAAGGTTCCTGGCGTGAGTGGGCGGTGGTGCCTCCTCTGCGGATGCAAAGAAGTCGCTCCGTCGCGGCTCCAAAAAGGTACAGTACGCGACCTCCTTCACTCCCGCAATCACCTCCACCACCAATCCTATTCGCACCGATAATTACATATTGAAGTCACACGAGCATGCAAGTTATCTACGGAAAAACTCAAGCAGTCCAGCAAGAGCTAGACTGATCCCATAAACCCTCCTCTTTCAAGCCCTCACTTTTGAGCCTCATTCGCACGAGCATGCCATTCATGCCGGCTACTCATACTCAGTATATATATATCACCAAATAACGAAGAGCGAACAAAGAGCATTTGAAGACTCCAGCCACCCCCGTTTGCGGTACCACCCGCAAGCAAGGTAACACACGATATGTAGAATATGTTCCAATGCCGGTGAGGATGTCGAGCAATAGAAAAGGGCGACAGCATCCTCTCGTCGTTGACGATGTGATGATGCGCCTCGGTGGTGATGCTTCCGCTACTTCTTCCGGACAGCACTTCAACTGCATGTGCAGCACGATGCAAATGGAGTGGTCAGCCTCGAGCTGCACATGAGTATGAGCTGGTGGTAACATGGCCTTGCCAATCGTGAAAGCAGACGATGCCTCGAGATAATCCACCTATAAGTTCACGTTCACAATGGAAGGTGAACAACAACATAAAGGATACCAGTACGCAAGAAAGGTATCGTCGGAAGTTTACAGCAGACAATGGCGATATGATATGTGGGTTCGCGGGGACACGTATGTTGTACCTCTAGCTGTTGAAGCCCAGCTGTGCTGTGATGTGAATGCGTCAAGTGGTTGACTCAAGCTTCCCTATTTGGTATTGGGAGCCCAGGGCATGTATTGTTGTGTCTCGTGCTGCGGTGTCATATATATGAGTGCGGCGGCGACAGATGCGCCAAATGCGATGCGTGGTCGACTCAAATATTCAAGTACTTCAAGAGTATGCACCGTAGCTATGGTATGGCACAATCATACTCAGCCGTGGATGGTATGTCGACGACACATGTGTAGATAGGTAGATGGGTAGATAGCATCTTGTCAGTGCCCTGAGGGTGTCTCTGCCTCCATCCCACCCACACTCAGCCCTGGATGACGAAATTCTCCGCGAACGTATACGCAGGCAGACGAAAGGTCAGAGACTTTTGGAGTATGTCGCCAGCGGCCTCCAGCCAAACCCGTGCGGATAAATCAACAACTATTCGACCATCGTGAAAACATGGTTATGGTGGGTGAGCAAAAGACCAAGCACAATCATGGTATTGTATCACTCCAAACTTGGCTGGGGCTCTCCCCGCCACACACACACGAGTGATCTTCGAACGCGGAAGATGCAACGGCCTATCTCTCCCACGCAGCCATCGTTCTATCATCTCCCTTACAAGAATATGCGTGGATATCTGCGAAGTAGTGCGAGAGGGGATCCTTAAGGGCGTCTGATGGAACTCAATCTTGGTGGACAGGAGTGCGGGCAGTGATGGCGATCATGGTGGATTACCCTTTCTTTCCTTTGCAGGCTGCTGCGGCGGCGGCGGCTGCCTAGGGCGATAGGGAGACATGTGCGCCGACGATGATGAACCTCCGAGAAGATTTGACATGCGGCTCAGATCCGTGACGATTTTGAGGAGATGTCGTGGGATCAGCTTTCGTGGGATGATAGAGGTTGGAATTGGGTTGATTGCCTGTGCCGCCAGCATCGTGTGGTCGGTGTGATGAGATGTCGGAATTAGTGTAGAACGCACTAGCTCCTTCTGACTAATCACACGCACGCGAATGGCATCCCTGCACCAGCAGCCCCGAGGGCCAGAGAGCCAGAGAAGGCTGAAAGACCTCAAGGCTCCTCTAGACCAATTAGGTGCTTCGGTCTTCCGTACCTTGCGACCGACGAAAATGATGTAGCGAGTACGTACGAAGCGTATTAATAGACCAAACCCCCAATCCATTCCGACTTAGCTGAGATCGTGACTTTGCTCTCGAGCTCGAATCTCTCTCTCTTAGAATGATAATGATACCACGATAACCACTCTCACTCCTGCTTCTCTCAACTTGCACTTGCACTGGCAGATTCCCGAGGCCACGAACCCCCCGTGCTGTGGTTGTGGCCTCTACGCATCTATTGCGCTCGCGCAGACGAGCTCCCCACCACCACATCAAGAATTCCGAGGACGAGGGCGAGGGCGAGGACGAGGACCTGGTAGAATACTGCGGTTCTGGGGGAGGGTGGCGCTTGGTCTTTTTCCCAAGTCGTGACCCTTTCACGCAAACTCGTGTTGGGCAACCCAGGCCTTCGAGTATCTATAATGGCAACTTCCCGGCTATCGATCGATAGTCTCGTTTCCCCTCTGACCTCGCGAAATGAATATCCTTTCCCCAGGTACGGAGAACTTATCACTCATAACTTTCGCATAACTAGCGTAGCCCTTGCTGACGGATTGCAGACCAGGCTCAAGCCAGAGGTTGATGGGCCGGAGGGGTTCCAACGCAAGCTCAATACATTCAATAGGAGGAGCATTGGATACAGCTTCACATTGGCATGGCCTGAACGAACCTAGCCAAAATGGTAATGACAACGAGGATGAGACGGAAAACTCGCTGATTTCTCCAATGCTAACATTCTCTAGCAATATCGACACTCCTGCAGCCTCCCATTGTCAGAACGGGCCTTCTTCCACACACTTCCGCTCCAGCATCCAGCACCCACAAACCCCCTACCTCGCGAGATATCCCACCTGTTACGTTAACAAATATACCTAATGTCGACCTGGCCGAGTTCAAGTCATACTTGTCGCAAGTTGGTGGCCTCTATGATGCATTGCAGAGGGCCAAAGATAACGAGGATGAGGGGGCAACTCAAATCTTGAGGAAAGGATCGAAGGTGGATGATTTTGCAGATTTACTGGAGCCAATCCAACGATCCTCCGCCCGACCGAGTCTATCAAAAAAGGCTTCTTTGGCCTCGCTGGTCTCCGTTATTGAAAGTCCAACGTCGCGGCGGAAGTCAAGTGGTGGGATCAAGCGACTGGCACATGCGACTACGCCTTTGTCCACGATTCCAAATGTATATTTTGAGGAAGACTTTCATCTAGAGAACCCACGCACATTTGATGTTGTTAGTGAGCGCTCCGAGGTCGTAAAACCAGTGCCAGGGACAGCAGACGATCGGAAAGGGCAGAATGGAAGTGTAGTTGGGCCAAGGAAAGCGCTTGCAACCAACGCGATCCTGCAAGAAAAGTTATCATGGTATATGGATACAATTGAGGTCCATCTCATTTCATCTATTTCAACAGCATCCACCTCTTTCTTTGCTGCGTTGGGGTCACTCCGAGAGTTGCACTCTGAAGCAGCAGATTCCGTGGACCGTATCAAAACTTTACGGAAAGAGCTAGCAGAGTTAGACCAGGCAATGGCTATCGGGGGGTTAGAAATCGTCAATAAAAAACGGCGCTTAGAGAATCTTAAACTGCTGGGTGACGCAGTTCAGCAACTTAAACGGATTGTGGATGGCGTAGCCAATTGTGAGACTTTGGTTGATGGCGGCGAAGTTGACAGGGCATTGGATGCTATCGACAGTTTGGAAGCGCTCATTGCTGGTGAAACTGAGGAGGGTGAAGAGGCGGATATCCAACTCCGCGACCTCAGCGGAGCCACTGCATTGCAGGGAGTTACGAATGATCTCGATACTCTGAGATTACGTATTGGAAAAACTTTTGAATCAAGATTTCTCAATGCTCTGATGGGAGACTTGCGCCGTCATGTCACCTCTGTGGCCACTCCCGACATTTTGAAGCGATGGAGCAGTGCGTCTCAGAGATCCAGAGGTGGAAACAATCGGGAGCTTGCTGCGTTTCCAACATTTCTAACATTGAGTGATGATTTCAGAGCTGAGCTTGCATCAAATCTGAGTGGCTTACATCGCGCTGGATATACCACACCAGCCACTTCTGCATACAGAGAATCTGTGTTGCGAGAAGTTCGCAATATTATTCGACGCCCACTCCCAGCATCTAATGACGATGATGCCGATTCGATGATGTCGTCGTCTACTGTTGGAGCTGGGAGACAAAAGTCACAAGCTGAAAAATCGTCCATATTAGCGCGCAATCTGAGAGCCTTGGATCCAGATGACGCTGAGGATCTTCTCATTAAGACGTACATCGCTGTTGGCGAGACTCTGAGGAGACTAGGCACTCAGGTCAAGGTCTTATTAGATGTTACGAGTACCCTGGGAGATCCCGATGGTCTCAATGGGATGAAGTCTCCCCCGAGAAGTCCAAATATTATCGCCATGGACGAGCGAATGGCAGCAGCGCGGGCTAACTCAAATCCAAATATACAAGACGAGATGCATATGGCCTTGGATATGTCGAACCTTTTAGGTCAAGCCGTTGACATCGCTCAGGAAAAAATAGTGAAGGTTCTGAGGGTGAGATCCGAGCAGACAATTCATCTGCCTGTTGAGAGCTTTCTGAGATATTTCACCCTCAATCTATTATTTGCGAATGAGTGCGAGGCAGTTTCTGGAAGAGGCGGAACAGCTCTGAAGAATGTCGTCAACGGTCATATAAAAGACTACGTGAACCAGCTCTGCGATTCTGAGCGACAGTCGTTGGCTACCGGTATGGATGCAGATCCATGGGCTGCGAAAGACTTTACAGAGTCTGATACTGAAGAGTTGAATCGCATACTATCCGCAAGTACGGAGGATGCAGAAGCCTGGAGTATTGGAAGCAAAATATGGCAGCCAATATCACAGCCCTCGAGAGGCTCTGCATCGGTCCCACAGAGTTCTCAAACGAATGGTACCGCAGCACCTAATACCACATCAACAAAAGCAACTTCGCGATGCGCAGTAATTGACGGCGAATCATTCATTCTACCCACTTCGGCATTTCTATGTCTTCATGGCATATCATGCTTCCTCCTCCTAAACGCTGGAATCCCATCCATGACCTCCGAAATCGCTACATCCATACTCTCATACCTCACATTGTTTAACTCAAGATGTACACAACTCATTCTCGGCGCTGGCGCAACGCATACCGCAGGCTTGAAAAACATCACGACCAAGCACCTCGCACTAGCATCCCAAGCCATATCATTCGTTAGCACGCTAATCCCCCATATCCGAGAATTTTTTCGTCGGCATGCCGGGTCCGGCTCCTCGGTTTCGAATCTGATGGGCGAATTTGATAAAGTCCGGAGAGCGTACCAAGAACATCAACAGTCAATCTACGACAAACTCGTCGATATCATGTCGGGACGTGCAACTGCACATGCTCGAGCGATGAAGACGATTGATTGGGATAAGGAGGACAAAGGGACGGTGAATGCTTACATGGAGACCCTGACCAAGGAAACCAGTACGCTTCATCGTGTGCTCAATAAGCATCTTCCAGCTATGACCGTAAAGATGATTATGGTTCCGGTGTTTAACAACTATAAAGACCAGTGGGGTAAGGCTTTCGAGGATGCGGTTTTGGGGGGTGAAGGGGCCAAGACGAGGTATGTTTTTGATTTGGTCGATAAGAGTAAGAACTAACTTTTGGGTAGGATGTTGAGAGATGCCGAGTACTTCAAGACTAAGATTGGGGGCTTGGACGGGGCTGGGGATACGGCTGATTTCCTTGTTAAGCTGGTGCGGAGCAAAAAAGTCCCTAAAGCGAAGGAGTCGGTAGCTGAATCAACAACGCTGCCACCAAAAGACACGTCAGAGACGATAGACGGGAGTAACGGTGCTACGGCACCGGATGATACCAAGGCAAATGGGAATCAGAAGAAGGGCGGGGAGGAGAAAACGGTTTGATGTAAATGAAATTAATAAGGTGGATGGAATCCTTGGGATGATGGGATATGCAGTATATGAATTCTTTTTCTTGAGCATCGTATATTCCAACGAAGAATGGGGACTAATTGATTCATATCTTTGTTGTGTTGTTTGTTGGTGCTGTGTGATATGGTGTTTGATTCTTACCAAAGACTACTAAGATCTTGCACCTCTGCTTGGGATTGGACAGGCCTTGACCTCTCTTCCATACTACCTGTTAGGTGGAGAAGAGAGTCATTTTCCCTCTAGTACTACTGGTTGTCCTACACTATCTTTGGTCTCCAGTTGCTAGACAAGCCCCCAGAACCCAGAATGCCTCTTCAATGCTATCTCAATGCTCTTCCTATTCCTATTCTAGTTCTCGTCTTAGTCCTGTCACATCTAAAGTTGAATAAGAAACCATGCATGGGGTGGCTGGAATTAGATGCATAGGAGTTATTATGTGCCTTGTTTAGTTTGGGTACTTCCTCCACTCATTTTGAGGGCTCGCTGACTGGCATATATGAATTCACAAATACTCCTTCCTGACTTCACTGCTCAGCTTCTTTTTTTTTAGTTTGTAGTGCAGATGTTAATTCAATCTACCTTTGATCTAGATGGAATTAGGAGACCTTGGAATTAGATTTAATTTGTTATTAACCTCCTAGTTAATGAAATTATCTTGTTTTCTTTGCTTTGTTTAGCGTGTTTGCTTCAAAAGTGATACAAGTAAGCTCATGGTGTAATTACGGTTACGAAGCAGTTGCATTTTACTTTCTTATAATAAAGTGTAAGTGGTGCTAGAGAATTACTCAGTGATATGAAGACCAGTATTAAAAACGAAATTCTGTCATATATTCTCCCCTGTTAATATAATTCGATTGATTATAGGATTTTGAACACTTACCTATACAACGATAGGAGGGAGGCACGTAGAGATAGCTTGAATAACTAATACACTGTGATAAAGATTAAATTGATTTGGTAGCCTTTGAGATGATTTAGACGCTTCAATACACAAGTGCCGTATTAGATACTGGTATATCATAGAAACTCAGAACCACGTACCTAAATCAGGCTCAGTGATAATTGTTCTTAGTAGCTTCTCCATCTATAATTCCTTGAACATATATACTTTCCAAATGAGATGAAGTTCTCCAGCCTGGTTAGACTTATGCGGCTCGCGATAGGTAGTGCTACAATTGATTAATAACATGAAAACACTATGGTACACCTCAACGTATTGCAAAGGCCATAAGAAGTTTGTAAAGAAACTGATTTCAGTAATTCTTAACAGATAAACACTAAGCTTATCAAGTAGTTTTTTTGGTTGGAAGTCAGGTAAAGCGTGGCGCAGCGAGTGTGGCTGAACGTAAGTCTTGGCGAAGCGGCACCGAGTCAAGTACGAGGACAAAGGGCATCATCAACCTCACCTTACGATTCATGAAAAACTCTAAACTAAGCTAATCGCCCCACATCTCCACAATGATTGACAGGAGCTAACTTACGAGGTTCGTCCTTCCCTTCAGTCTTCCTGTAGAACAGCTCCAAAATCTGTGCCAACCAGTCGTATTGGTACCCAGTATCCGACTATGGAACTAACAATCATCAGACTGCTCTTGAGCTCTTGCGCGGCTTAAAGCGTCAGGGCCTTCCTTGGGCTGCAAATGCCCCATCCAAGTCCATTCCTGGCATAAATACCATGCCAAGTCTGAAGGGAAAGTCGGATCTTAAAGGGACACCAAGCATTGTTGGTATGAAGCAATGGCTCCAAAACCTCGGACACTCGGTATGCGCTTATTCACTTTCGAATAATTCCGTAGAATGTATATTATGGCTCACTCCGCGGAATCAATCAGAGACGTTTCCCTTGGGGCTCTGGAGCTGGTTCATACTAATTTAGTAACCACGGGTTGGGAGTTAGATATCTTATTATCTTGTGCTATGTATCCATAGGAACTCCTGATGCTAACATTCTACCCAGCCTGCTGATATTAATAAATTGAACATTATTCATGCGGCTGGAACGAAAGGAAAAGGGAGCACATGTGCCTTCATAGAGTCATTCCTCAGAGCCCATGGTCGAAGAACTGGATTTCCTTACAAGACCGCCCTCTATACTTCCCCGCATCTCATACGACCAGAAGAAAGGATCCGCATCAACTTCAAGCCCATCCCTCAAGATCCTTTCGCAAAATATGTGTTTGAGGTCTATGAAATATTGTCACAGCAAAACTCACCAGAGCCACCTAGCCGTCCACCTCGGTACCTTCAGATGTTTGCTCTCATCGCTTTCCACGTCTTCACTCGAGAAGGTGTCGATGCTATGATCATGGAAACTCACCATGGTGGAGAATACGACACCACAAACGTAATCGAAAAGCCTGTGATAACAGTCATAACTTTTCTCGGATGGATCATGTGCGCCAACTTGGTCCCTCAATTGAGAACATTGCTTGGCACAAATCAGGAATCTTCAAGCCTGTCGCTCTCGCCTTTTCTGCGCCCCAAGAACCTGCCGCCACAAAGATTCTGAGAAGTCGAGCAGCCGATAAAGCCGTGGATCTCCTGTTCATCAAACAGGACGATTTCCTCCCGGTGAAATCAATGCTTGTGATGCTCAGTGTCCAGCGCACAAATTGCTCTGTAGCTCTTGCCGCTGCTCGTGCATTTTGTGACCAGAAAATAGCTGATGGATCAGAGAGGTCCCAAGTCAGCGAATCCGACATCGCTCAAGGAATCTCCCAATTTTCATGGCCGGGTCGATTCCAAACTGTGATTGAGAAGAAATTTCAATGGTTTCTAGATGCAGCACATAATGAGATGAGTGTTGGCCAAGCTGCCGAATGGTTCACCTCAAGCTGCGATAATCAAAATTACAGTTGTTCTTTGGAGATGCGGGTATGGCAAGCATACACTGACACAGTGACCAGTATTTCGCCAGCCACGCGTGTCTTGATTTTTAGCCAGACATCAGACGAGAGAGACGAAGTATCCGTTTTCCGGTGTTTAGCGAATTCTCTAAAAGGAGGTAGAATGAAACATGTCATTTTGACAGCCTACAAGCATGACGACCAAGGTAAGTCGGGCTATCTTGAGCGATTCCCCGACTAACGCTCGGTATGAGACCAAATCAATGGAGGAATGGAGCTACCATCAAAGGAGATATACATCAGTATTTGGAGGGAAATCTATCCAGACACACCAATCACTTTTCATTCTACTATCAAGGAGGCCCTTCAATGTGCCAGAGATATTGGCGGCAAACACGGAGAGTGTACTCAAACTCTACTTACTGGAAGCCAGTACCTAGTGGGTGGGGCACTGAATCTTTTGAAGTACAGTGACCCTGTTTACTCGCAGGAACGGGGTTGAGTGTCGCCGGATATTGGTAACTGGGTATCATAATTCTACTACAAAAAGAATTATTATAGAGAGACATGTATTAGAGATAACTTTTCTCATTATCAACCCTGATGTGATCAAAAGAGGAAATCAAAAGACAAGTTTTAGAGAATTTGGTACAGGTTTGGTTTAATTAAATAACTAGTGGATTGTGTATACTAAAGCCGTACCCCGCCCAGTAGAATAAGGACAAAAAAGCTCGCTAAATCATCATCGCGAAGTCTTAGGCCGCGACCGATGGCTACTAACCACAAGCTGTCTAACCGAAAGTCAAAGAGAAATTATTCGTGAAGTTTAAGGAGGCGCTATTAATGTGGTATAATCTTGATTGTTGAAGAGATATACTCCTATCGAGTTGCTCACTGATAATATGTGCTCCCCAGTTTCAAACCAAATTCATATACGGTGCGTTCGAACCTCCACCAAAACCATTAGAAGCATTAGAATGCCAAGGGAATACGGCCTACATTATGACCTTATGGGTACCCAGGTACCAAATAGGCGCAAAGAGATAAGCAAAATCTCTGAAAGCCGTGATATATCAAAACAAGGCCGCGAGAACCGGTGCAACTACGACTCATTTGCACACACAACTTTTTCGAGGAAAGATTTTCTTCGAATTCCATCAATCCCGCTCAACCAAACGATAGCAGCTAGAATTTCAACCACTCCCCTCTCCTCCCAGGAGGCCTGCCCCTCTGGTGGCAGAGATATATCCGTCAAAAGATCACGTGAAAATTTTTCACCCCCTCCTTCTGACCTCTCACAACCCCTACACCACCAAATACGCCTAGACGGCGAGACAGGCCCGCTCACAAGCGTCACATGCGGCCTCCCTCAAGGCTCGCCTATCTCACCAATCCTCTTTATGCTATATATAGCGCCTGTATTTTGGCTAGGCCGCCCGCTACGTAGGTTCGGCTATGCAGACGACATTGCACTCCTAGCAATCTCTCAGAGCACAAAGGACAACTGTATATCTCTTCAGCAAGACCTCCAAGAGATCCTCGACTGGGGAGAGGCGGAGGGCATCACCTTTGACCCTAAGAAGTCAGAGCTTATCCACTTCTCCCGGGGCCGAAGGCCTATAACAGTCCACAACCAGTCAGTTACCTCTCGCTCTCACCATGTACAGCCTGCCACAACGCTCAGGTGGCTAGGAGTGTTCTACGACCGCAAGCTTGACTTTAAAAGCCATGTCAAGACCCTAGCACAAAAGGCATTAGTAGTAGGCAACGCCCTAAAATCACTTGGCAAGACAACTCGAGGGGTACCTCCTATACTCCTACAGCGAGCCGTTACAGCGTGTGTTCTCAAGAAGGGCTATTTCGCTGCTGAGACCTGGTGGCCTGGCCGCTACCGCACTAGCAATAATAGAAGGACGTCAAACCGTGTCAACTCACACATCCAGCTCCTCGAGAAAGTAGTATATAGCGGAGCAAGAGCCATTCTCCCAGTATACCGGACAACCCAGCTTGCAGCATTGCTCAAAGAAGCTCATATCCCCCCGCCCGAAATCGCACTTAATCAGGCGACACAGGCCTTCGCAGCCCGGACAGCTAGTCTTGACCCACGTCACCCTCTCCAAAAGCGAGCCACAAAAGTAATTCAGCTAGGCAGGCCGACATCCCGATTCGCTAGAGCTATCCTAGCCCTCCCAGCGCATGAGATAGTCAACTCTATTGCCCTCCCTCCCTGGCGGATGCGAGAGCCGAATGATATAGCTGAGGCAAGAGTTTACGGCCCTCTTGGTCGGACGAAAGAGCAGGCAGCGGAGGACTTTGAGGAGTTCCTGCCATCTATCCCGCTAGGAGACATACAAGTGTTCTCAGACGGCTCAAAGCAAGAGGCCAAGGACGGAGCAGCTGGCGGTGGCTTTGTAACCTATCAGGGTGGCCAACAGACTAGCTACAAGGCCTTCCCACTAGGCTGCAACGTAGAGGTCTACGACTCTGAGGCTATTGCAGCCCTCCGAGGAGCACAAGCAGCCCTTGCTGCCCCATCCGCAAGGTTCTCAACTAACCTCTGGGTGTTCCTTGACAACCTTGAAGTAGCCAAGCGACTCCTAGGCGACACTATCAGCTCATCACAATGGGCCTTTGACGAATTCAAAGAAGTAGCCCGTCAGTGGCCTCTTCGTACAAAACTAGCACACCTTCCAACCGGGGAACTCAAGGTCCGGTGGGTCCCAGGGCATGTGAATGTGCCTGGCAACGAGGCCGCTGACAGGGCCGCAAAGGAGGGTGCTAGCCTACTAGCCTCTCAGGACAGCATCTGTTCTCTAGCGTCCCTAAAGCGGCTAGCAAAAACAGAGGCGACTAGAGCAACCGCTAAACTCTGGTATACTACAGCCCCGCAATACTACCTTGACCTAATGGTCCCGTACGAAAAGAACAAAGACCTACTCTCAATAAACCGCGGAGCACTTGGACGAATCCTTGCAGCCCGTTCCCAGCACGGAGACTTTGCAGACTACCATACACGGTTCCACCACGAGGACGCTCTCTTAACCTGCTCTTGCGGAAGAAGAAAATCCCCGCTTCACTTCTACTTCTGCCTACTATTAAACTGTAAGAAGCTACACAAAGGACGCCCATCAATCGCAATCCCTTGGCTACTTGGAACTACCCAGGGCTCTATCAAACTAGCAAAGTGGTTTACAGACTCCAAGTTCTACCAAGAAGTGTGTATATCACATACACAAAGCTCTCCTACCTTATAAGGGAGCCCTCAAAAGTCTACTAGTTTCCTTTTACTCTTCTCTTTACTATTCTCTCATTTACTTTATTCCATTATCAGAGGCGGAGGCAGCGGCGAACAGGGGCTAGGATCACAGGCTGGAGGATCATGCTGCAAAGAGGTGGCAGCACTACTGTTTTACTTCCTCAAGCGGACAAAACAACAGCTAAAGCGTACATGTAAACCCCGCTACAGCCTTTAAACTCTTATATAATCTAGCTAGCTAGACAGGAAGCCAGGGGCCTCCCCCCCCTGGCGTCTTTTGCCCCAACGGGGACTGAAGGGCACGTGACTTGCGTACGTGCCCGCCTAGACGTTAAATAGACACACACACACACACACAACCCCTACACCACCAACGCCGCGCCGCTACTATGGCGACCCAAACACAGTCAAACCCGGAATGGCAACAAGAAGTCATAGAAGGAACAGCCTACGAACCCATGCAACTCTTCAACGAGCCCACGCTCCCCATCAGCCCAATTTACCCAATTATCACCCTGGGAACTCCAATCCCCCAAACACCTAGCGCCAATGGCCAAGACTACCTCCTAGGAGGCTATGCGCCATCCAGCCCAGTTAACCACGTCCAACGAAACCAAAACAACCCTAGCTTTATAGACATTAGCACGCCAAACAACTCCCAAAGAATCAGAGAAACTTAGCCTCAAGCCAAAAGACAAAGAAGCAACCAATCCTTGAACTTAACCTCAAAATACGCCCTCATGTCCCACCCAGAAACCTCCGATGACGCATTTATAGCATCTAGGCCCCTTCTGTGTAAGGCGATTGAGCTTGAAGACAACCAGCCCAAGAAACTCGCTCTCATGGACCTACTCAACCTCTTCCGGGACTATACCGAGGGAAAACCACTCAAAAACACAATTACTACCCTTACTAACTCAGTCAACAACCTAGAGAACATCGCAAGGCGCCTGCCTTCCTAAAAGAAGCTACGCATCGGTAACCACAAACAACAAACCTACCACAGACACAGACACAGACAACAGTACTCAAGGCCTCATAGACCGGCAACTCAACCACGCTCCTCCTCCAAAAACAAACATGGACAAGAAGAGAGACGCTTTTAAAAAAGCTGCTACTGAGAAAAAGAAAGCCATCAAAGCCCAGCGTCTCATTCTCATCGAAGACCACCTTCAACCATTTAGCGACTTACAACCAATTACCCTCAGAGGCACTATTAACAAGGAATTCAAGGCTCGTTTTAATGTCAGCCCCGCAATTAGCACAGTCTCCAGATCACGAAACAACAACCTTGTCCTTACAGCAGCAGAAGAATACAATGCTAAATTCCTGCTTGACAGAATCGGAGCTATCCAAAAGGTACTCAAATTCAAAGAAGCAAGAGTCGACGCTATCAAATACCAAGTAGTAATCCACGGCATCCTAATCAAAGAATTCAACTCTCTCGCTGGCCTAGCACAACTCAAAGATGAGATCCTCACTTTTAATAAGAGCCTCAACCTAGAAATCGACGACATCCCTCACTGGCTTACCTCAAAAGATAAACGAGATAGCGGCCTACAACACCAAGGATCAATCGTTGTAGCTTTCAAGGAAGAAAGCCAAGCAAACAGAGCACAAAGAAACAGACTTAACCTTGCAGGAATCAGCGCTAGAGTTGAGCACCTCCGGAACACGTCGAGGGAAATGCAGTGTACTAGATGCCAGGAAGACGGGCACCCTCTTAAATACTGTAAAAACCCTCCAAAGTGTAAGTTCTGCTCCCAACAACACCAAAGCTCGCAACACAAATGTCGTCAGTGCGAAGCTCAAGGCGGAGCCTGCGTACACACTAC